TCCCTTCTCTTTCACTAATATAATTCGCTTGGTAATACAATGTATTATGGGATATACGGATTGAGGCGAAGGATACATCAAGCGTCATCAGCACGGAAAAGACACAAGAGGAAACAGTTAAATTTTGTCTTGCCACAAATAAGAACAGAAGCAAGCAACATTCGCAGAGTCAAGAAAACGTTACGGTCCCACAGCTGCGAGCTGAATGAAGGTTGCCCAAGGATGCAGCAGGAGGAAGGCTAATGCATAACTTGACAAGTGCATACAAAACGAAAGGATTTTGCTTAAGCTTTTCGATTTTCCTGACAGAGTACCATAAATTATTTTATCTAATTCTATTTCTAAGGGAAAGATAGAAAGAGGAAATTTTGAGCAAAGCAAATAGGACGAAATTCCACCCGGGGATAGGTTAAGGGGTTTTCTGAACTCTGAACATTAACTTTTAAAGGAGCTCAGTTTTTTGATAATCTCCCCAAGGACATTAGGGACAAAGAGCCTCTCGTGTGTTATAAGCATAATGCCTCTATAAAAATTTTAATAAAACAATGATGAGCACAGTTCTAACTTAAATGTAATTTCTGATTTCAAAGTTTATATTTTTTTGTTTAACAGGTCCTCGCTGATAACAAAATTAAAATTCAGATAGCGATACTGATTTTATCATAACATCAAATTATAATTTTTATGACAATTGATCAAAGTTTCATGCTCGCCAGTGTCTTCATCAACACCTCATGAATTGTTTTTCTTCCATCAACATCGAAGCTCAATCTATGCCGTAGCTTAAGAATAATAGCCACTCCAATCTGGCGCATTGAAAACTTGCCTTAAAAAATTTTTATTCTTAGCTTTGTTTAATGTATTTCAGTAGCCTTGATTTTATAGAGCTTTTTCATGATAATAAAAGCAAAGCGAGCTCAGTTTAGGCCTCAGGTGAAAGTGACTGCTGATTAAACACGAATATATCAGCTTCTTTGGACATCTAAATAACATATTTGACTGTGTAAATTAGTTTTTATTTTAAGTTCATGCCTGATAAGACAAGGTAAATAAAATGTTTATTCAACCAAATGGCACTTGCTCATATTATGTACATAACTTTTTTGTGATCGCGTTCAAAGCTTTTGTATTGCTAAGATTGCATGCCCAGTTCCTCAGTTAAATAGCTGTAACACAGAATAGAGATATTATGTGGCTGTAAGCAGTAGTGTAGTGCTATCAAAATAACAAGGGAGGCTCTTGCACATAATGCTGCTAGAAGCAATAGCAAAAGTAGAAATTGACTAATTTTTGCCCTCCCCGAGCCCCCCTAGCACTACACCCTTGGTTGAAGCCTAAGAATAGGACAGTGTAGTACTTTTTAAAATAAAAATGCATTGAAGGCTCAACTAGCTTTGCGAAAGAAAATCGAAGCAAAGGCCCTTTGGTAAGAAACGATATATTGACGAAGAATGCCGAAAAAAGTTGGTTAAGCAGGGAGTTGTCCCTTGATCTCCCATATAAGGGAGAATAGGGAAAAAATGTTTCTTGTAAGTAGTAAGCGACGTTTCGCAAAATGTTGCAATAAAAGGTCAAGGAGCAATTCGCAGGCCAGAGTTCATCGGTCAAAAATTAGATTGATGGAGTTTGATGCATGATGCCGGTAACATTAATAATGCCACGTTTACTGTCATACGAGCTATACGTGATGCCTTGTTTGATTGACCAGTGCAAAAGAAGCGACCTTGAATTCTTTTGATGAATTGATTATTATTTACCCAAACATCTCTCACGCAATTTTTCATAAAGTTGCTTCCAAATGGTAGTTGTTTCTCAAGTAAAGATCTTGCCATGACTAAAGTACGAATTTCTGATTTTCTTCCTAGCCTCAGTTGCAAAACAAAGTGTCCCTAGAAACTTTTCCAATTTATTCGTTTCGTGATTTCACAGATTGCATGTGACTCTAATTCTATATCCATTGAAAGTAAGACCATGTAATTAAGAAAGCCTAAATCTCTGTTGTTTCTTGATATTCAAATTGTATTTGTATGTATTATTTAGCAGGTTGCTCAAAGGATTTCGCAATTCTAAAGTCATATTCACAATTTCGATTGAATGCTGCTGACGCGGGGCTCATCGGGCCACTTTGCCGATTGCCAAAGCAACAGTTTGTAATGACCAGACCACCGACTTTTCGCCTTTCACTTTTCACCTCTGACACTCAAATTGAAACTTTAGCCTCTTGCTATAGATTAGTTAAAATATTTACTAGTTTTTGTTGCTGTAACTCAAGATCTGTATCTTGAAACGAAATTTTTGCAATGGCCTAGCAGAAGCAATCAAATCAGATCAAAATCAACGATAGATCCTCGTCTGCCGAGCAATAAGCATGAAAAAAATCCCCATCACCTTTTTACATTGTCAAATAGTAGAAAAGCATGATAAGTTCATTTGGTAAGTAAAGCAAGTTAACTTGTATCAGTGGAAAAAGCTAGTGGAAAACGTGTCATAGTTTAATACAGACCAGATGGTCTAATTAGCAAAAGGGTTATTCGTATAAGGGCTTGCTCCTAATGGCTGCCACCGGAGCTATGGCCACGATATGTTTGTCGGTGCAAAGAGAGGGTATGCTCTCACAGTATGTTTGTAGCTGTCGTCAGAGTCTTGTAAAATTATGCTGAAGCATTGTGACTTGCCGACACTGTTACTACTTTGAGGTCTGGTGACAAGAACACCAGCTAAAATTCAACCGATGTCAGGACACTGTGTAAAGAAAACGTTCTTGCTTTCATTTCTGCCAGTATGCGATCTATTTTGGGGAGATGGACAAACAATAAGAGTTTATATGGGATTAAGCAACAGTCAATTAGTAGACGAAAGACTTGCCTAAAAGCATAAAGAACCTTTATCGTCGGAATCCATCACAATCCATTTACAATTCGTATTCACTACAAAGCTGACAATGACAATAAGAACAACTGTTTATTTGAAAGGAGTTCCAAAGACTGATTTAAACAAATTGAAGATAATATTAACAATAATAATACGAAACGCTTTTCTCTTTGTAATCGGTTCTGCAAGGCGCTGTTTCTTCAATTATTGAATTAGAATTGTCCAGTTTTTTATTCAGACACCCCACAAAACGCTCAGTAAGAAAGAATTTTGAATATGTTTTCATTAACTGAAATGGAAATTGTTCTATTGCTAGACAGTTGATCGAATCTTACTTTATAGAAATGGGTTTAAACAAGCATCACTTAACAAGATTGAATATACTTAACGAAGCTAGGCTCAAAACAGAGTGCGCAAAATGAGTCGTGTCACAGGTCAAAGGCTAGAGGATATTTGTAAATGCCTGGTTTGCTACTTGATTGAAAATTCGAAACAGAATTTAATACCACGAGACTGTTTCAAGTTGTCATATAACTACGTAGACACAATGTTGCGAGTCCCAGCATCATGGCTTTGGTGTATTTTAAATAAACTTTGAATACACGAAAACTCCAGCTCACAATTCAGGACAGGACGTAAAATGCCTCTTTTTTTCTTGCTCTAAACAAGACTCGTTGACAAATTTATTTTCGGCAAATCTATTTTGAAATTGACGATTATAGATTTAAGACAAAGCAAAATCCAAGAAAATAATCAAATGCGTTCCAAAATATGTGCCAAACGAACCGATTTGCTGTTCTAATGGTCCGTGCTAAAGAGTTCTTTTGGCATATTGTGTGAAATCGTTTAGTAAACATTATTCTATAGCAATTGTAACAATGCCATTAGAGTTTGACTGAAAGTAACTACCAACAGTTCGTAATGCATTGAAACCTTGAGAACAAGCTAAGAGATGAAGTGTTGGCTCTGTAGTAGTAGCTATCATGACACATTTATGTCACATTTGCCGTTAGAAACCTACAGGAAAATTGAACCTTCGGAAACCTTTGCGTTAAATTTACAAAGAGCTTCCAAACCTGTTTATATTATGTTTCTGGTTGCCGCAAATGAATAAAAAGCCGCAAGGTTGCAGGTTGTTCTGTAATCTCCTTTGTCCTAGGATCAATAAAGAAACTTTTGGTAATTATATCTTGCCCAAAATATGGCACTGGTGTTTAATTATTCAATACATGTGCAATTCTTGTTCTGTTTCAATAAAGATGACTCATCAGTGTTATCGTAAAAAGCCTTAGAATTTTCGAACTATTTGTCAGGTTTTACTTAGTGTGAATATTTTCTTCGTTGTAATGTAATGTGAAGTTGTTAAAGAATATTCTATCAAATTCAAGTTTATCTTAGGTCAAGATTCTGAAAGAAAAGAATCACTGAGGTCAAATTTTATAGTATATGATGTCCTTTGACCTCTCCTGAAAAGGCCATAGTTGGAAGGCCAAAGTTATGATAAATATAATATCTTTATTTAAACTAAATGCAGTGTTTGGGTGAGCCTTCCAAATGAGGGCTCGAATGCTTAACAAAAAATTCCAAAGGGTAAACCTAAACTTGCAACTTTGTGATAGCACTTCGCGGTACCATTCATCCTAATTTCGAAGACATTAGCCTTGCACCATTCCTACTCTGCACAAATGCACCAGTCATACATGCAAGAAATTTTGTCTTTTATCAAAGTAGACGTAAAAAATTCAACATTTTGTAAGTTTGCCGAAAGGGTTCTGAAATAGGATAGTCAATCGTTCAGTTCATTCCAAGAGCCTGTTCTGCTCACAGTCCTTCACGACCAGGTCTACACACAAGGTTAATCGAGTTTTTAGGATTTAGTTTAGCAGTTTGTGTTTTGAAACTGTTCTCACGATCAATGCTGTCTATGGTCGAATATGTAACAATGGCTGAGTGCAAAGGCAATATCCTACTAATTGAAACGATTATCGTCATGGCAGTTTTTAAAACTTGATGGTTGTTTTGATTATCGGGAATAATGCGAAGAACATCTAGAAGCGAAGTACAGATATGTACTAACGTCTCACTGTTTCGTAGAAAAGCAACAACGATTTCTTTTACGTTACTGGTGTGGAGCAAATAATGTCGTATTTCCTGCATTATGCCAAGCTTCAACCAGCAATTAACCTAACACGTTTTTCAATAGATTCATTGTTTACACATAAGAAACTTGCACCTTTACAGACGGGTTTCACAACTTCAACAAGCCGTTTGAACAGCTTCTCCGAAACAAATTATAAAACTCTAACACTGTTTTAATAACTGCATACACCGTATTTTCGAGTTTCATGTCAAAAGTTTTATAAAGACAGGTCGTAATCCGACAGTCAAAGCGCAAAGGCCAAAGTAAATTGAAACCTAAGACATCTGTTGCCAGTTGGAAACAATTGGATTACGAAACAATAAAAATTCGAGCAAGGGAAGTTCGCCAGATACAGATTTGAGAGAAGTTGTTCTGTCAGCGAATTAGACATAAAGGGTCAATTTTTCTGCTTTCTTTGGGATTCATGCCACATGACATCAAATGTGACAATAGTAGCAATCCATGTAAAATCTCCAATACAACAGTTTGTTTGGTTGCTTGCTCCGATTGAAAGCGACGACCAATCAGAGGCCAGCACCTGACCACGTATTGTTTATTTCTATTGAACAGGAGACAACACAGCCCGCATATATGATTGTCGACCCGTTAGAGACTTAGAAACATTGAAATATTCTTTCACATTGGTCTCGCGTGTTCGTCTCTGGTGCTTGCACTGCATCAGCATAAGAAAATGAGTGTTGCTACATCGGCAAGTCTAGGATCAATGAAGACCCCTCCACGTCTCCCAAAATGTGCAAGGTGTAGGAATCACGGTGTTGTTTCTATTTTGAAAGGACATAAACGTTTCTGTAGATGGCGAGACTGCAACTGTGCGGACTGTAATTTGATTGCGGAGAGGCAGCGAGTTATGGCAGCACAGGTCGCTCTCAGAAGGCAACAAGATCAAGAAGAATATATAAGAGCAATTCAACTGCAACAACACGAGTCAGTCCAGGGTGTTAAAGAAGAGCCAAGTAGTAGTGGCAATAATGGCATTTATCCCTCGGAATATCCATCTTCTACTCAAAGACTGTCTTCCCCTGGTAAGTATCCTTATAGAGCTGCTTAACCCTGACTTCTAGCATATTTTTTGTATTTTAGCATGCTGCTGGTTTCTATCAGGATATAAAATCAGATCTAAAATTCCAGCTATTTCTGCACGGTCCAAAAAATATGAGAGAATGACAGTTTCTAAAAGGAATTGACATCAAAGTTTCAATGCATGTACATAACAATATGGTATTGCTGTTTTGTGCTAATCTGCAAAAGTTAACAACCCTATAATTTTAACTGAAGGCTAAATATCGTAAATTTTACAAATAAGTTCCATAGAGTCGTGTGTTTTTATTTTGTCGCCAGTGCTCAATTTCCGCTTATTTGTGTAGCCTGATAAGTAAATCTGCGAAAGATTTAGCACCAGAATTGAAACTGAACTCGATTTCCCGCAAAATGAATTCAGAATTAACTGTTTTACTTCAATCATTGGGCAAATTTCTATCACAAGACACATAAGAGGTTCAACCGAGCAAAGGACATAGGACAGAAAGCGCTACAGTGAAACCATTGTCAAGCCTCGAAACTCTTCCCCTTTGGCCTTTTGTTTCATTTCGTCAAACATTGTTTTATTCAACCATGAAATCATTTATCCCAAGTTATTTCGCTTTGTAACCGGGGCTTTTCGCATTCATGAAGCATTCTCGGCAAAGTACAAATAATGTATACTCTGATTTTGTATTGATTAATTGTAAGTTATTTGGATAATGCCACAGTTTTATCCTTTTTCCTTCCCAAGAGCAACTAAATAATCTCCAAGTGTTATAGATTAGCCCACTTAACAGATCTTGCTTTGTTTAAAATCCTTAGAGAGTTTGTGTATCATTTCAACTGTTATTGTTTAAAAAATGAATAGACTTAAGAATTTCAACGAGTTAATTACAGATTGCCTCAAAGAGCCGTCTGCCTTTCCCTCGATACTCGAAAACTCATATTGATGATACGAAAGGAAATAATAATTCTACGCGAGAGTATTCAATTTACCTACAGAAAGGTTATGAAAGAATAACCTTTTTCCTTACTATTGGGCACAGTATTTTCATGCGAAAGAGACTATGAGAGGTATATAGGATGGCAAACGAAACAAAGGTGGGCGCGTATAATGGAGCCTTCGAGCTTCAGCCCGAATATGGAAAGTCTTTACTTTTTAAAGCGTACTCTTAAACGCTTTCTATTGATTTGGCAAGAAACCTACCCAAGATAATAGTTTTCGGTTTACTGAAGTAACAGAACAACAGTAATTATTTCCTAGTTAAGAGATATATTAATTGCATGTGTGTTATTGAGCAATAATCTGCGAGGATCTTTACCAATCTTTATACAAAGTAAGAGGAGTTTTCAGCTATACTAAAAGATTTTAGGAAAGATAACATCAATTAAAACCGTTTATTGCTTTGCAGAAATTTTCTGGTTTCCGCGAATTTGCAGCAGACAGTGTTGGACGATGAACAGTGCTCGACTTAACAATCGTTTTAGTTTTTGGGGGTTCGATTTAACAAGTGGTTATTGTAAAAAGGAAGCAAGACCTTTTCGAGTTAACAACAAAAATTCGAGTTGTCAGGTGCTCGGGCTATCGGGGTTATACTGTTAATGGAATCTAGCAACTTGCAAAATATGGACAGTGCAATTTGTGCTTTCACCCATTTAGATGAGATACCCTTTTACTTATATGATATGCTTGTCTGATTGCAGTGAATTCGTGTCGGCAACAAAATGCATAAGATGCGCGCTTATCTGCTTAAAAAAGATAAGGATATACGATAAAGTAGTGAGGCCTACTACTGTCCTTGTAAAATTTTTAAAGATTGTAGAGTTTTAGACCCCGGACATCTACCACCTGGAAACTTTGTTGAAGAAAAAACCAAAATTTCTTTAATAATCCCTTTTAGACAAGTGCTGTTGTGCCTAGCAAATAATGCGCTTCACATTTAAAAATGGTTATCGATAACTCACAGACTCCCCCCCTTTTTTTATTAAAAACAATAGCAAAATACTTCCCTTTCTAAGCCACACCAATGATTTTTCCTAAACAGTCTTAGAGAAGACAATGGAAGTAATATTCATAAATGGGTTACTCGAGTTGGCATAGGGGTGTTGTGGCTGTGGGGGTTGGGGGCAAGTTTCCATAACAGACAAACCGGACTTCGATTGCCACAATCATTAATATCAATCTCTTTCTGCCTGGTTATAAATACATTGCCCCTCCCAGATTTAAACAAGCCTTCGAAATTGTGAAGAAACATTCTTAGATATTGTTGCTTTTTCACAAAAAATATTGCTGATCTATGAACCGTTTCAAAACAAGGGGAAGAAACAGGTATATATACTTGCTTGTTACTGTTTGTTCGTTGACCTTTGACCAACCGAAAAGCTTTGATCATAGCGCCTTGGAGCGCTGTTTGCTTCGTCGAATGTGAAATCAATCACTCTAAAAAGTATGCTTAACAGTTGAACAAATATTTCCTCTGCTACTGAATTTTTGTTCTCAGTTCAAAGGCCAAATGCCAATGAAAAAGTAAACAGTTGACAATGACAAAGTTTTTTCACGAATTTCTCAACAAAACATGGATTCCGACCTCATTTTAGTTAAGCTCTGTTTGATCAGCCACCTTAAAATTAATCAGAGAAAAGGCAACTTGTATGTAATACTTGCAAGGCATAAACAAGATTCGCGGATTGTGCAAATGAAATGTTTGCGAAGCGCGGCTTTTTAAAGTAAAAGTAATCTGCTTTCTTGAACTTGTCAGTGAGGCAATAATTGAAATACAAACCATTCGGGCTCTCAATCAGTTTATGTCTATGGTCATTATAATCATCATAAACACAAAAAGCTAGGTTATAATCATTAGTATAAGAAACCCCCGTAATGTTAAGAATCGTTTTGGTTTTGACCCCTGTCAGAAACGAACTATGTACTTTGGCCTTTGTACAGATAGCACTGAAACGCTGAGTTTGAAGCAGTTAACCATCCTACCAAAGTCATTTCTAAAAAAAGGTCGGATAAGGTTCGTCGGATGAATTGGATCTTTAAAACAAGTAGAAATTTATAATGAGTGCCTGAGATAATGGGACATATACTACGTGTTGCTTCGTGAAAAATTCAAGTCAAATAATACTTCGGTAATGTTTTGTACAGGCAAGCGGCGCTGATCCACAACTGGGTATATATATTTCCTAGCTTAAAACTTTCAGTTATTATTCTGAAGTTTTATACTCCGAAAAGTATCAGGCGAAAAGCTAAAATGTGTTTTAAAATGTTTGTTTTTTTTCAAAGCCATTTTTTCAAAAATGTTAAAGATATAGAGTTACACTAACGTTTGCTCATGAAAAAAGTCGTGTTCGTTAGCATTTGGCAACCTGAGCACTCGATCAAGCCAACTTCATAAAAGAAACGTCAAAAGTAGCAAACAAGGGAATTATAAGTCAAAGGCCATGCCACAGTGTGGTGTTTTGGGTTCAAAGTAGCTCATTAACAGCTTGTAAATGCAAACTGTTTATTGGTTTAATTGTATTGAATTCTGCCTGCTGGTTCCATGGCCACATGAATAGTTTCTGTTATCGGAAATATAATTTTTTGATGGTTGTTAGCAATTTTAAAGCAGGCCACCGGTGCCTTATGTCAATGGTAGCCAGGTGGCAACTTTTGCAAATCAATGTATTTCAAGATGCCATTGAATATATTCAGAAACAGTCAGGTACCATAATTTGCTATACTGGCTGCAAACGTCAAAGGCTTTTGTTAATTGGAGCTTAGCCAAACATAAATGCCACATTCTTCTTTTGGTGGTTTTTAAGGACAAACAGCAAAGCCTTCATTAAAGGTACTGTGTTCGGACTTATCGCCAAACCTCCCGTTGGTTGGATTAAACAATCGGCTATTGTTACATTTTCCAATCAGCAACTTCAAACTAATTCTCAACGTGCCGCAGAGCATAATCATGTATATTTGACTGGCGGGACACAGTGCCCTTAACGGACACAACTTTATAACGGACACTCATGAAAGCGGACAAGAAAGTTGCACAATATTCTTTTAACTGTCAAAACCTTTTAAAAGCACAGTCTCCAAATGAAAAATTCATTCTAAAATAGATAACTACTCCTGTCCAGCAGATGTCAGTTTCTGAAACAATGCCATTACGGCATCGAAATTCTAAGACGATATTTTGCAAAGTCGCTCTTTTGATAGGTAGAGTGGATTTATTAAAAAATCTAAAAATGCATCAATAGGTAGAGTTTGAATCCAGCATGCTCTGCTCGCAGTATAATATATCTACCGTTGATCACATTAAAATGTTTTCCGATGCTTGGTTGTTAGTAAAGACTGATTGATGAAACGTGAGGGTGAACCCAAGCCCTATCTCAACCTTACTTCAAAGTTTTGTAGAAAAATACACGCAATGAAACAATTTCTGCTCAATGCTTACATGAAGCTGGCAGCCGAAAAAAATGATTTTTTATTTAAAAATGAAAGTGATTGCACACAATTTGATTAATGAAGATAAGAGAGAGCCCGAATAAACCATTGAAATTCAATAGATATTCAATCATGAAAAGCAGTTCTGAGTTTTATTCCGCCCTAATTAGACTTTCCTTAAGACTATTTTTTGTTATATCCGTAAGGCATTCGTATTTCGCGAGGGCATATCTTAACTGCGGAGGAGACGATAGAAGGCGAAAGAAAATCATCCATTTCTCCTTCGCCTTCTATCGTCTCCTCCGCAGTTAAGATATGCCCTCGCGAAGTACGAATGCCTTACGGATTTAACAAAAAATAGACCTTGGGCAAGTCTACACCTCAATCTTCCCAGGCCTGGTTTTGCTCTTTTTTTCGCTAATTTGTTTGACTGTGAAGCGTGTCTTTGATTTTTTTCTACATTAGTAATAGCATTGAATTTATGGGATGAGGCCACATTTGCAGTTTGTTTTTCTGTTTTCTAATTGGCAGACAATGTTCCATTTGCAAACAATATGTAGAATTACTCAAATGTGCTATTCAAAAGAAGTCAGCGCAACTGAACAAGCACATTTTGTTTGCTTGTAACAGATGTCCTTGGTTTCCATAGCAGCCAAGTAGATTTCAGAAATTGCAGCTTTCCCTCCACATCGAGTTTATCGAGAGCTGTGCACAAATTCCATTCGGATTTAGTGTAATAGAGTTCTCAAGTGTGACGTCACAAAAAGCTATTTTTAGAATTTTCGAATTTTGACCACATAACATTAAACAACACCATAAGATATTTTCATATATGCAAGATCAGTTAAATTTGTCAAAAATAGGGTGAGCTATTGCCAATAGAAGATTTGAAGTTTGCTAACGGACTACTGTTATTTTGGCTCAGTTCATAAAGTTATGAACTGAGACCAAATTACAGAGGTTTGATGGGACCAGAGCTTGTGCTCATCTGGACATATCTCGGCTAATTCGTAATACCTTTAGCTGATTTTGCAGATTTAGAGGTATTTCATGATGCTCTTTCAGGTAATGGAGAAAATTTCAAAAATTCTAAAAACAGATTTTTGTGACGTCATCACTTGACAATTCTATTGAACCCTCGATAAATGGAAAGCTAAGGGTTTGCAGCTTTCTATAAATAGGTAGCTGAGGGGTTGTAGCTCCCTCCTCAGTATTTGGCAAGCCATGCGCTATTTCGTTTGTAACAAAGTAGTGAATGGAGGGCAACAGATGCATCTCTCGATGAATAAAAATGTTCCTACGACACTTTAAGATAAAAAGCTGTTATCATGTTATTTTTATTGCAGATGATTTGAGTATTAATGATATGAATAGTGGAGACGATGAGGACAACGAGGACGATGAAAAGCCTCCGATCAAGTTAGAAGAGAATGGGATGGTGGTCGAAGAAGAGAAGGAAAAGGCTGTATTGAAGGAATCTCCAGAACCCCGCTCCCCAGAAAGAGTGAGTTCTGGACACATTTCTCCATTGGGAGAGCATAAGCAAGTGAACACAATCAAGGCTGATGTTTCCTTTAGCAAGCCTGAAAGCCTCTCGCCTTCCCCCAAAATGTCTATGGCTTACTCTATGGCTCATATTCAAAACGCAGATCACGTCACAACCGTCAGTCAGGTCTTTCCGAATCACCCGAAACCAGTGTCCCCCACAATTCCTCATCGGCAGACAGCAATGCCTTCAGTCCATGAAAAAGTTCCGAAGCTGCATTCTTTGCCACCGCAGAGTCAAGAACCACCTGCAAAGATGCCACGCAGAGACATGCGCCTTGATGAGTCCGCCATTCTGCGGCATCAGCAAATGCGATACTTGGATCTCCTGTCAAGGCTTTTTCCGGAACAGAAAAGAAGCGTAATTGAACTAATCTTGAAGGGCTGCAACGGAGATATAGTACAGGCTATTGAGTGTGTTCTACCAAGTCACGAAAGAGCAGTGGCTCAAATGTCTGGAATGCCTGGTCAGAGTTTTACCCTGCCTCCAGCGTCTGTAGATGAGGGAAACCGCCATAGATACCAAGGACACGGATCCGAAAAGTCTGTACCACCAATGTCTGCCTTTATGCCGTTTAACGCCTCCCCGGGACATGGCCAGCATGCACCGGGACATCCACAACATGGCTATGCAATGGTTCCTGTTCCACCTTGCCCTCCTGGCTGTAACTGCCAACTGTCTCAACAAAAATGCCCGTGCCCAGACTGTGTACCTCAGTCTTCTTCCAAAGGCACAAAAGCTGAAATCAATGGGCCTAAAAGCAATTTAGCAGATTCTAACAGTCCATCAACAATCGCCACCAGCTCCTTTTCAGAAATTCATGTCTCACCAAAGGATGGCACTGGTAAGAATCGATACAATTTGTTGTCATTATTTGATAAATTCTACGTTAAATAATTGCACATCTATCTCGGACTGTTCGAATCTATTCCATTGAAATATGTTTTGAATCAAATTAAAGATAACATGGAAATGATTCTTTTTTCAACACTTTACTTGTTACATGGTCGTAATTGTGGAACATAACCGACGATTTATAAAGCTTTCTAGATTAAAAAGATTTTACTTCTCTTCTTTGTCACTGATAAATAGAATTTGCTAATTCATCCTTTCAATCCTTTTTGGAAGGTAGCATACCATAGTTGTTCATTATTCAAGTCCATGTTGTCGCTTTTTTGTAGTGACCCGCCATTCTGGGCACACGAATCGTCCAAGCTCTCCTTCGCTGAAAAATGGTCAGCAGCATAGAATAGCATATGTGCCTGTATCCGCACATGTACCTATGCAGATGAACGAGCCAGTGAAAATCTGCGCTGGATGTGGTGGAAAAATGAAACTGGAAGACCAAAGGTGCCCAACTTGTGAACCAACAGAACCTAAATCGTAGAAACTATGTGTAGAAAATAACGTCATAATACCTGAAATAAGCATTATGTTTAGAATCAGAATTAATTGAGTTTGGGAGGGTGGAGAGATGAGGTGCTGGTATCTGGACATATTGAAAACATATATAGAATGAAAGTAGTGAATCTATATTAGTTTTACGTCGTATATTCCACTGCCTCTGTCAAGGTTCTTCAGGATATGGTAACATAATTAGAAAAGGTATATTGCTAATTATACATTTACGGCTCTTGAACCCGTGAGTAGAAACATCTGTAGAATTCATAACGCTCACAATCCAAACTTTGAAAGTTTGTTAAACTAAGCTTTCCTGAAGGTTTCAAACAACTCTACTTGGGAGAGGGAGAAAGAGAGTTGCTGTCCTTAAAGTTTATGATACTGTTAGATCAAGGAAGATCGAATTTCGAAAGGATGCGTCACTTTAGGATCACTTTCCTTCATCGATTTGTAGCATGACGAAATTTATCACAGCTGTCAAGAATGCAAATGCGAATTATACATCGTGAGAATCAGTAAAGCAGGGGCTATCCCACCCACTCCTTCCCCAACATCTGTATGGATACACCTAACTGGTGCTCCTTATCGTACCATATAAATTCATTTAGGCATATCTATTCATCCTATACATTTTTGTACAAATATATATATATTTTAATGCACCTTTCCTTGAGTAAGATTTAATTTGCCTACCCATATTCCTTGTTTTTATTCCAAGTGTAAATATTGCATACCCGTCCATTTTTATTGCTATTAGAAATATTCCTTTTTGTTCTTTCATTAAAACTCTACTAACAGTGACCCATTATATGAGAAACTCTAACACCATAGATTCGAGAATTTCATTGACACAGTTAATTTTCCATCAATTGCACCTTTCCATACAATGCTAGTTTCAGATCGATCCTGAAATTGCTCAAAATCCCTTCGATAACATTTTGTCACTGTAGAGTATAGCGTTTTACATGTTTTTTAGTAAAAGAACAATGCCAATACACCTAACGCAAAGTAAATTCTGTTCACCATCTGTAATGACCATTCCTTAATTTTATACTGCAAAATGTACGCAAAATATAATTTTCCATTCGCAATTGATCATCATACATTTTAATCGACTCCATATACATACGAAAAACGACAAACGTCCTCTTTTTGTCATATATTTGCTGATTACTTTTTCGATTTTGTGTTCATAACTGCTGGTTAAGTTTTATCATTTCTATTTATCAGTATGTAGGCATCATCTGTAAGAGCCGGCTTTATTGATAAAAAACCTCATGCAACATCGTTTTCAAAGAAACGTATTATTTTAATGTTAAATGCACAACACATATATAAATTTATAAGATACATAAATCCGTATTTTGGCTTTGTTTTTCTACACTGTTGCGTCTGTTCTGTTGTGTTAACGTTATCTTCACTCCTAACTCCAAGCCTGGCTTCTGGAAGGAATTCACAGTCAATGGCAGGGCCTATTTTATTGAAATTTTCCAAGACCACACTTTAAGAAAAGAAGGCTGTATATGAAGCATGGAATTTTAAAATATCAAGCATTGCCGTAGAAAGCGTTTTCCTTTATATTCAACATAACACGATTACAGATGTGTTTTGTTTATGCATTTACACCATTTGAGAGCAAAAAGCTGATTGGCTGTAAAATTTTTCGCTCTTGTTGGACCAGATTAATCTGGACCAAAGAACTTGTGCTGCGATTCATGGATGATTTTACTGTTCTGTTATGTTATAAAGTTTCAAAATTCTTTCAACAGAAAAACATATCTATAACAAAAATATAGCTAAAATAAAAAAACCTATTCCACAATTTTGGATTTCCAAAACCACAAAAAATGGGAAAAACCACACTAAAATAGGCCCTGGTTCATGGCGTATGGCACAATGCCAGAATGGATGGCAATGTTTCACGAAAAAGGCCATCTTGTGAAGACTTAAAATTGATTGAAAGTATTTTAACTAGGAAAATCAATTTTCTATGGCATTATCTATGGCATTATTCGTCTTCCTGGTCTATGTTTCTCTTGCAGTCAGGGGTCTAGTACTATAAAAAGAGCAAGGGAGACTCTCCCAAAAAACATCCATTTATTTCTAAATTTAAAAGATTATAATTTGTCATTAGCAATAATGGCCCATTGATAATCGATACATTGAATTAACGTTGAGCCTGACCCTGGATTACGGTACGCCGAGTTAGGGCATATTGGCTCTTTGCGAAGAAATTGAGTGTGGTCTTGTTTTAATTGCGTCGTAAAAATTGATGGACAATTGGCAATCTATTTGGAAATGGAATAGACAACGTCAATGATTTCAATGAATATTATTGAAACAATTACAAAGAATCTGATACCATTTTCTAAAGAGATTAGTTTATCGAGTTATAAATTGCTTTAGAAAACTCACGTGCTGTTCAACTAAGTATCTTTGCTGAATTCCAAGACTGGTCATTACTGTGACAACAAGTATTATTTTGTGGCATCTCAAAGCCATTTACGTCTCGTATTAGCCGACAATATAATGACAAGCAATTCTGGGTGGAAATTGGTGCGAGGATTTCAAAGCTCTGGCTATTTACCACTACCATCAAAATATTGACGACTAACATTTGGCTATTGAGAAACAATTAAGACAATTGATATAGTTGCTGTTGCTGTTATATTGATTGCCGTCACTGATGCTTGCTGCACTTGCGCTTTATCGTAAAATGATTTATACACAAACTAAAGAACGAATTCAAAATAAACAGGTAAAATGACCTAAAAAAACCAAACAAAGAAATGATCCTAATATTCTCCCATTGAGTCATGCTATTGGTTTCCAAACCATTTTAAAGATTTTTAGCTTTTGTTTGAATAAACTTAGTGTGGGTTCCTGACATTTAAGGGAAGTTCATTCCAATTTTTCAAAGCAGGATGAGCGGCAACCGTGTAGCATAACTTGGTATAGGCATTAAAAAGTAAAAAGCTGCAATGAATACAAACTAGGAAAATTCACATTCAAATTGCTCAATATTTATCATTCGAATATAGTTCCTAGAAACTTTAACTTGTCAACCCTCTTTCCTTGAAATCTTTCCTTCCAGAAAAAGCTGGTGTCAAAGAGCATCTAATGATAATGAATGAGCTTGTAAACTATTTCCGCAACAGATAATTGTTATTCAATTTACTGAATTTTGTATTAGATGCCATGCAAATTTTGCTTGATCAGAAAGGACAACTATTAACGAAAATTCGTCAACATTGCTTTTTGAGGTATCCGGCTGAAGTCGTAGTGCAACGATGGTGAAGCCTCGTGCTCTTGTTTCTGTAATGGAGGTCAGGCACGCAACGCGATTTAATGGCGGTTCTTTATCACTTGCAACCTATCAAGGAAAGTTACAAATAACAGTTATCGCGTTTGACGGTCTTTCAAAGAGATATGTATCAGCGATAAAATGTTGCATTTTCCGATCAGCTCACGATAACTTTGATATATCCCCAACATTTGTCGGCTTTTTTGTACAAGCTTCCTTGTTTTCATTACTCGATGTAATCAAAGGTTTCAATTGATTCACTCTTTGCTTTATGTTGCGTGTTGCATTGGATTCGTTGGTAAGTAGGAAGTGGAGTGGGTGAAGTTCGTTGGTGCTGGAAGTTGGGAAAAATTAAATCATGCTCCATATATTGTCACAGACAAGAAGGAGGAAGAGACAATAACATGCCTTAAATTCTTCAAAAAGTTGAAAAAGATGCACTAGGTAGAGATGTTTCACGTTTTTAGGTTAGCCTTGGAAAAGTAAAATTTTTTATACATTACAAAAATTTCACATGAACTACTGCTATAACCCTCTCAACATTCAGTACCTAGTGCCTCCTTTGTCTTCAAAGATAATCAATTACAAAAACGTCCAAACCAAATTTACAAAAACACCTGAACATGTTTTTGCTACCTCAAAATTGGAAGATGCCATGAAACATTGCATGCTGAAGAACTTTCACGCTTCAGTATGAATACTCTTCACTCACGAGTATGAATGTCGGATAATGGCCGAAAATAAGCAAAAAATCTATATCCAGGTGTGAATCAAAAGCAACGTGAGAGGAACAAAGACGCATTTGATTGGTTCTTTTATTTCTTTACTAACCAATGACCGCTAACATCACACCTGGTTTAAGTGCCCAAATGAGAAAACGAGTTTCATTGTTCCTTTATGCTTTTTAAATTGTTTAATGGTAACTTTTCAATTGTGGATGCACACTAATCTAGAAAAACATGAAGATATTTCAAGTATAACGTGAAACAGATTGTATAATGCAGAGGAGAGATGAGAATTTCTTTGAAAGTAACTAAGCTTTGGTAAATTTTGTAACTTGATTTAACATAGTGCTTTGGGCTGTTTTTATTGATTCTGGGAGTGAATCGTGGGAATGATTTCCAGATTGTTGGCATTTGGGAACTCTGCGATTTGATACCGTTACAGCTCTTGTCTTTGGAATGTCAAAAGCGTCTTTTAGTCTTAGATGGTGACCTTTTTTGCACCATACCTAAGCCTTTTGTCTGCATAGGCTCCGACACAGGTTGGAAAGGGGCGGCAAGTGAATGTAAATATTTAACACCCATAGCAAAAGATTTTGAAAAAGATTCTATTGTTCTCTAGAAAAGTGGGGGTTCCGTGCCCCCCCCCACTTCATCTGAGGCCCTGGTCTGACATTCTTATAGTAAAGAGCGTCAGCACATAAATCAAAACACTAAGCTAGGAAATATATATACCCAGTTGTGGATCGAAGTAGACCCATCAGAAACGCATGACTGTTGAGATTGCCCAATCAGTGCCGCTTGCCTATTGAAAATGTTACCAACGAGGTCCTAAGGTGAAAACGAAACTTACAAACGCAATTTACAGTACACTGTATGTTCCAAAATTATAACAGAAATTACAATTAACTTAAATCTATAAATCTCGATAATATTTTAATAGAATCTTACTTTTGGCTTCTTCTTGAAGATTTTTTGCTACAAGCATCAAATTTAGGTTCAATCTACGAGCACCAACTAACAGAAAACGAAGTCACATTGCTGCCTATTCCTATTTTAAATTCTATGTAGATTTCAAACTTGTCTATGCGTTAATCCTTATTGCCGATTTTTGATGTGTTGGTCTTTATACTGAATGGTCTTTATAGTTGTGATGGTACATCGGTATTGTGTTGCTAAAACGTATTTTAAAGAGATGTTGGAAAAATGTTTCTTGAGCAAAAAGTAGAAACATTGGCAAACAGTCAATTATTTTGCTAGTGAATAGCACTCACGACATTCTGTGGCTAGCTTTTCAAAAATGAGCGGCTTCTATAAAATGCCGTTTTTCAAAATTATGTGACAGTTGTCATTCGCGTATCCAAAATACATCTTCTCTCATAAACCTTAACTGCGACGACAATATTGTGGTCACTCGTTCGGCTGCGTTGAAAAAGAAGGTGAGACAAAAAAACAAAATGATAATGTTACAGTTAACTACATAGAATAGAAAACTTACAGATAAAAAGATTCTCGTCGGAAACAAGACGCAATAAATAGCAAGAAACCTCGCTCTACCTAAACATATATCTATTAACGAAAAACGACAAAATAACAAGTTGAATTCAATATCTTCAATAATTTTGCTTTCAAACAATCACAAGTGATAAATTACTAGATTTAAAAAAGTAAAAACGCCCACAATGAGGTTCAATGTATGGGGATGCAAGCGAAACCCCCACCTTTCTCTACCTGCACTGTAATGCTTATTTACAAAACCAACTTGAAGTAGCGTTTACTGAGATACGAATCATGTCTTGTTGCAGCGAATGTTACTGCACTATGGAGATTAGGGGATCGGGACGTTGACTCGGACTTTACTTTATAGAGAACATACCCACTAGAATAGCTACCATGTGAAACAAAAAAAATGAGACATAAAAAGTTGTTAGGGGTTTGGGTTTTTATCTTAAGTCTCACGCAATGTATTAAATCGGGCATTATTAGATTATTGACGATGCAATATCTATTCGAAACAATCGCAAATCTATTTTGTACACTGATAGGCTTTTAGCGACATTTTCATTCACAGTTTCTGGGAATTTAAACATTTTAAAGGCAGCGGGTACAATAATTACTAAGTCTTTCTTCGTTTCATAGCTGAAGACGATGGCAACTGCTAGGCGAAGACATTCACAAGTTTCGAGGGCTTTTATTTGCTAACAGCCCCAAAAAGAAACAAAAATACCAGATATTACTACTTCGACAAATCACTTGTAAAATTACACAAATATAGACAAATACTGACCAGCCTAAAATATCTAGCTAAATGGAATAATCGTGAAAACACAGAGTAGTAACGATACAATAGCTTGGATATACATTTACAAACTGAATTAAACCCTATGACTGCCAATTCCTTTTGGCTGTTTTCATTTTAATGCAGACTATAGCAAATTTTTCACAAACATTACGGGCAGCTTATTTGAACACAGGAGGCTACGACGGCCCAAAAAGGCAATGTTGTAAAGATGCTTGATCTCAACATCAGGGCGAGGCTAGGACCTGCTAGCAGCGGCTTAGCTTCGTTTATGTGTGTAACCTCAAAAAGTTGTCACCTATGGTAATAGCGTAATGCCAACGTAGAAAAAGTGTACCTAGTTAATTGGGTAGTCACTTTTTTGAGGCGACGGAAATGTATGGTGGGTGAAGGGAGACTAAATAATGGAAAACCTGCTCTACTTGAACTTTATATGTTATAGAACTTGACGAAAAATAGAAATATATTCTTGACTATATACAGATTTCTACCGTAATATGTATTTCTACTATAATCCGCATATATCTTACAGAAGAAAAGAGCTTCATTTTCCATCGTTGACGTCATAATTTCTGCTTGCTGTAAGAAAAAACAAAATCGCTCCTTAGGAAAAGAGAAATGAGAATAGATTGGAAACGTTAAAACAATGTTTGGTGACTCAAATACCTCTTTTAAGCTACCAATAGTAGTTTGAAAGGGGGTATCTATCAGCTGAAGCCTAACTCTTTTGATAAAGATTGATCTCAGGAAAAATGGTTTGCAATATGCGTATTTATTTATTTTTCTGAATTAATTGTGAAAGGAAGCACCGTTGCTAGCGAGGTTTTATTCACAAGGATGTTTAACAACTACTTCTTTATGCAACAAGGTTGGTAGCATACAGATATCTCGTGACATCCGGAACATTAGAGGCGTCCTTGATTAGACATCATAATAAGATCCATCAACACCAGAATACAGGACATAGTATTTCCTTTCACACTTTGCATAAATTGTTACGCTACGTGCTAGCTTTAACGTCCAGATTGCTATGTGTTATCGATGCATTAGGCAGAGAAAATAGAGAAAAATCAGAGCCGAATTCCACTTTTCAAGGTACTAGATAAATAAGGTCATTCAAAAGCCCGGATTATTTTAAAAAATCGAATGAAACAGCAAAAATCTGGAGCTTAAAAGGCAATAGATAGATACCACAGTGGCTTAAGACATCTTCCAATCAACCAATCAGTGAGCAAAAAACCACTCACACGGCTATTGATTGGTTAATATTGATTGACAGGTGGCCTAATCCACATAAATATATATCGATTGCCTTAACGTAAAGGTTTAGGGACAGTCATAGAAACAGACTACATCTACATCTACCAATTACTGTCTGCCTTTTATAGAGAAGGTTCTGACAGGGCGACAATCCAGAATGGGAGGTCATCAGTATGTTCACAAGAGACAATTGAGAACAAAGTGACTTGAACCCAGGCCAAGGCGAACCTTTAGTCTCCTCCAAGTTTCTGGGTAACCATTTATCACATGGTTTCTTATGAGAGAGTATGCATGTAAGCTTCAAGTTTGCATAGAGTTGGACACATATCATTGACTTTCCACCCTAGCAGTCACAGTTGAAAATTATTAAAATCAATAAGGATATTTCAAGTTGTTTATTTTTTCGTATGGATCCCATACAGTGGATGCATATTCAACAGATCGCCTGACCAAAGCTTTTGTATGCCTGTGCTTTCAACTGTCGGTTAATCTGTGCTTTCGACTTTAAGATATTTTGCACTAGATATATACTTCAATTTGTGTTCAGGTAAGATATATTCGTCCATAACTGGGTTTTTTCTGCGACTTACTGCGAGAACTTTGCGTTTTTTGCATGAAACTCCATACTCCACCTCTCCTCCCACTAACAGTAATAATATTGAAGTAATTAAAACATTTTGCAACGGTAGCCTACTTACTATTTTCACTCTGTTTTCTTAATTTCCGTCGTTTTCTCCGCTCTATGCTTGCCAGCTCTGTTTTCAGTTTCCCATATAATTTTTGAATTTCGTGTATTCTCCCTTGAATTACAGTGATCCGCTCGGCAGCATCAATTTGAGAAAGTTCGGCTTGAAAAGTAAAATGAAAACATCAAAATCCACGAGATAAAGAGGTATTTGTACTCTATGAAAAATCATCAAAAATAAACAGCAATTAAGAGAATTTCGAAGCCACGTCAAAGTGGAACTCGAAAAGTCGGAACGCATTCGAAGTACCGATAAAATGATCATTGCGTCTTAATGTTACTGAACACCTGAGAGTTTACGTTGAAAAATGGCAAATAATAGTAGTTCAAGCCAATTTAACATAAACAGCAACATACTTCATACAAGGGAAGATTCAAAACAAGAGTTCAGTGGAATTAGCATTGACTTAAGTTCATCGACATCAACAATTGCTTGCAGAATTTGCCAAGACAGTAAAAATCTATCAGAGCCGTTAATTTCACCATGCAGGTGCTCTGGTAGCATGGGCCTGATTCATAAAACCTGTCTGGAGAAGTGGCTAGGACATTCAGGAAGCAACCGATGTGAGGTTTGTCAATTTGAATTTAAAACTGAACGAATATCAAAACCGTTTAGAGTATGGTTACAGGATGGAGACCATTCTCGAGATCGGCGCTATTTCCTGATCGATGCCCTGTGCTTTATGTTGCTAACACCATTAGGCTGTATCAGTTCGTGGCTCTGCATACAAGGCGCAAAAGAATATTACGAAACAACTGACAAATGGACCGGCTTCGGACTGATTATGTTATCTACCTTCTTGGCTTTGATGTACATATTCTGGGCATTGATTACTTTTCGATATCATATCGAGGCGTATCGAAAATGGCAGAGAAAGAATCAAGTTGTTCGCATAATATTTGAAGACAGTACTCTGCGAGAGACTGAAAATGTATAGAAATATGTTGTACATATTTGTTTGCCAAAATTCCAATTTTTTATGTTTGAGATGTAGTCTGTATTACTACGACAATGTATCTGTACAGGGTAAAAGATGAACACAGTCACTGTCAATTGAAGGGACAACACGATAGCTATAGAGGCAGTATTGAAAGCATCATAACAAGAAATGTTGTCTGATTATAACATTAAGTGTAAAAGTCGGAATTGCAAATGGGAACCTCCCAGTTCTACGCATTAAAGCATGTTTAGCTCTGCCTATACGGCAATGTGAGCTATATAAAAGATAATAAAAATACATGGTTTGAATTAGAATATTAACAATAATAAAACAAGGATAAAAAACGAATAATATGATTCTAAGGTGAAATTTTAATTAGAATATTGAGAAAAAAAAGGATAATGAAAACGAATAAGATGCTTTAAGGTGAAGTCTGAAAGTACAGATCTGTAGCAATGGCGCCCATTAGATGTGTGTTTTTATGAAACTCGGAATAGTTTAGTGCAGCCATTCTTAGACTCCGGCCCGCGGGCCAACTCCAGCCCGTAGCAAAATTTCATCCGGCCCGCCGAATTCTTTTAACCTCGAAAATTCGATTTATTTTTGGTTTTTTGTCCCCACTGACATTTTTCTTTTTTCAGTGGTAAACTTTAATTGCTTTTCGTAGACAGTTATTGGTCCGAAAAGGAGTACCGAAATAGGAGATGCTTTATTTAATCAATTGATAGTTCTATAGCGTTTAAGTAACTGTTTTTTAATCTGTTCATCTTACACGCTGTTATGCTAAAATTATTCTAAAACCTTGCAAGACTTTTCCTTTTCATGTCAATAGATAAAACTATGGAATCTAGTTATGAAAGAATATTGCTTTGAATTTTTTCCCGTTGAAATCTACTTGAGGTGCTGTTTTTGACCATTCCTACATTAATATAACATACAATTTGTCTTGCCACCAACCATGGCGGGGGCCTACACTGAATTCAGTCCCTCGACCAAACTTCAGCCGCGCTTCAAATCGATCCAACAAGAGACTAACGAAGATTAACCTTCTAGGCTAAAAATAGCATAGAACGATTTTCTGGCTCAGAAACATAAAGTTACAAACCTTTGTGAACACTATTTTTTGGGTTTATGCGAAGATAGGGAGGCACGAAAAAAGGACTGATAACATCTTATCACTAACTTAGCCTGGTAAATGAGATCTGAGTTTCATTTTGAGCAACCTTTTAACACAGGGTATGGAAAAGTTAAAAACCAAGTGGCCCCCGTAGAAAGTCTATATGTTTTTCTTTCCCGGCACTTAAGATAATTAAGAACCCCTGATTTAGTGGATAGATAGTAGCCAGATTGTCATTCGCGGCTGGTGAAAACTTACCAAAGAATCGAAAATTTTCTGTACATTGGATCAATGTCGTCACATTTCAAAATGAAACCTAGATATTGGGTCATTCAGGAGCTGAGAATGTTATTCCTTTCTTGTTGAAGATTATGATCCAGTTCAAAATATCGAATTATCGAGCGACAGCCAGGTAACAGCAACAAACAGCTTAAAATCTTAAAATCTTAACAAACTTCCTTACATTGCCTGTTGAAATGTTACTTCTATCATAATGTCGAAATGTATCAAACAGTTCCAAAAAATTTTTTCACTTACCTAAATCAGAAACGAAGTCAAATTTTTCTTTTTCAAATTCCGAAGTGGAGTGGCGTTTGTCCTTTCCCCTTCGGAAAGGGCTCTGTTGATTGTTTTCACTTTCGCTTGCATCAGCCACAGAACAACTTGCAGCGCGTCGTCGCCTCTTCCTCTCTCGCCTCTTTTTGCGACGGTCTCGTTCCGGGGTCGAAAGACTAACTGATGGTGATACCATTTCACTCCTTTGGTCGTGTTTATTTCGAATTGGCGAGGAATTGACTTCTTTCATTTTGCGTTGTTTCTCTGCATCAATGGCTGCTGCTCGCTGCAAAATATCAACAACATGTTCCATACAAGTCAATCCATTACTGTTATCCATTTCTGAGTCATCGATGTTATTATTCTCAACTTTCAACTTTTTGTCATCAATATTATCGTTTGTTTCATCCATGTTCTCTTTATCAGAAGTTTTCTTTTCATTTTTTGACTGTTCAACTTTTTCTGACACCGCGATCTCCTTCAGACTTTTTGTCGCAACTCCGTCTCCCTCTGTCTCGATCTTTACAGGTCTCCTGTCCTTTAATACTTTCCCATCATTTCTTCTTTTACTACCCCGCCGGTTTTTTTCTTCCTCCTCGAAGCCTTCCTCTGTTTTTATTGATTCATCTTTCATTATTTCATCTCCACCTTCGCTATTCTGTAATAACTGCCTATCATTTTTCATCAAAGCGCAATCCGTCAAAATTTCCATTGCTGAAGATTGTCTTTCTACATTCTTTGAAAGATCCTTCAGGTCATTCTCAAAAGCAATCGATTTAGCACTTGCAGCTTTTCCTTTTCCACTTTTAGGGCGATCTTTCTTTTTGCTGTCCACTGCTTTTCTTTTGTTATCCCCCTTACTATTTCGTCCATCATTTCTTTCATCCGACCACAGATCAATAGAATATTCTGATACAGATTCTTCATCCTCCGCTGAATCTTTGCTTTCTTGTTTCCCAAACGGACTTCGCTCGTTTCTTCTTCTTCGTGTCGTCTTTCTCTGTGGAGGTGTTCTTCCTTTGTCCTGAACATCGACGTCATCCTCCTTCGCACTACTGCTTTCACTCTCTTCTTCACGTTCCGGCGATTGACTTTGCTTTTCACGTCCTCTTCGGGGACGGCCTGATCCAGTGACGTCACTTGCAGGAGATTCTGTACAAAAACGTTCTTAAATATTCAAAATGTATCCAGAACAAAAATTGCGAACCAGCGTAGAAACGATTTAAAAACAAACGAAAACTAAACACAACAAAAACATACCAGAAATACTTTCTTCCAAAGCAGTTATGAGGAAAACATCTTGCATTGAGTTTCTCGTCGTCCTTGGCTTCACGGGATGCGGTTTCATGTCAGCAAAGGGGGAATCGATTTTCTGCGCTCCAAAATTTGGTTTTGGATTGGGTGCCGATGATTTTGGCTGCGATCCTTTCAGGGGTGTGATTGACGGCTTGGGGTTGACTGCCGTCGGTTTTGCTGATTGGACAGGCTGTTTTGCCGGTGTGTTTGTAGTCTTTTGCGTACTCTGTGTTGTTTTCGTCGACTTTTCATGGGGGTTTGAGGGTGGGGTTCCTGGATTTAAAGGCGGTGGCGACCCTGCCTTTCTAGATCTAGCAGTAGTCCTAGGAGTCGGTTGATGCGTTTGATGAAAATTATGAATTCCAGGTGGTTCTGAGTGATTTTTGTAGCCTCCCGAAGAACTGCCTTTAGCACCCTATAAGAAAAACTCGATGCTTAGGCCAAAAATTCAGATCAGTTTCATGATCAAAGTAGAACTGAACTTGCCAACGTAGCATATACTAGAGGTAAACGGCTAAAAGCACCACTGGTTATTAACTATGAAAGATATACTACTTAAATAGTAAATTTAATCAAGTAATACATATTTGATAAAATCAGAGCGAAGCTCAAATTGAAATTGTGTTTATTTTATGCTAGGCCACAAACGCATGACTTGAGCTGCCTTGTCTTAATCTCCCCTGGGTGAAAAAATTTATACAGCCGCAAGCTTTTCGAAAACGTATTAGAAAAACAAAAATAAGCGATTACCTTGGAAGCAGTGCCTTTCTTCTTTGGAGGATAAGGACTCAGACCTTCGATAAACTCATGCTTAATCCACTCATCGTACCTGCAAGACAGCATGGATTTGCTAGACAACGTGAAAACGTAAACAAATCCTTTAGGCCTATTTTTGACAACAACTTCTTGTTCAACACAATAATTTCATTGAAAACTATCGCAACCTACCGTTACAAAACGAGTAAAAATTCCTAGTAACTTTCTTTGTTTATATAGACATTTAATTGCAGGGCGAATTTAACTTTTGTTTTGAGACAAATGACAGTGCTTGCAAAGAGTACTTGGCGGCCATGACATTTAATGAATATAAAATACTTCAGGGAGGTGTTCCATTCAAAAGAATGATTTTATAAGTCTTGACTTTACAACGCCAACATGAAACAGCGGGTTGACTTTCAATATTGATTCCACGTACATTATTTTTCACATGGAGCGAAAACGGTTAAAATACAAAAGCAGAAAAGGTAACAGGTTCTTCCCGCAAATCTCGCTGATAAGTTCATTGTTAGTGGAAAAGAAGACAGTCTGAGTATTGTCATGCTAATAAGGGCTTTTGTCTACAATAACAAGGAGGAAAGTCTTTGCTGGTGGCCATTTTGCTATGCAAAGCGTAATTCTAAATCGACGAAAGGAGCAAATGTCCTTTATAATCTGACGTGCGTTCACAGGAAGTACACTGCAAGTTTGTTTTTTAAATCAATTTGATAAGCATACCGATGGTTCCAACCTCTGTAATGTACATAGTACAATAAATCGGGGGTGAGTTCTGAATCCACATCAATAATCTAGAAAAGAACATAAATAGGCAATATAACAAGAACGAGTAAATGAGAAATTGAAGCCTCTACAAAAGATTCAAAAATTCACGAAGTGCTACTATTGAAAAACATCGTTGCACCTTCAAGTAATAGCATATACTGATTTCATGGGCTCTGTTGCAGAAGAAATAACAACAGAACACCTGCTTAAGCAAGTATATGGGAAAGGTTATTAGTAACAACTGATAACCCTTGCCGTATTTGCCGTCGTCCTGGCTACAATCAACTCAGACGAACTATCTTTGCTGCTACCCCTGCAAAAAGTTTTGGGGCACTAACGTGAGCTTAAAGTTCAAGGGAAAATTCGACCATCCCAATCTCCCCCTAAGAACAATGTTGATTTACTACAAAATGACTTGAGAGAACTGGAAGTACGTTTTTCGAATAAATTGTATGAAATTTGCCTTGAATATCAACATTGTTATTTGGGTAGAATACCTAAATGTATAAATAATGAAACGAAAACTGCTGGGTGCTTCAAGGGAATCTGATAGTCATCGTATATCGTTCTTACAATATCGTTCTTGATTTTGAAACTTTTAAACCTATTGAAAATGCATAGAAAGGGAAAGTCTCTTAAAAAAATCTTGACGGTGGGCTCATTTGCAACCCCCCCCCCTTCTGAAATCAAAAACCAGATTTGCGACAAAAGTACCTTAGTGTTTTGACTGAAGAAAATCTAAATCGGAAGAATCATGATAACAAACTCGATAAGGAGTTGTTAAGATACACTACAACTTTTGCAAAACTTAGACATTTAATATCAAAGTCTAAATTATTATCTTTGCGGCGTTATTCATTTCTAAAACAGGCATATTCATGGAAAATAAAGGGAGCTAGAAGAAAGGAAAATTTTAAAGTTTATAATTAAAGCAAATTAATTTTCAAAAGCCAAAAATATTGCGTCTTCAAGTTAGATAAGAAAGCAAAATTTAAAATATAAAATTTTATAGTTGAATATAAAATTATTCGTTCCATGTATCGTACCCGCTACAACGGACACGGCTTGCAGGGAACTTTTCGAAGTTATTTAAAAAAGGTTACAAACGGAAGTCAACAAGACTGATAGAAATCTGGGCGAAAATATTTTCCTCCACCGGAGAGCCCGTCTGTGGAATAATCTGCCAAGAGACCTTGCCAGGCTCACTAGGTACGAAGCTTTCATGGCGACTTTGAAAAAGAGCACCTTCAACTGTTGCAAAAAGAAACCCAGTTTTACCAAAATTACTTCTTTGCCCGATTCATAATAGTCTCATTCAAATAATAAAACGTGCATGACTTTACTGAATACAAAATTGTTTTTTTATTACTGTTTAACCAACCTAATTATGCAACAGCTGTAAAACTAGAATAACAAATAAGATTATGTGTTTGTTAACTTTTTTTTATATCCATACGATTGCTGGACTACTTATAGCTTGCATAATATCTTTGTTAGCCTGCGATTCCTTTGTATCCAGATATCATAATCCTAATCTTAATCCGAGCGGTCCAAGCTCCACAAGCTTTACCTTTCCGGGGTCATATTTAAAACAAGTCTCGTTACACTGTATTTCTAGATTGCATTATGAATATCACAAGGATTACAGCGTCCATTTGCTGAACGACATCTTCATACACTCTGGGTACAAGACCCTCGGTGAAAGAGATGGTCAAACAGTGGTCTTCCCGCTCTTTCAGCGACCCACTCTTTCACTGTGGGTCTGGCACTCAGTGCATAAAAATTTAAAGGTGTGAATAACCACTCCATTGAAAGAGCACCTTCCACAAAAAGCCCCCCCCCCTTGCGAGAATCAGCAATCATATGAGCGCCAAGGGCACTCATTCGAGACAATCTGGAATACATACTCAATCATGTAAAAGGCTCGTTAGTTACATATTTAGAATAATCAAACAACCCATACCTTAACGATCTGATTTCATCGCGTATTATTTTTGTCCAATCGTATAGTTTTATAGCACGATAAGGTTAGCCTTGTTTAGCTTAAAGATTCGCGTGTAAGCTTTACGGATATGACTCTTTTGAAAAGGGCAGGAAAGCTGGGGAAGACACAACTAAGCAGCAAACGAGTTCTGAAGTACGATATGCAACAACAGCCTTCAATATCCTTTGAGTTTCCAATGCTCTCATTTAATCATTTTTAGGACCGAATGTGAGCTTCTGTTTGTTAAGTTCAAAATTCAGCCAATACCTATAGATCCAAAGTCTTCTACGTAAGTCTGAGAGGCGTAACGCTTAGTCGCTACATAAACAATTGCGTCACTCCTCGCCTTACAACCCTGTTGTATATTTACGATGCCAACGCCAAAGTTGCTATTTAACGCAATTTCAAATAAAGCAACGCGAGAAGTACTTCTTTCATCTTCTATTTGAAACATGCTGCTACTCTAAACATTCTGAATGTAACGAAAATGAGAGATAAGATATATTAAAAACTTAATTGCAGGTATTCGATTTGAAATGCAGTTAAAGACAAAACATTGAATGCTATATGAAATAGTTTAAGAGAAACAGAGGGTCACTCGCCTCTTCAGGAGGCAAAGATGAGCTGTAAACTTGCTAAAGCGTATTTGCAAAACACGAAAAGAGAGGGGAAATGCTAAAAGTAAACATACCTTGGCCTCGTAAGCTCTGTGAAGTTTGCCTTTGCCATATTTAACAAGAATCCTTGCACCAATTGGGTACTTGCCATCCTCAGTCATTGTCAGCTCACTCTCGCTCTTCGTATCTGAAAATTCCTTATCCTCACTAACAACTGAGCTGTGCGGGCTATTCACGATATCCACTAACTCGTCCCCCTCAGACTGCTTTGTGACGTCACTATCTAATTCCATTTCGCCTCTTCTTGAATAAGAGTTCATTTCTTGGTAACTCTCTAGACTTTCATCAGAAGAGTCTATTGGCGAAGCCATTTGCTTATTCCCTTTGCTTTCTTGCAGATTGAACTGTTTCTCTACAGAATTTCTTCTCGGCCTACTTGACCTTGTTTCTCTCCTTTCAACTTCAGAGTCACTTTCGTTTTTGCTTTGCATTCGGGTTAGTCTTCGTACAGCATTATTTTCATTTTCTGAGTCACTTTCTGGCTTCTTGCATTTATCCTTCTCTTTAGCGTTCTCCTTTTCCTTTGCAGGCTCTTTTGGTTTTTCTTTATCATTAGTCTTCTTATCGGGTGACAAGTCAATTCCCTTTTCTAACGCCTCATATGGAAATATATACCTATTCACAGACACACAGGCATAGTGTTAAAGGCTTCAAAATTAAGAAAAAGTCCAACATTAATAATAAGGTGCCCTTATTAACAAGTGCAAAAGAACTGGTTAATAAGAAGAGAGAATCACAAAATGAACATATCAAACACTCAATATTAACCAGTATTAATATTAATCAATATCATATCAATATCAAACAATATGCAGATTGATTGACTGATAATCGTATTCTAACAATAATCACAAAATGAAAAAGATCAGAATAGTTATCACAGTCTAAGTTCAGTGATTGGAAATTTCGAAGGATATTAAAACATGTTTAACGTATCAAGAGCTGGGTTTATTGAAAATAGTCTAATTTTTGAAACATTGACTGTCAGTCTGAATAAGGATAATTAAGGAAGGGAAAAATATGTTCCAATAAATTTGAATCAAGCACAAAACAAATGTATCTTGAAAATACCTCTTATAAAAATTGCGAATGTTATAGGCAGCTGTCGACGGAGGGTTTGTCATTCCCATTTCCTTGTAAATGTTCCTCCACTTGTTTAAGTTTGTCACCTAAAACGATTGTATTATTAGATGACAATGTCAACAAAAAACTTTTATGGTACTAGAAAGATCTCAAAATCTTCAAATAAAAAAATCTTTAAAGACGTCCTAGATGGCAGAAAGGAAAAGCAAGCAATTATGTTGATTGCTTAAACCATACTCTTAAACAGCAATATAACATACATAATAATCTAGAAATTAACACAAATTCACCATATATCATAAACTCTTTAAGGGGTACAACAAAAGACTGAAATCGTTAATACCTCATCCATCCCGCCGTGCTTCGTAACAGTAACGTAGAGTTTGAAAAGATCGATTTCTCTACACCCAAGAGCGGGGGGTTTCGAGATTGGTGTTCCTGTAAAAGAAGGTTCAGTAACACAGTGAGAACAAATGTAAACTTAAATGTAAGTTGACACTTGGGCCTGGTTCAAACGTCGCGCTTCTCATGTGCCGAACCTAACTCGAGAATTAAGTACATGAGGGGCGCGACGTTTGAATCAATTTGGTACGACAGATTGAGTTAGGAGCGGCAGACTAGTTTGGATCGGCAGAGCTTGCCGAGCTGCACGGCTCCAGCACGGCACAGTTTCAAGCGTCGAACTTGTCATGTACCGAACTCAATGCATAATTATATTTAATTTACTTTCCTTCCCAGAACTCATTTCTTTCTTAGAGGGCGCATGCGTTTCAAACAAATATTTAAGATTTCGTGCCTTAACCAAGATACTTCATGTAACAATCCTAAAACCCATTTGGCGCGACATAATTAAGTTCGACGTTTGAAACGGGAGTCGCGCTAAACATGCTCAAGTGTCGCTCCAAACAGAGTTAGGTTCGGCACATGAGAAGTGCGAGGTTTGAACCAGGCCTTACTAATCAATATTTTCTTTTCACTTTATAGAAACAATCAAACTGAACTGCTCAATAATTATTCTACATTAAAAAATTTCTGTGTCTCTAAATTGTAGGGGGAAGATACTGAATATCTACAAGGTAATTAAAAGGATGTTTAATATCTAACCTTGTTCATCCATGATTTTGTACAATTTTCTAAGAAATTCTTCTTCTTCCGGAGAAATTGCCTCTTCTTTCATTACATCCTCATCTTCGCTTGACGATGTCTCTGTTGTGTCGTTCAAATCAATGTTCCACCCTCTAGGAAGTTCTCCATTATCAAAAAACGCCAGAGCTTTTTCTATAGAGCCTCTCAAAATCGGATCGATTTTCGTCTCACCTTTCATGTAACTCAAAACTGGCTCCTTCTCTTTACAGAACTCCTTTATATCAGTCTTGTTAATTGCGAGTCTATAAAAGACGTAACATTTTTATCCTGTGTACTTAACGAATCTAACGAAACATACTGATACAAGATATAAAGGTGTCGTTTTCGTATGACGGTTTAAACTACGAAAAGAATTGGGAAAAAGACCCCAAAAAGTAGCTACTGACCTCTAAAGCTCACAAGTACAAAAGTAGAGGTAAGGGCACTTTCCGACATTTTGCTCAGAATATCTGTATGTACTCTATCAACATTTCTAAGTGCTCATTACTTTTTAGCATCCAATAAGGTTAAATTTTTGCAGTTCTATTTTACAGTAAAAAACTTTTGATTTGAGCTACTGCATTTTGACGTTCAACTAAGCAGAAATTGGAAAAATGAAAAATTAGCTACAGAAACAGTTTCTACAGAGAGCTATTCTGAATAGTCGATGGCACTAGAAGTATTAAGACTGCTGTTGTATAACAAAATGCATTTATTACTTCTTACATCCTCGATTTAAAATTGATTAAAGCAAGCCATGCGAAACTTTCTAAACTGAACAATGGCAAAGCTAGACAATGCTTACTTCCTTCCATCCTTAAACGATTGAACAAGTAGCTGCCCTTTGCTGACCTCCAATCCCTCTGCCATGTGCTTGCGAATACACTAAAGGGTGAGTTCACATTGCCAATGAAAAATTAACTTAATAATCTTTACACATTGCAAAATCTCTGGGTTACATTAAAAATTAGATATTTTTTGCCATATGTGTACTGGAACCAAAACATAATCAAATGCTGTTCACCATTCAACTTTTAATTTCAAAATGAATATTTCGTGATCATAGCTTGTGAATAGGAATAAAAGTATCGAATAGTGCAAAGAATTTGAACAACCAGTCTAGCTAATATATCATCTATACAGCGAGTAGAAAGGCCGGTGCACTTTGAAACTATGAAGACTAACCAATTTAAGTGACTTTATCTCGAGTCAATTGATCTATGAAAGAAGCTCATCTATGAAAAGTGTCGTAAAATATGGCAAAATGGTTCAAAGTCAGGAACTTTTTCTCGGATATTTCATTGAAACAGTGTAAAAAAATGCAGAACGTACCAGTGCAGGAAACCAACTTTTCCTTCTCTCCCCTAGCTCTACACAGACAACCTTTAGAAGGAGATTGAAGGAGCGTTGTTGACACGATTCAATAAAAAATGCAATTAAGTAAACTATTTTGGATTTAAAGGTACTTTGTAAGGATGATTCAACAAAAATGCCATTAAGTATGCCATTTTGTCCCTCAGTTAAGGAAGTTCAAAAAGACTTTCAAGATCACCAAATGCACAAAGCAAGAAAAATTCCAATGATTAGCAACAAGGTGAATATAAAAACAGCAATGTTTGTTTTTACACACTTGTGATAACGACAAATAATGAAGATATTGACACAAAACTGAAACGACTTGCTCTATTAAAAATTTATGGCTCAACTTTAAATTCCCCACAAAGATAAAATTACTCTTAACGTGCGAATGTACCCAGGGAAAGGGGGTAATTGATGCATGTTTCTGTTTAGAAGAATGACAAAGAGCCTTTTTCGGTAAGTGAAATAATCAGATATTTGAATCATAGTGGATGCACTACAGGTAGAAATATAAAATGAAAAGTATGTACAGATTAAAATACCTTCCCAAAGGACGAATCACGTTTTTTCTTTGATAAATGTTTTGAGTCTTCATCATCTCCCTCAACATCACTACAAAGGCAAGAACTCCCATAAACATTTTGATAGTTAAAAGTTATGTTTATATTATAGCTTTTATACATCTTTTCAGCAAACTTGACATTGATGGAGTACAGAAAAGTTGATATACAAACCTGTTTTGTGAGCAAGACCTGGTTCGTTTTCGAGTTTTTTCTTCCTTTGCTTGCTGCAATAAAATGAGTGGAGCTCAATTAAACACACTCAAAAAGCAAACTTCAGAGGCATTGCTACACGTCTAAAAAGCTTCTTAGAAAAATCGTAAAAATGTTCTCACCTTAGATACAGGTGCACCAAAGTTCTCTGGATTGTTTAGAGGCCGATGGTCTAAAGTCTACATAGGATTTAAAAGTTTGATATTGTTAAAATAATATATAATGTTTAAATATAAAAAAAAATTGAAAATTCAAACAACATAAATAAACATAATGTTTACAAAGCTTTAGAGCATTTTCATATTACCAAAGCAGTATGGATCCTTTACATTTTTCTATGATCCAAACAAAGTCTCTGAATTTCAGTTTAGTTTGCATGTTGGCATGCATGCAGTTCAGTTACGTATAAATTTACAACAAGTTTGACAAAGATAATCTCATTGCTTCCACATATAAACTTCCACAGGCCCTTGATTCCTTAAATGTGGATGACAAATAAAGTCCTTTAATAAATCAAACTTCTGGGAAACAGAGAAAGTGTTTCAAAGTAAGAGAGAGCAGCCAAAAACCATTCCAGGTAAGGCCAGCTAACAGTTGATAAAAATTTACAGAAATGTTAAAAATGCAGAATAACAAAATACCTCATCTTCTTGAAAGTGTCTTTCACCTTTCAAACATAGACTTGTCCTTCTCAAAGTCTTTTCATCCCCATCATCAAAAACTGAGGACAAAAATGTTATATTTTAACATACATTTGTTTCAAGATCCCCCACCCAATCTATAACATAAATCTGTAGATATAAATCAGTCTATGATAGACAACAGACCTTTTATATCTTTGATGTAACATCTTTTATAATAAATAAATGATTTTCTCAAGTTTCCCCCTACATTTCATTCAAATGTCATATAAACAATGTCATTTGCAAATTTGTGTAGATATGATACAATAATTGTATGAATTCATGAGCAAATTATCATAAAAATCGAAATTTTTTATTGATACATTAACCAACCAGAATTTTACATAAAACTGTATTGTAGACAGGATCAATTATGCTATAGAAATAATAATTCCATGAACTATCCTAATTGCTCTTTCATATCGCTTTTTAAGAAAGCGACAGCTTCTAAGGGGGGTGTCCTAACTTTTTTCAAGCCTAATGCATTTAATATGTGTAATACATATATATATATGTTATAACTAATAGCACAATGCCATAAATCTTTAAACTGCCCCCTTTGTGTATGCCCAACCCCTAAAATTAGCTCCTACCATGGAGGTAAATTTTTTTAATAAACCCCCAACTTTAAATAAGCTCTCACCCAGAATGACAACTCATAATATATTATTTACATTTCAATAAGCCTTGCAGGCAAAAGTAAAAATTAGTGAGGATTAAATATACAAAACGTGGATTAATTTTTAGTCTTTAAAACCTAATTATGAACCCAATAATGCCAACTTAACCATCAAAAACAGAACTGCTCTTTCAAAAGTTAGGTTCTGGATAAAAGTTTAGCTATCATATCAACTATGACAAATGATTAGCAGTCTTTATAATCATCTAGAAGCTTGTTTAATAAAACAAATTTGATATAAAAACATTTTAACTGAACAATGAAGTTTTTCCAATCTTTTGAGGTGATAAATAGAAAAAATTTAAGTGGAACTTACCAACAGTGTACAGGCTATTATCAGTCAGTTTAATGATTGTTGCTTCTTGTACATCATTCTCCTGCTTCACCTTGACTGTACCATTCAACTACAATAAAAATAACTCTCAGAAATCTGTTTATTAAAGTGAATAACCTGTGAGTAAAAAGTGGAGATCCTCAAGTGTTCCCTGTTTGCCAAAAATTTTCCTGATAATCATCCAACAAAATGGGCAAATTAACAATAATGCAGGAGCTCTTTCAAATTATCACTAAGGCTTGTCATGTCTGAATTGCAGTGAACTGAAGGCTATTTGTAGGATAGGCCATTTAACTACAAACCATTTCCTATATATTGTCAAATTTTTTAAAATCTCAACTTTCTGCTTAAGTTGTTGCTGTGAAGTAGAAGACTGCGAATAGTTCAAAATATTTTATCACCTTCAATGCGCCTTCAACTTGGTCATCATTAACAATGCATGATGTGCCATTTTTCATAAGAACCTAGTGAATAATATCAAAGTGAATAATAAATATATGATATTACCCAACATTATAAAAATGAAAAAAATCCAAATTTTCTAAATGTGCGACCCCCCCCCCCTCCTCCTCGCCTACCATCATGTGTCCATCACTGATCAATCCTGCAATTTAATGTGCAATATCAATTGTTTCTATAACAATTTTACACAGAATGGCACAAATCTACACCAGAGTGGCATTTATCAACTCATACAAAGCCAAAAATTGAAACCAGACACAAAGCTACAAGGAGTAGCTGAGGACTAAAAGCTAGAAATCAGATGAATTTTACTAAGGATAAACTCTCTTTATATAGAGAAAATTTCCTTGTCTTTCCTGGTGAAGCTGGACTAGAAAAATGCCAGGGAAGTTTTTCTCAAAATTAACAGGCTTTAATGGGAAGACAAATATCAAATATTGCTAGCCTATTCCTGGTTTACCATAATTCTTTGAATTAGTCCCCTGAGGGCTTGTTAACTGTGGAGCTTTTCAGGGAAGGACTAATAAAAATCATCTACAAGTTGTCATACAAATTCTTTAGTTCATTGGGTAGCTTTTTAATGATTTTCAAGTTCATTTCATTTGCAATTTTACTTAAAAACTATTTCGAAAATATCTAAAGAAAGTATAAAACAAAGCAAGAAAATATATTTTCTTAAAAAAATGATATTTATGTCTTTATGTGTCTCTTGGTCAATGTCTCATTCAATTTAGCAGTTTAATTTGCTGCTGATTGTCTTATTAAATATCAATGACAGTGGTGTATATTTTTGTTCTTTCTCAACTAAGTATTCGTGAAGGCATATTTAGATGCAAAAATTGGATATTAGGGTGGGGGCTTGTTGGGGGGGGGGCGCAAATTTCAAGGGTTTTTAATTATAATAAAAGCCAGGGTGTGACAATGACACCACTTCTATTGGCGAAGGTGTCAGATATAATCAAATCACCACAAAGCCTACCCAGAGTCTCAGGGACATGGGTTCACAGACAAAATTACACAACTCCAAGAAAATGGATTGTAGTTTGCAAATGAGTTCGAGCTTTTGAAAGATTCTTTTGACATCTCCTGTCATCAACATCTCCTGAAGAGTGAGTTACTCACGAAACAGGCTTGTAGAGATAAACCATGTAGTCTTATTTTCTTCAACTCTATGATATATCTCATGTGTATATATATAAATAGATGCTCAATAAAAAAACTTGGTTGATGTTTCGCTGCAAACATTTTCAGAAATATAATGTTTATTCCAACAGGCTCCTGAATGTTTATTCAGGAGCCTGAATGTTTGTTTATATATAATGTTTATTCCAACAGGCTCCTGAAAAATGAAATCAAATCTATTAAAAAGTACAAAATAAAACTGTATTTAACAAAAAACCTTATTGAAATAAATGTTTGCTTATTTCACTTTTGATTAATTAATGTGCTTATTTCACTGTTACTGGTATCCTTTTGATTAACTGTTACTGGTTAAATCATTTCATATCTACCAAGGATATTAGTTTGACTTTAAGGCAGGAATGTCCAAAGTTTTCTAAGCTAGGGCCAACTGCGGAAAAATTAACAAAGGGCAAGGCCACACACTACAGGCAACATATTGATAGGAGAATAAGATGTGTATTTCTAAACTTAAGATAAATTGTTTCTAAAATTTGAAGAAAATTCATTTCCATAGTTTGAGGAATTTTGTCCTCTGTGGAAACAGTGATGCTCTGTTTTGTGCTGAAGGATGGATGATAGGTCAGCAGCAGTTTGGTAGTTTAGACACAAAGGACTTCATAGATAAGACTATCCCTTGTCTGGTTCTTGGTCTGCTTTTGTCTAGATTCTAGAACAATGTTTGTCACAAATAAATGTTTAGCCAAAAAGGCTTATCATTCTATTTGCATGGTGTCTCATGAGAGGAAACTTTTCATTATCCAAACTCTGATAGAAGTTAGGGAGGGTGAGAAGCTGATTTTGGCTTCACTCTTCAGAGAATCATCACACTCTTCCACTTCTTCTGCATCCACCAGAAAGGAGGTCGAGCACAGTTTAATATCTTTCTCAATGACAGCAAAATCTTGAATACGCTAGTTAAATTCTGTTACAAGAAATGCAATAGCAGAAACATATATCACCTTCTTAATAGAAAGGTCGACCTTTTGAAAAGCAGACTTGATTCTAGACAGGGAAGGGAAGTGTGTAGTTTTAGGTTTTGTAGTTGTGTCTAAAACAGGCACAGCTTTACACAGAAGACATACAGGTATGGCGTCAGCTGTTCTTTGCATTTTTGGCTCTTGCTCAGGGTATTCAGATGATCCAGTTATTGCCAAAATAATCAATTGTGTTCAACCTTATGTTTGGGCCATATTTGGTATCATTTGCAGGACTTGTTGTGGGCCAAAAAAACTGGACTGCATGCTACGGGCCTTAGCTTGGACACCCCTGCTTTAAAACAACAAAAGAGCAAATGAAACAACATCTAACATACCTTGCATTTGATAAGCTTTTTTGTAGACTTTACTCTGGCTTCACAAAATGCTCCTTTAAATTTGGCGCTCACATCAGCACCAACTCCAATAAATGGTGGTTCCTCTGTCATCTAAAAAAGTTAAACTCAAATAAAATCCTTTGGGGATAACTCTTTAAGCTCTGAAACTTTTATTTGATTAACTGATCATATAAATTTATTATAAACCAAAGTAATGAGCATTTACAGGCATAATTACATAAACAAATTTGTTTGTTAATTCAGGTCATCCTGAGGTCAGAAAAAAACAAGGGTGGATATATTTGAAATAAGCAGGGTCATAATAAGGAGACTAGTTGTTTGCAGAACCCAAAAATTTAAATGTTTGGGCCCAGTTTATTGCTGACCACAGAGACGGCAAAATTAAGAAGCTGATTTGACCTGCAAATTGAAAGATTTAAAAGATCTGAAAAGTCAAAACTCTTTTGAAATAAGCTAGCCTAAGAATTTGAAGTTGTCATACCTTTGTCTAAATAAAAAGATATCAAAAAGAGGAGCTTGGTATTCTTTCATAACAGATAACATCTTTTGAAAATTAAACTGATTAATTGAATGAAAAACTCAGTTCAAACCATATCAATAGGTACTGATTTAAAATGTTTCATGAAATAAACTACTCAGCAGAGCAAAGAGAAAAAGCTAGACCCATCAAAGGATGTTGCTATCAAAATCTTTCAGTTCATTGTTATGAATAAAGTTAGACGACAGTGCTGGGTAGTAGGGGCTGTAATATACATTTCTCTCAACATAAGGTTTCTAAAAAACTGACTTCAAAGTGTGACACCAACATTAGTTTGTGCTTGGAGGAAAGAATTAGGGAACTTTATCCTCCTTACCATCTGAGGCAGACAAGACATTATTATCAGATACAATCTTCGACACGATACATTCTTTGGGTTGTTTTGAAAAGTCTATACGCTTTAAGAATGCAAATGATTCACCCCTTACTAGTTGGAAAGGACTGTTTTTCCTTCAACGGTTTTGGGTGAATGATCAGAATGATGTAAAGAAATGATTGAAGTAAAAGAAAGAATTTCTTCTATAAATCAATCAATTTCCAACTGACTGGACAACAAACAAGCTGTATTTCATTGTAATTATTTTTCAAGCTTAATTTTAATACAATCATGGCAAGAAGTTCATTTTCTACAATACCAAGAAAAACACTGCATCTTTAAAAACTAAGGGCGAAGTAAAAAGCTTAAGAAAAAATATTGAAGAAATCAAGTACATGGATTTTAATCAAAACACCCAAAGCTATGAAATTTGGGATATGAGCTCATAAAGACCTATGTTAAAATCAACAAAGTGTACTTGGGCTTTAACAATGCTGTAAGAAACTTACCATTCTGTGCAGCAAACATTCGGCTACAAACTTAAGGATAATATTTCTTATTTCTACTTTGATTCTCTCGACATCAGATATCAACAACACATGTCTACCATTTCCAAGCCATTCAATCCAATGTTTCAAACATGCTGCACAGGAAACTGATTTAGAAGACAACAAACTCCTTCGCATAAAAAATTTCTTACCGATTGATCCTCATTGGTGATTGGCTAGTGGTTTGAATAAATCATAACAAAATTCCAAATGAGGTAATACCGGTGCCTTATAAAGATAACATATTCAAAATATGCATAACGTTTACCATAATTATAATCGCAGAGGCTTTGTTACTGCGATGGAACAGTCCAGCAACAGCAACCACACACATGTTCAGTCAAAATGGCGTCCATAGAAGATATCAGATCAAGAGTCGAAATCAAGGAACATGGCATTTTGAATGTATGCATTGTTTGATCCTGATTTTTCCCTTAATTTCAAAATGTAACAAAGACTTTAAGAATAGTTGAGCTCTTTTTCATAAAATTATTTATCCCAGGACGAGTAACAAACAATTAAAAAAATTATTAATCAACCATCATTGAAAACCAGCTAAACTAAAGGTTTTCTTACATAATATGTAATTCCAACATTTCATTTTCATTTCATTTCATTTTTTCATTCATTATCAGTCAATCCTAAATACAATTCATACACAAAATTCTACAACTAAGATTCATTACAACACTAACAACTAAAAACTAACAATTTTAAAAACAAATGAAAAAAAATTACTTTACATGATTGAATTTAAGATTGACTGATTAAGGAGGAGCTCTCTAAGTAGGTAAACTAATTGAGAGAGAGCCCCCCATAAGAAACAAAGAACCAAAAATTATTTTAAAAACAAAGGCAGTACATATTAACCAAGAACCAGATGAACCTCATGGGATAGATCATATGTATTTAATTAAAGTTTAGTTTTGTGAATATGAATCAAGAAGGTAACTTTTTAATTTTAAGCGAAAAACCACAGTAGAGCTAGCAATGCGTATAAATAGTGGAAGAGTGTTCCAAAGTTTTGAACCAAAGTACTGAATTGTTTGAAGACCATACATTGTAGTATTTTTATTAGACTTAAAAAGATCGCCTCTTGTAGCAGGCGAGTCCCAATTCTATGAACAGATGAATTTTTCTGAAAGTAATCATGAAAGCATGAAGGAGATAGCTTATTAAGAGATTTATAAACAAAGGTTAAGATGTTCAGGTGCAGAATGTCCACAATTTTCAAAGTCTTTAATGTCAAAAAAGTGGCGTACTAGGAGAAAGGAAGGGTTCAAATTTACTACAGCGAAAAATTTTCTTTTGAAGATTAAAGAGTGGTTTTAGGCTGATTCATAAGTCAATCCTCAGGCTGAAATACCATAGTTGAGGAAGGACAAGAAAAGTGAGTTGTAGAGAGAGACAAGAGTAGGCAAGGGAGCATAATCCTGCACTTTGAAGAAAATACCAGCAGTTCTAGAAAGTTTTTTATTCATTCATTGATATGATAATAAGAGACGTTCAAACCCTGTGCACATGTTTAGGAATCCCTGTGAAGCTCATACTGGATATAAAATGCCAATAAACAATAGAAAGCCAATGGAGAACCTTTGGTCTACACCAGATATCTCTGGCATAAGCTACATGGATTCCACACTGGAGGATATATTATCTAACCAAGGTGGCACCATGGTTGCCACCAAAAAAAATAAATTTTTAAGTTTTGATGCTTCTTATTTGCTGGAAAATTCACCCTATAAGCAATATTTTATCAAAACAATTCTCATCATGCTGAAAATTATTTCAGTTTTGCAAACAGATTGTGTATGCAGATAAAATCAAGTGGTCTTGAGTTGCTTCTAAAGCTAGGTTACCAGCAGCACTAATTTTCAATTGACCCATCTTCCTATTTTGCCATGAAAAAAGGCTGGAGCTCTTTATTAGTTGCAGTCAACGCTTCTCCAAAAGACTGTAGGAAATTTGACTCAAGCTACAATTTTTCCAAAGGAAGATGTTGTTTTTTGATTTAGTACCCACAAGAAATATTGAAATCATAAATGCTTGGTTTTGTTTTCTTTGGATTTATAAGCATTGGAGCAACTACCTTTTGCCTGATTTTTTTTTGCTTTAAGACATAAAAGTCTCTGAATTACCTCAAATGTTACTGAAATTTTCTGTTATGACACTATTTGGGGGTTTAGACCCCTGCATCCTCAGCTGCAACCCCCCTGTATGGGGCCTCTGATAACTTTTTTGTGTTGTGAGGTGTTTTGCACAAAGGAAAGACAGGTGGTTTTCAGGCCATTTCTCCAGCAAATCTGGGATTTATAGGGGCCCATTTGTGCTGTTCGGTATTTTTCACTAGGTTATGGCTATGGTTTTCAAGAAAGAAATGAAAGATAACAGGTTATACCCTGTCCTGACTATGATAAAATATCTGACTCTTCATTAGGTTTCTAAGAACAAGGGTAAGAGTATTGTGATAGAAATAGACACCTTATAATTACTTTTTTTAGACACGAGGTACAAGTTTTCCAGGCAATTACAGTGGATATGATGACTCTTGGAGCCATGAGCAATTTAAAAAGGTATGATGCACAATAAAACCAGCTATTCAACAAAATTCTGCTTATGACAATTCTTAAGCTCTGGCTAAAATTTCACTTTTGTGATGATATTGAATAGCCTAACAATTTGTTTACATATACTTTTTAATTCAGATACCATTTATTGAACAGGACTTAAAAGTTCAAGTCATAAAGCTTTCAGACAGTGAGATGGAGTTTGATTTGATTGGAGTGGATGCCTCGATTGCTAATGCATTTAGAAGGATAATGCTGTCAGAGGTCTGGTTTTTTTTTGTAGATTTCTAATTTGTCTTTGTTAGAAGAATCATACTTTTAAGAGTCATATCAAATAGCCATCCTGTGTAGTGGGTTTTTTCACTTTCAGTGTGATTAGAGAATAATTTCATGGATTTTGTTGGCCATTGTTTATAACTGGCCACTGACGAAACTTGTTTTCAAAATCAATATGAGGCACAATGTTATCAGTGTAAGGTTCACTGATAGCATTGCAGCACATATAACATGGCTCAGCATATTTTTGGTAAACCCTCTCCTTTCATCATGGCTCAGTGCCTTTAATGGAAAAAAATTCCATAGAATAAAATCAACATAACTCTCACACCGTTTGTAATTCCATAGTTACTTTTTAAATTTACCACAATGTTACAATAGCCTGTTATCATTTTTAAGGTGCCAACAATGGCCATTGAAAAAGTTTTCATATACAATAATACATCAATTGTCCAAGATGAGGTAAGCATGATTATCTGATCTACTTTTCCTTAAAATATTATTTAGTATAGCAGATAGTCCCAATTATTGGATAAAATTTTTCATATTTCTGTGTAAAGTATCCTTCCATGCATTTATTAAAGTATTTGACATTTTATTAATTTCTACAGATTTTGGCACACCGACTTGGTCTAATACCAATATTTGCTGATCCAAGAAAATTTGATTATAGGCCTGAAGGTATGTCACAACTTTCTTTTTTATAGTCTCCACTCATCATCGTCCTTTTCTTTTGGAAATGTTTAAACTAGGATTTGTCTTTGTATAGAGACTTTTAAGTATTCCTATACAATGTAACATAAGCATTTTTTCTTCAACAACACTTGTGATTTCTTCTTAAAGGAGAAGAAGAAGTACATTCAAACACAGTCATTGAGTTTGAGCTGAAAGTTAAGTGTACCAAAAATCCAAAAGCACCTAGAGATACAAATGACCCAGATGAGCTTTATCTTAATTCAAAAGGTGTGTGCATTTTTAAAATTTTTTGTGATCGCACTTGTTAGCTGAAATTTTTTGAAATACTTAAATGTCATTTGGTTGCTTTAACTGAAATTCTATGACTTATACATTATTAAGTTAAATTCCCTTACTGTTATTAGGAATCTATGAAATAAAGATATTAAACTATCTTTAGGAGACAATGTTTAATGCTTTGGAAAATAATTGCATGAGCAAGAAAATCAATAAAGCAAAATATTTTTCATGTTTGTCTCCAGTTTAGAGCAAAAAGTCATTGTACAAAATGGAACCAAAGGAAAACTTTGACAACATTGTTTAATAGGTTATTTCCAGCTTTCATCTTGACCATTTTCATTTTAGTAACAACTGAACATCTAAAGTGGGTTCCTATTGGAAAGCAGTTCAAAGAGGTTGTTTGATTTCCGACTTTATCAAGTTCACAACAATTTGCTAAAAGTGTAATTAAAGATTTGTGTGCAAGATGTGTACACTGTCTGTTGAGGTCTTTTTTATTCAAGGCCTTTAAGGCAGGTCTTTTTTGTTTAAAACATAACGTCTCTTATTGAAGATTTCTTGAATTAAAGCCCTTTAAAATAAGGACATTGAAAATATTTATGATAATATTTGCTTTCTATTGTCATACTCGTATCCATACAAGACTAAGCATAGTTTCATTTGTATATTATATTCTTTTTTAGTACAAAGCAACTGATATAAGACCTGTTTATAATGACATACTCATTGCAAAACTTCGTCCAGGTCAGGTAAAAATACTTACTTTCCTTTCAAAAAGAAAACAAAGTGTTTTTTGAAATCATGTTATTTTCAAATTGGTTTGGCTTTTTATTGCTTCATGTTGACTGTTTCTTTTCTATCTGCATTTAATGGCTTGACATTTGCAATATATGTCAGGTTTTTTCCTCATCATATCTGAATCACCTTGTATCATTTGTCTTGTATTCATGTAAAAACAACACAAATGGTAATTATTTTTCTCAGCTCTGTATTACAGAATTTTTTCTGTGTTTTTAATGTATTAGGAGCTTGACTTGAAAGTACATTGTGTCAAAGGCATCGGCAAAGATCATGCAAAATTCAGTCCAGTTGGTGAGAGCACATACTATTTTGTACATATTGAACAATAAGAAAAACATCTTTTTTAGGAAAAATTGCTTGCCAAAACTGTTACAAAACCTTTTTCCCAACCAAAAAACATTGCTGTTATGTTTCATTTAGTTACATAAGCCTAAAAATAGATTAATGCCCTTTCCTGCTGATTTTGGTTGTGGTATATATGTTCTGTTTTAATAATGTTTTATTTACACTCAAAGGATTTCTTATTTTAAGTGAGTTTCTCTAGATGTCATTTTTATTAGAAAGTTTGAGTAACAAGTTTTAGTAATTCTTGTTCACAGCAACAGCATCATATAGATTACTACCAGAAATAAAACTCCTAGGCCAGATAGAAGGACAGCTTGCAGAGAGGTTAAAACATTGTTTTCCAAAAGGTGTGATAAAACTAGAGAACATCGGTGGTGAGTGTGACTGATCCTCACTTTAATTATTGTGATTCAGGTTTATTGTTTTAAAATGGCCGTACATAAAATGAACCTTATAAAATTACAATGATCAGATCACAATTATAAACAATCTCAAAAATGATGATTTTTCAACATGCTATACCAAAAATAATAATTTTGTCAAGGTTGATTTTCAAAATTGAGAAAATAATTGAGGTGTCAAACACTTTTTAGGAAAACTCATTTTCCTTTATCATTAATTCACTGACTGTAAAATAGTTACCTTGGCAAATAATCATAATGAAGTTGTAATGATTAATTAGAGTGGGAGGCTTATTGCCTTGAGCTTCTCTTGCAAAGTCAGATTTTCAGTATTTTACAAAACAATTTTCTAAAAGTAAATTTTCAAAACTATTTCCAATTTCTAAAAGTAAATTTTAAGCGCAATGTATTAATCACAAACTTTTCTGTTTCCCTAGTTTACAATTCTTTTTTATTTTAGGTGTGATGAGAGCGCGAGTTGCAAATCCAAGGAAAGATACCTGTAGCAGGGAATTTTTTCGAGATGAGGTTAAAAGTAGTTTAATACTACTTATTCTCTTCATTTATTATAAGCATTCATTTTCTTCATTTATATGCTTCCTTTTTCCTTCCATTTGCTGACAAATTTGCATTCTAATTAATATTTTTCTCTTTCCATGGCTACATGGCTTAATTCTGAAGGGGAGGGGGGCTGTGTTATATTCAACACTGGTAGATTTTGTATCAAATTAGGCAGTTAGAAATACTTATCAATTACAGTATTTCTTTAAGAAGATGCCTCCTTCCTTTTTATGCCCACCTTAAACAAATGCTCCTCTCGCTCAAAAATGGGCCTCATTGCTGCTGCAAAGGGGGCTTCTAACAGAATAATTGGCTTAATATATTTCATTTTCTGGTAATTTCATTTTTTATTTTACACGATTTGATTGCTGTTATTCTAACTTGATTTCTGATTGACTGCCAATGCTTCACTTCGAAAGGTAAAAAGTAGGAGTTTCCCTAGCAGATTTTCTTTGAGAGGAAAAGTGAAGTTTGTGGTAAGGTGGTTTTAGTTTCACATAATGTTTGTTTATATTCTCTATTTTCAGGATCTCAAAGATAAAGTCAAATTATCAAGGATTCGAGATCATTTTATATGTATGTGTTTTCTCATTTTTAGCAATTTTTTTTCTATTGAATTGTCTAATTTTGAAAGATCTGTAATATGACCAATTACATGGTAATATTTCCAAAAAGAAAAATATGCTCACTCTGAGTCACAGAACATCCTTATTCTAGACCCCCAGTTTATTCTTTTTAACTTGTGTAATATGAAACTTGAGAAGGGATTTAAGAACTAAATATTTCGATTTTATTTTTCCATTGAAAATTTCAATCACCCAATTTATTACCATTTATTATGATTTATATAATTTTTTATCCATGTCCCCCAATTGACTGAAATTCAGGGAATTTTCCACCCACCCTTTTTTATTCCAGACCCTTTTGTCTATTCAAGACTTGAGAGTAAACCATACCAGTTGGTTTATCTGTCTTGAAAATAAGTGCAAATTATGGTTTTGCCATGTTCCTTTCATCACAGTTTTACCAGTAACTTTTTGTAGAAGTTCTACTGTCATTATTTACTTTGGATTTTTTCTCTCTTTGCCCTTTTATTGACTTAATAAATATTATCCAAATCCAAAGCTAAAAAGTTGTGTTTCCTGGCAACATAATTATTGAGTAAACTTTTATTGATTATTGGTATTAATTCTTTTTCAGTTTCAATTGAAACTACAGGAGCCCTGCCACCAAACGTAATATTCACAGAAGCTATCAAAATTTTAATGGAAAAGTGTAAAAGATATCTGGATGCAATTGATAAAGAAAATGATAAAGAGAAGGAAAAGGAATAGAAAATATGTCTTGGTTGTTTGGAAATTCCAGTTTCAATCCACCATATCAGAGCACTTAATTTCAAGGTGGCTGGGTCCAGCTTCGTGATACATGACAGCTTAGTCAAAGTTACAATTAATGTGGATTTGTAACAAAGGAACAGCAGATTTACAAGATTTGTGAAATAAAGAGTGCTTCTCTTGAAACTCTGTAGCAAGGAACCAGCAGATAATCCTCTCAATCATTGCAATGTTGAATCATTTTGAAGACAAATTCATGTGACAACACACATTCTGAATTACTGGAAGTCATTTATATCTTTAAAAAATGTTCTGTGTTGCAAATTGAGAATATATCCTAAGTAAAGTCCATCAAGATAATTGAAATTTTGTATATCACTACATTTAAAGCCTTTCTTACCTTATTACTTGTATATCTCTGTTCATATGGGCAATTTTGTTTGTTTATAGAGCATTCTTATGATAACTTGCTATCTTTATGCTAACTACAATACAGGAACTACCTTTTTAGTGTTGTTTTGTCAATCCTTATCTGTCAGTATAGTTTGTCTCGAGCTCTTAACATGTAAATTCTATCAGTAAAGTTGCATTATAATTTTATTTAAATTAATACAATTTGATCAAAAACAGAATCAAGACTTTTTAATTTTCTTGGAAAAATCAAGCAAGGTTTATTTCCTAATTGATGATGTCTACTAAGAGTTTTCACTAGCTTATTGGCAGTGTCCTTGCTGTGTAGACAGGATGTTTCTGGCAGTGAGCCCTACTGTCAACAGAGGTATGAAATCATGGACTATCTTCTTTCTTCAGCACAATTTTTGCTACAAGGTGCATTGCAAAATTGATGTTTGATTAGTAAAATATGAATATTAAAGAATCACTGTCTAAAATATTTAGGTATAAAACCATTCTTCAGGTGTCCTTTGAATGTATCCAAAATCATTCTAGGCAACCTTTCTTTTCATTACCTTTACTCCCTCTCTTAAGAAGTCTCTGTCTACAATATTCCCAAATGACAATAGCACCGCTTACATGGACATTCAGTGATCGGATCACCCCTTGTTGTGGAATTTCAACACAGTCATCAAGCATTTGGATCAGATTGACTGGGATTCCTGGGAAAATTCAAGGAAAAGCAAGGTATTAGAAGTTAGAAAATAGCAGTTAATTCAACAAAACGAACCAGAGTGAGGGTAAGCAATAACATAGACTAGAAAATAAAACAGTGTACAGATTTCCCTTAGAGCTAGTGGATTACTCTGCATGCATGTTTTTTATAATTTGTACCTTGCACATTTTCGCTTTTGCCAGTGTAAAGGGACTATTTTGTTAGAGGTTAGACATGTATTCAGTTTTTTAGTTCTTATACAGAAGTTCCCATTTATTCTGGCTATTTTCTAGAAAACGAAGATAATTTTATATGATTTTTCTGAAGGCTGAAACTGGTTGCAGGTGAATTTTGATCCTGTTAGCTTTGCTATGTAACTGTACTCTATTTTCGTAATTATCTGGATTGTAAAAAGTAGAGCTGCAATCCTGAATTTTAGAGTAGAATTAACAATAAACACAAAAGAACCAATGTGTTCCTAACTTTAACATAGCCAGCAACCACAGCAAAATAAAAGTAATTGCTAGTAGTATGCATCGTTGGCTAGAAGTCCATGGGGATCCCTTAAAGACAGGTCATCAGATATTTAATATAGGTATAAGTGGCATTCTTGTTGAACAAAAAGGTAGAAATAAAATCGTTACAGAAAACACTGTAGTGAATTTGGAGCCTGTAACTGGCCTGGCATAAAGTCACTTGAAAAACGGTTTTTATACATGGCTAATTTCCCATCAGAAGATATTTGATTAGTTGTGGCTTAAGCCTTAGACCACTGTATAATATTTAAGAAATACGTATATAGAATGTGATGAATGCAAAAGAAAAAGAGAGAGAACAATGAAAAGAAGGTGATTTGGTATCGTATTGAAAAAATTATTGGCTCTGGTACCTTCTCGCTCATTTCCAAGAAGCAAAATGGTTTTCTCCTGGAATTCGTAGTCTTGGAGTGATTTGCTGTTTGCTGTTTGTTCGATTCCCACCAGCCGATAGCCTTTATTCTTCATCTCTTCCAGGTAAACTTTCAAATGACGTGGCAGGACCTGCTCAATATTCATCCATTTTTCTGCAGTTACACTCAAACATTTGAAATTTGCGTCATCTAGGTACCTCATAGCACCAATGACCAATGTTTCCGCACCAAATATCTCACAGGTTCTGCAAAGCCCACCAAGATTAGGGGTACGGTCAATCAACGAAGCGCAAAGGATCATTCGACTCCTTTTCATTTCTTTCTTGTACATTTCGGCTTTTTGCAGAAATGGGTCCTCGGTTGGGGGCAAAGGCTTCCATGCTGTGATTTTCTTTTGTACATCAACCGATTTTGTTTCTACAGTTGGACAAGCTAAAATGGATTCGTTAATCAAATTTGGATTTGAAACTCTTTAAAGGTATTACGTGTTATCCTGTAACACGGAAAACGCAGTTTGCGAATAAAATCTTTTTAAAAACTGTTTTTCAGGTACTTTACTCAAAATAATCCACTAATTATTTGTAAAGATTCCCATATTAAAAAAGGTTTATATAAATGAATACTGTAAAATATCGTAAAGTTCTATGAAAGATCAATGAAACATAATTAGCGTATCTTATCAAGGCAAATGAAAGTTCCTTTTATAAAATGTATTACTTTAAAGTTTATAAAACAGGTTTTGTTGTGTAAAACAGAAGCTACGTATCAGAGCTCTGTTTTATTAACAATTTTCTAATGTGCAACTTTCTCTCTATAAGATATCGAGCACTGTAAAACAGACTGGCAAACAATAATCTATATTAGATATAAAACTACCCAAAGTGCTAGAGTCTTCAAAGTTTATTCAGTTTGTTTAGGCTCTGGTGTCCGAAATAATTAGAAAAAACTATAAATTACCATTTGAAGAAACAAAAACATCATCGCTTTTAACACTGTCTTCCGAATGCACTGCATCGATAAGAGATGGATTTTCATCGAAGACTTTTAGCTGATTAAAGACTTCTTCCCCCTGTGTGACTTCAATAAGTTGAGTTCTGCTGATTATCTCATCGTCACCAACCTTTAATAGCTTTGGCATGATGCAGAATATAGTTTCTAGGGAATAATGCTTTATAGGATGAAAGCTCTTGAAGTAAAAATGATTTCTCAGCTCTTTTGTTGCTTTGAATACAGACGCATTTGATTCACTTAAGCTAAAAAGGGACTCAATAATGCTAAAGTCACGTAACACTTGAATGCAGTTTCTCCTTTTTGCTTCTTCCCAAAGCTTCCAAATTACCACCTGTGCATGCACCCTGGCCTGCATATGATGTATCTGAACCCATGGAAGTAATTTACTGAACGCTTCTGTTGCCATTTTAGGGAATTCGCCCTCATCGATAACCACAGTCAGATGAGCTACAATGGACATTAGGCACGTGACACTGCAGACCCTTCTCTCTGTTGCTTCTTTCAGCCTGTCCCAAATGAGGCTTCTGAGATGTGGGTATTTATTTACCATGATAACTATAAACCATTCTATGTAGTAACGAATGCTTGGTTGATTTTCACTGACCATGACACTCAGAGCATCGGTGACAATATCTAAAGAACTCTCTTCACTTATAGACTTACACAATACAAGCATGGTTTGCCATATTCTTAGCTTTTGCCGATGAGTAAGGCTGTTGTCATAGTACCGTTTTGACTGTTCGGAAAGCTTACGATCCTTCTCAATCAAAGCCTGCATGGCATTATTCACAAAGAAAGGCATCTTTTCGCTTGCATTAAGCAACATTCTAATAGCTGACCAACGAACTTTGTAGTCTACATTAATATTATTTGACTGGGTAATTCCGTAGTCATAATATGCCGTAAAATACAGAACTGCTTGTTGAACGATTCTTGATACCTTTTTTTGAACCTGACCAAATACACAGGCATTGGTAATCAAGTCAATAAACGCTTTTAAGAAATCGATGTCTGCATAACCTTCATTCAAAATTAAATTATTCCAAATGTCACAACACCGGTCTACCACCACGTTGAACAAGCCACATTTGCTTTTGCCCGAATCCTCTATGATACACCAAATATCTCTTACTTTACCCAGCAATACCTCACTACCACTTAATAACACACTGCTATGGAAAATCACATTGATAGATGGCTTGTAAATCTTCCAAAATGTGCTATCTCTTCTTTCCTGCTCCATAACTACACGCCAAACTGTATCGAGCACAAAATTTGCAAGATCATCAGATGATTTCACGATATCATGGATCAAAAGCTCTAGACAATGCAAGATTGGGACAATGTCTCTGCCAACAGTAATATCCATCGTTTCCACCAGTACATTCACCAACTTTCTCAGAGAACTTGTTTTCAAAGTTAAATACGATGCCTCCTGCTCTTGACTTTGTGACCTACTGGTAATAGCTGACCTAATGTCAGATTTAGCAACTGCAAATGAGACAAGATACCAAAGATTGCTAGAAACTCTACCAGCCTCAAGGATAAGAGCATGATTTGTGACTTGGTTACTCGTGCAGCTGGCATCTTTGAAGTGATCACGAGAATAGTATGATTCAAATTGCAAACTTAAATTTCCTATCGTACCCAACAGCAACTTCTCGAGTAAAGTTTTTGTTTCCTTGTAGCTCTCAAAGCACCTTCCTCTAACGACTTCACACATCACTTTCATGAGTTGGAAAGCTAAGTTAATCACCCGAATATCTGTTACTTCAGTAAACGTGTCCGCGTGCTGGCAACAAAGCTTACAGACTATTTCCAAATGTGAAATAAGGAAATTAGAACCGTCTAAATTATTCAGATCGTTCAGGAATGTGCAAACTGTTTCGTGAAGCTTCAAAAATGGAAGTACCGCGCAAACATCTAGTTGATTTCGAAAAAACGCTTCTTTGATTGAGTTACAGAACATGGCAAGACAATAACGAGTCTGCTCTAATACCTTCCTCATAATCATGCAACGTATACTCTTATTTTCTACGAACTGATATGGGTCTTTTGATTGAAAGCAGCATCGTATTATCAAGTCAGCTACTGAAAGACATCGAGAGATGTTGTCTGGTGTTACATAGGGATTTCTGCCTATTTGACCCATCGCTATCACCAACGGACTTAGCATTGCATTCAACTTGTCAACATTGTTTCCCTCTGTAGGCTTGCAAACAGAATCAATGGTGAAGAAAAACAGCAATACCATTTCAACTTCACTCTCAAATTCAAGACTCTTTCCAGTGAGAAAATCTTCAAAAGCAGGGATAAAAAGCTCGCACAAACCACTCGATGATTTTATTGCTTCTGCTGCTTTATCACCCCAACGCAAATGATCCAACTTTCTAGATACACTACTGATAAAATCAAACCAAGGCTCGGTTCCATATGTAAGGTATCCAGAATCAAAAATCACTCGTGAAAACTTTATCAGATCAACCAAAGATATTTCTTTACTTAAAGAACTGCAGACAATCCTCAGAAGAATGCCAAATGTTGCTGCTTTTAGCTGGGCTGGGTATGTAGAAGTTTCTGATAACATCCAGGCTTTCATGGTTGATAGGAGCTCTTGATCTACAAGGCCATTGATTTCAACACATGATAATGCTTTCAAAACATAGGGAAATGTCAATGAGCTGCATTCACTTGAAAATAGTGACTTGAAGACCTGTGACGGAAATAGAGTTAAGTAAAAATTCTCCAAATTCTAAAATTGCAATAAATGCTTGTCTGTATGTTCAATAATTAACTCATATCTAAATTAAAAGATATTTCCAGTTATTTTAATAAATAATTATAAAATTTACTATACTTCACATCAATTCATCACATCAATTCTACACTAGCAAATTCCCTGAATATCATGAAAAATTGGTCAATTGATCTATGGCATTTTCAATTAGAAGTTTAACAAAAGCTCAGGAAGGTTACAAAACTTGAAAAACTTTTGTTGAGCCAAGTAATTAAGACACCATAATCTGTCTATCCAAAAGCAGTTTCAAACTTTTGAGCTATGGTTTACGTTGAGGCAGTTGGGACAAAACCAGTTTCTGTTTTTTCATTTATGAAAGCATCTGACTACAGAATGTAGTTGCCCTTTAGTTAAATTGCCATCGACTAATCTCAATTGCCATTTCATCATTTATTGTTATTCTAGATAGATTTATTTCTTGTTTAGCGGTAAGTATCAATTCGTTTTTGAGACATTCTTCCCCTAGCCTATTTGTGACATGCTTGAATGTTCCACTTTGATATCAGCATGAAAATATAAATGCTAAACAAGAGGGGAAAGGGAAAGTTGATGTACCTGTCTAAAAAACGTGACCTCTTGACATTCTTTTGCGGCAGCGTACTTGCATTGTTCAAAAAAGCTTTCAAGCTTTCCAACAATTGTTGGTGGCTGTGAAACATCCATATTATCTTCTTTCTCAAATAGGTAAAACTCTTTGAAAGCATTGATAAGACAGTTGCAGATGAAAGTACAGTCCATATTTTTAAAAAACTGTAGATCTTCAACCTTGAGGTGAAGACTTATTTCTACTGCCCATCTTGTTATAACTTTACTTTCATGGTTTATTGCTCGTGTAAGGATTGTTGTCAGCCAAGAAATATGTAGATGGTTTCCTAAAAAGTTAAAAAATAAATTAGAGTTCTAGTTCTCTAAAAACAATAAATTGCTTACCAAATCTGTTCACCCTATCTTTTGATATCTCTTAGCAGGTCTAACCACATGAAAATTTTTGGTTTAATGTTCTAAAAGTTATTGCTTCATTTATTTTAAGTTGGTGGCTGATGATTCCTAGATGTTCGTCATTTGAAGCACATGCAAAGTTTTGTGCTTTGAAGAGAAAAATTATGTGGGATTGGAAATAAACAATATTGAAAACACACAAACAATTTGCCGCATTAATCAGTTGCCTGTAGTCAACCGTTCAGATGATGGAAGATCAGCTGTCTGCCAGAGACACTCCCAAAATTAATCTGCCGGTTTACAACAAAGTGAGATTCATACAGATGAAATAATGCCTATGTTAAACAAGTTGAACAAAATAGCATACTCTACTTATAAGCCAAGATCATAACAAGACACAAATTGTGATATTCAAAGAGAAAGCACTTTTCAATGAAAGTAGAAAAATTAAATTATTGCTCAAAATATCAGCTTAACTTACAAAAGGCTACCAAAATATATTTTTCACAGAATCAAAATATAAGGTTATTTGTCAACAGAGGTTCCAGTCACATTTAAAAAGGTTTAAAAAGTGCAGCTGCAATTTCTCTAAATCTCTGAATCATTAGGATATCTAAATTTGATTTTAGCTAACATGATTAAAGTCTCTGGTATTAACATGATGGTATACATATAAATCCATGTTTTGGTTGTCTGGATTTTGTTTTTTACAGCAGCAAAATATGAAAATTGCACATAAAGCAAACTGTAAGCACTAAATATTAGGTAATGATATTGGGTACAGATTATGAACCTTTTTAGATTTTTGTGCAAAGTTTACTTTTCATGAGTTTTTAAATAGCATATTATATCTAAGTAACTTTTTTGTAGACTCAAGAATAGCTATCATTTTCACTTATTCTTCATTCAAGTGATTCATATCTTTATTACTTGAATATTTTTATCTGTTTGTCTAATCATTTAAAGTACTTCACCAAAACTTTAAAACTTATCCAGAAGACAAATAGCAAATTTTCTCCACCAAAAATTAAAAATTAACTACTTACTTTGTCCAGCTTCCCTTGATAATTGGATAACTTTATCAACTGATGGTAAGACAGGTAGCATCACATGTAGCTGAAATAAAAAACAGCTTACTTGAGAGCAATTGTCTTAGAAAAATGCAACAAATGATTCCTGGCTTGCAAGCAAAATGCAGTGATATGTGACAAATAAGTTAAAATTAAATGTTTTTTTTGCTTTTTCACTCAGAGCATTTATATATCTGTATTAAGCTGTATTGCAAAAAAATATAAACAGTAAATAACAAGGAATAACAAAATCTTGAAAGCATAGGTAGAAATACAAAAACAAAGCCTTTTAAAAACTGGAATATAAACAAGCACCACAGCCAACTTTTGATTTCTGCATTACACTGCACTGGCCCGTCCTCTGCATAACAAGCTCCTGTTATTTTAAATGAATTTTTCTTATGCTCTTGTGTTAAATTGAAATCAAAATGCTCTTCTTTGCCAAATACAGGAAGCTTAATGCCACAAGTAAGCAGCATCATCAAGCATGTTTAAAGTTCACAAGTTTCAACAAAAATATTACTTCTCCTGGGAAGATAGTATGATGAAAACATTACTTATCTAAGCTATGATTCTAACAATAATGTTTTTTTCAAGAGAAATGTTGATTGATATCCTTTCTGGCTTGAACATTCCAGAGTTCAGTTTCATTAAATTTTTAGGCCATCCTACATATGATCCTACAAAATTACAATTATACCATTGTATAATTATTCTGTAATGTGTCAAATTACTCAGAGTAACAACACCATAACATAAAAAGTAAGGACAACACATGATTGTATACATGATAGAACAATTAGGGAGGAGCTCTCTAAATAGGGTAACTAATCAGATAATGCCTCTATCAAAAGAAAGAAGCTAAGATTATTAGATAATAATTAAAAAATAACAGACAAGATGAGCCACAGATTGATAAGTGCTGTTTCTATGAACATATAATCACCTGCTTTTCTTCAAGAGTTTCAAAAAGCAATATAAAGTCATCCAGTTGCATCCAGCTCTCCAAATCAACAGAAGGGCTTTTTGGCGCATCAATGACTCTCTTGAGAATATACATTGCTCTTTTCCTTGTCAGGGAATCATCACTCATTAGCCCACTTTGAATAAATTCTCTTATTGAAGAATTGTTTCTGATGTCATTCTCAGTGCCACACAAGAATTCATCAATTACAAGACATGCCATACCATATGAAATTATCTTTTCTGACTCTTTGCAACTCAGATTGTTAATTATCTTCCATAGTGCCTTAGAAAAGTAAAAATGTGTTACAAAAATAAATCAAAATCTATTGATTATGAAGATTAAAGGGCTTTGATGACACTATATTACCAAACATAAAACAGTAAATACATAAAACAGTAAATACATAAAACAGTAAATACATAAAACAGTAAAACATTATTCTAGCATTGGAACTTATTGTGTTTTGGCTATTCATCGGGCAGGCAAGAGCAATTGCTCATGAACACACATAGAAGGCCCTGGAACAAGGGAAAAACATCAACTAACTTTAAACAACTTAAGCTTGTTCTTCATTTGCATAATCCATGAAAATTCTTTCAAAGAAACAGAATTATTTCAACTTGCTCAGGAATTTCAATTTGAGAGAATAATCCAAATTTGCAAGAAGCATACACAGAGCCATCTTAGACAGAAACCGGATAGTGTCAACCTGACTTGATGATGATGGTTCACTGAACTAACCCCCTAAAATCTATCTATTTTCAAAGTTTTTAGAAATGTTCAATTTCACAGGGAACCAACATTTAAATCACCAGGAATGATTTTAGTTTGCTTGCATGAGCCATGCAGCTCCAGCCTAACATTTCTAACATTGCCCATATGCAGCTCCAGCCTGACATCAGAAAATGAATCTAGCATGAAATTTGAAGACAGATTTATTTGATGTGTGTAGGCATCAGAGTATGTTCATGTGCAAATAGTAAATGTGCAAGCATACTTGATGAATAGCCAAAATGAAGTGGGTTTCAATGCCAGAAAAATAAACACAGCAATAAAATTATGCTAAATCAGTTTGTCTATTTCTTTAATTATTTCAAATGAAAACACAAGTCAAACTGCCTATTGCAATGCCTCCATCATACAAAATGCTCAGGATGAAACTTGAAAATCTTTCAAATTAAATAATATGAAAAGCAGCTACCTTCTTTTTGCTTAAATTACAAAGATGTATCTTAATAATCTGAGAGACGACAGCTAAAACTGCATCATCTACATCACTGTGTATGACTTGCAATAAGGCCTCGAATATTTGATCGTCATCCTTCAAATTTGGTTGGGTTATATTTGTGGGCTCTGAAGGTATCACTTGAGGGCTTTCTTTGCTAAGCACATGCAACAATTGAAGCATCAGAGAAGGTGATACTCTGTCTCCTTTTGGACATTGGTAAAATGCAGGTAAATCTGCTTCACTTCTATCAGAAGGCAACTTTGTGTAATCTCTTACGGTTGCAACGTATTCGCGAATGTTAGATATTAAAAACTCCCGAATAAGATCACGACATCCGGTAACGGACTTAAAGCAAATTAAAACACATTTAGAGATAACCGCGAAGCTAGGGGATCCTTCTTCGTTTGTATGACACAGCAAGTGAAGAAATTCTCTACAAATTCTTAACAAAATCTCGTCTAGCTCGTGGTAGTTTTCACTATTCTGGGGAACTGATTGCCCGTCATTGCTCGAGTTAGGCTTTTGGTCCTGGATTTCAGTCACTATAATACTGTGTAAAATGAACAAATCTTCGCTCGTTGGAGTTTTACAGTCCTTCTTTAGATTAAGTATGATAGTCTCTGATAGGTTCCTAAGTGTTTCTCGTGTTTTCCCGGCAAGGGCTTCTACAATTGCAGACATTTTGTCCGCAACCAAGCAACTTCACACGTGTATGTAATCTAAAAAGTGGCGAAGCAAACGAGGCAGATTCCTACACACACACTGTTCACTGTCTCCATCTCGTAGAGATTTCAAAGGATGAAAACGAGACATATTGCTTCGCATTAGCTTTTAGCATTGTCAGTGCCGAGTCAGCATTTTACATTTCGTAGAAAATGGCGACCAGAAGATTGAATCGTTGGAGCGATGATGATACAAATTATTGTTTAACAGAAGCAAATGCTTCCATGAAGTGCTTATCAAGAAACAATTACAATAAAGACGCATGTGAAAATTACTTTGCAATGTATAAGTCTTGTAAAAAAGAATGGAATGAAATCAAGAACGAAAGGAGGAAGCAGGGCCTTACACCAAACCCTTCACGAGAAGAAATGGTAGCTTTGAAATTAGAAAAGAACAAAAGACTTCAAGAAAATGATGCTTGTTAAGTAGACATATAGCCATGCCAATGCAAGAGAAGAAAACTAATGGTTCAAAACCTTATTCAGATTATTCATGGAAAGCTATTATGTTTGAAGATAGGAAATAAGTCGCTTGAGAAGATATTTTAGATGTGTGCAATCAACTATGATGACTGTGTTTCAAACAAAGAATTTTTATTAAATTGTATGTAGCAGCTATAACATTTTTCTAAACTCAAGATAAATACAAGATGCTCTTAGTAACATGGCATTGATTACATTGTCAATCACAACATCTGCATTGTATCTACCACGATAAAAACCAAAGGGAAAAGGGCATCAACACCAAGTTTCCATATCCTAATTATTTTCCACCCTTGAGCCAGTCTGTGGAGTGTAACCTATGCATGCACATGGTCAATGTAGCCAAAATTCAAATTTCACACTGAAATTACAATTTAGCATTACCCTATGATGGGTAAAAGGATTTGCACACATGAAACATACCTGAAATAACTGCTCACACATGACATCTTGTTGTTAAATGTCATACTCTACTATTAAGTAAGGAGCGGGTTGATTGCAGTGTTTTTCTGTTGTTTAATGAAAGAAAAGTTAATTTAACATCATGACTTTCAGTATTGCTTTCTTTTGAAGTAGTTGTGATTTTGAAACATATGGCAATTGTTTTTGTCCCTGAAGCAGCCTATTTGTATCCTTTTTACTACAAATAACTTATTTTTTTGCGGTACAGAATTTGAAAATGGCTTTAAAAAAAGCAAACATTTTACAACATACTTAAAGCTTTTTCGTCTGACACTCCTCAGAGCATAAAACGTCAGAATAGGTTCCGAAAAAACACGATGGACAAATATATACCCAGTTGTGGATCGAAATAGGCCAATATACACATATACCATTTTCAAAACAGAGGCTGAGTGTGATATTTTTCTAAAACACCTAAATAGCCTACACCCAGCCCTCCAGTTTATGTTTGAAAAGGAAGAAAATGATTCCTTGCCATTTTTAGATTTTTTTGGTCGAAAAGTCTAACACTGGATTTCTTACCAGTGTATATCCCAAGCCTACTTTTACCGGTCAGTACATACGCTGGAATTAATTTTGCCCAAAACAACGCAAAGTCAACCTTGTCAAAACATTAGTACATAGGGCACTTATGATCTGCTCGAAATCTAAACTGCACGCTGAACTGGAAAAACTCAAAACGATCTTCTTGGACAACGGCTATCCTGAAGACGTCATTTTAACTTATACTAAGGAGAAGATCGCAAGTTTTTCGGCTGTTCAAAAGTTTGGTCCGCAAAAGTGCCCAGTTTATTTGAAACTATCATGGATTGGTAACACTTCCTTGCGATTCGAGAGTCAGATTAGGCAAGCCATAACCAATTGTTTCTTTGCTGTCAATCCTCGGATTGTTTACAGCACTAGGAGAGCCCTTCCATCCATTCAAAAGGATTGCGTCCCTACCAAACAAAAAAATTCCGTCATTTATGAATTTACGTGCCAGTGTGATTCTGGCTACGTAGGGCGCACAACCCAAAGATTGGGGGATAGGATAAAACAGCATGTTCCTTCCAACATACGAAACAAAACTGCCCCTCAAAGAGATCAGCCTCCTCGATCTTGTAGGTCTAGAAACACTGTTAAAACAAGTGATTCTGCCATTGGTCAACATCTTTTAGACAACCCAGATTGTGCAAAACTCTATAATGACGACATGTTTCGGATAATTGGCAGGGCCCGGTCGTCCTTCCATCTAGCAGTTTTGGAGTCAATCTACATAAAAACGAAAAAGCCGCCATTGTGTAGACAAAAGGAGTTCGTTTTCTCTCTTGGACTCCATTGGTAATTTTTCTTTAGGCTCGTGGCACTGATTGGTCAACTATACCGGTCTTGTGCTTGCGTTTTTCTGATTGGCCTATTTCGATCCACAACTGGGTATATATTTGTCCATCGTGTTTTTTCGGAACCTATTCTGACGTTTTATGCTCTGAGGAGTGTCAGACGAAAAAGCTTTAAGTATGTTGTAAAATGTTTGCTTTTTTTAAAGCCATTTACAAATAACTTAACTGGTTATATTCTCAAAGAAAAATACCTTCAAGGAAAACATTGAAAGCCTACTATTGTTGCCAAGTTACACAATATTCAGATCTCTGTTTTACCAAGGGCCATTCCTAGCTATTGTGCCCAAGGAGGCTGCTTTGCTCCCCTTTTGTTGAAAAAGTGGGTAATCCGATCCCCTTTGCCAACAAGTCAGAAAATTTGCAGACAAAGCACCCCTACCTGAGAAAAAACTCTTTGTTTTTGCAGTGAATTGTTTTTCCAAGTCAGGTGTCACAACTGTTGTTGAATTTTTCAAAAGATCCTCAAACGCTAGCAAAGAAACATCAAAACTTGCCAACAGATATGCAAGACAATTACACTTCATGTTCACACTGAGCACTCATAAACAATAACACTCACAATAATCCCTTAGGAGTGCACAACAACCAATGTCGACAAAGACAATGAGTAACAACACAAAACTCACAAACGAGAACAAAAACAACAGGGTGACTCTCCATGCACACAGCAACAACCCTCTATGCCCCACCATAGAGATAGCCCTGGTTGTCATAAAGTGCTTGATGCTCTATAGGCATAGCTCTGCATGGTTTTGTGTATAGAGCAGGTTGGTTTTATGTTGGAACTCTGAATTTTAGCCGAATGACAATATCAGGCAACAGTTGGTAGTGACATACATATAAAGGCTTTGAAATGAAATAATAGTCAACCATTATCATCATTCATTATTTTTTAGTTATAATGCAGGGAATAGGAGATTGGTATCATAAGAAGTGTAATTACATTCAACTCAGCAATTCATTGGTCAAATCTTTATGATAGTTATTCTGAAATATCTAACCTACTAAATGGACCAGCCAGAATGTACATGCTCATAGTTATAATGATCTGATGGTCTAAAGAATTCTTCAAAGTGTTCTGGCTCAACTATCTCTAAAAATACAGTCACAGTTGCCAGAGTGGCTGCATTTGTTGGGAATGCTCTTAGTAGGGTGGCATTTAATCCTTTAAAGAAAACTTTAAGCCCTTCTCTCTCATAACTCTTCAAGCTGCAATCCAAAATCCCAGTATAAATCATTTTCCCCATTCCATCAGCCTGCAGCCTTGTCTTGATAACATCAAATGGGTAAGATACAATCCAGGCAAGAATTCCACTTATCCCTCCTGATAAGAATAATTTTGGAATGCTAAGTGTTCCTTTGTTTGCTCCAAGTTTTTCACAGAGTGCATAATATGATGAGAAGTAAACAGCAAACGATGGAACCTCGCGTAACAATGTACAGTAGAATCCTCTAAAGAAACCTCTCATTCCTTCGTATTTTAAAATCTTTGTCATGCAGTCAACAGGGTCGCTGTAGCGGAATAAGTCGTTTTTCTTGACAAATTTAAATTTGCGAGATTCTCCTTGGCCCTGTAGTTGCATTCTGGTTTTGATCAGCTCAATTGGCGAGCAAACAAATGTTTGAACACCTCCTGCTAGCCCACCAGCAATAAAATTTCCAACAGCTCTCTTATCATTCAATCTTCGAAGAGTGTTACCATGAACGCCAAACACGATTGCATTGATTACAACCTGGCCAATCATTGGAGAAGCCATTCCCTTGTACATTCCACGAACCTAAAATTATCAAAATGTTTTTTAAGTGATTAAGGGTGTTTTCCTGGAAGAAATTAAATATTTCTTATTGATTTCAGTGCAAGTTGCAAGATAGGATGTATTTCTTGCAAGACGTTTTTGTAGTTGATTATGTTATTGACAGGCCAGAAAGGCCTATAGCAAAGCCCTATCAAGGGAACGGATGGATAAACGAGGAAGTGAGTAAGGTTAACCAAGTTATTTGATCGTAGGAGTCAGAAGCAAGAAAAAGTTTAAATGTTCCAAAAATTACAAACGCTGACAAGAAAAATGACTTCGGATAGACTTCATGATTTTGACAGTGATACAGGATAAGAGAGTATAAGAAGCAAGAACTGGTTTGGTGGCTAGAGATGTTTTCTTGATGCACCGGATGAAATTGGATTTGGAATGGTTGATGATTTTGGTGGATAGGTTGCGAGCAATGGCATAGAATAGAAAGCTCTAGATTGAGGTATTTAAAACAGCTTCAACACATTGAAGCGTTAATTGAATAAAGTCATCTACAATTTTTAGAGTCTTTTGAAACAAGTTACTTTTATTTATTTCTTATAGCAAACAAGGCATTTTAATTGTTGGCTTAGTCTTAGACAAACAGTTTTAAGAGGATTTGGCACGAGCTCCTTCGTAGTAAGTTTCTAAAGCAAATAGAAAGCTTGGTAATTTTTTTTGCGTTCCTCTTCAATTGTAATCTAGAAATTGATCCAAAATTTGCCTTTCTCAACAACATATTACAGATAAAACCCTAGCAACTCTTGAACAAAAGATCTGATGATATATCTTTTACATATTTTGAAGCCTTAAAATCCCGATCTACATTCTTAAGGTTGCCGCAAATAAATTTTCCCATAAAGAATACTTGATACCTGCAGTAGCATTTAAATACGGAAACTTTCCCTGCTGATGTAGAGGAGTTAATATCCTTTATGATGTTTTATGCAACTAATAGTAATTAACGTGTCTGTTTGCCCTGTTTTTGCAGATATGAGAGGAGAAAAACTAAGCTTTTTTTTCTTTCGCTCTGGTTACAAGTGCGAAATACCGTGTTTCCTTGCTGTTACAAGTTTGCTTAGTTTTAGCTATGGTTTTAGAGGTGAAAACTACAAAGTGAATGATCCATCAATCTATTTGACACTCAATCAACTAGCATGTTCTGTAGTGACTTAGTTTGATGCAAATGTTGATTGGGAAGAGGAGTGTTTCTAAAACGAAATATATGTATCATTTATCGTAAAAAAGGTTAAGCTAGCCAGTACCTCATCCAATAGCATAAAAGATGCAGTAAAGGAGGCAACAAACCCAAAATTATGTTAAGTAATGAGATCCAATTTCCTTGCAATGCTTCATAATTTATTCGAAAGCTCTAATTTTTACAAGAGTTAAGTGCAAGTACAGTATTCTTGGATCAGATATATCACAATGTCAGAAAAATAAAGAAAAATTGCTTTAAGGAAAATGACAACTCTTACGGATTCCTGCTTCACGATTTTGATGAAACAGTCGATTGTTCCCTTGTACCTGCTATTTGCAGCATCTTGACTTTGCAAACGAACCTGCCGTAGACGCAGACGAAACGTTAGTAATGAAACTCTTTTTCTATTTTATTGGCGAATACTTTAAATATAACCTATGCTTCAGTGAATACAAATCTGTCAATAAAATGGCATAAGCATTTTATGCAACAATAAATGGCATTTCAATATGTTATGTGGCCTAACTTTCCTATTAGCAAGACACTTAAGTGGTATTTGAACTGCACACATTCTATGACGTAAAAACACTTAAAACACAAAGATAACAGTTTTTGTTGCCAAATATGTTTAGTTTCAGAGAGAAAGAGAAAGAGAAAGTGAAAGAGAAAGAGAAAGAGAAAGAGAAAGAGAAAGAGAAAGAGAAAGAGAAAGAGAAAGAGAGAGAGAGAGAGAGAGAGAGAGAGAGAGAGAGAGAGAGAGAGAGAGAGAGAGAGAGAGAGAGAGAGAGAGAGAGAGAGAGAGAGAGAGAGCTTTTAAAAATACCACATCTCGAATTTCAAAGTTTAAACACTTCAAATTACCTTAACAGTATCAAATGGATGCCCTATCAATATTCCTGCAAAGCCTGCAATTAAAGGAAAATACTAATAGAGGGGCAAGAAAAAATCAATTTTAATTTTAACGTAATGTATAGATCCATTCAGTTTAGTGACACAGACACGGCGGATATATAAAAGTTGAAAGCATATTGTGCTGCAGAAATATATCTTTCCTTAACGACTATAGTGCAATTCAAATAAATAATGAAAGCAAAAAGTCATTAGCAAAGAAGAGTAGTAAAAGTGTCATCCTTTCCCTTTAAAAGCAACTTGGTTACCAGTAGTAAGGTTAATGAAAAATTATCAAAATTATCACATTTATGCAAGACAAAATAAATTTTGACCTTAGCTACAAAGAATGGGATGAGTAATATGTTTCTGAATAATTGGGACAAACTTTTAGCAAAATGTTTACTGTATCTAGTTCAGCGTGTATGGTATCAATCGTTCGAGAAAGCAAGCAAACATGAATGTTCTAAATCACTGTCAGCTTATTGCTGATAAGGACCAGCGGCTTATGCCCCCAAATAGCAATAACTAAATATCGAAGCCGGAAGCTATAATAAAAAAGTTAGCAGCTGCAGAGCTCTAATCAATGCTAAGAAGCTCAGCATTTACATGCTCATACATCTGGTCATTTTTTTCCCATTGTAAGTTGTTTTTCCTTATAAAGTTCCTTTTTTCTTATTTACAACATTCGAAGAATCCTTTTTTTGTTTTCATTGTCGCATCTTTGGAGCTAAATTTATATTGACGACGTCAGCTACGAATCTAAAACGATTATAAAGCTGTATTCTGGTTTCATTTACCTAAATCTTTGTAATCTGACAGAAGTAATTATATCTTTAAATAAATTTTCAATTAATTTCGGCCAAGAACGTTTCATTTGCAAATAGGAGACAAGAATTTGAAGGATTTTGTGCTTCGAGTGTCATAATTGTCAAGATTACACGTATGACCAAACGGCAGAAAAGTTTGTCATATAATCTTGCTTTTATTAGCAATAGCGAAATTTTCATTTCCATAAATCTACGTGCTAACATATTACTCATAAGAAATAACGGGAGTAAAAGTAATTGAATTGGAGGATTAACACCAACGGGTTGCCTCTACTCGGACAGCTAAAAGTAGCAATCGAACATACATAATTGTCCAGAACTTCTAAACTTGCTAATCTTTAGTTATTCGTTCAATTGCTAATTGTTATTTGCACGTGCTACTCGATTCCACACGTATGCTATAATATGGTGCTACTAGCATGGTATTTTCTGTTTCAGTGTAATATTGTCTGTTTCAGTAAATCGTCTTTGTAATTGATAATTTTCTTAGAGTATTTTTAAAGAGTATTTTCAAATGATGAACTAATGTAAGATATTATAGAAAAAACTTATTCGTTTAGTCGTATACTTACCACCTAAACATCCACCTAAGAAATCTAGAGCCATTTGTAACACCCAGTTACTCCATTTTCATTGTAGTTAATGGGCCCAAGCTACAAATTTCGAAATGGAGCTGAGGAAAAGAGCTGCAGTATTATCGACGGTGGATGAACAGGCGGCAGTTCGTCACATTAAACACCAAAAATGAAAGGACTGGGTCGAGCATATTAAAATCAGTCGAAATATAAACATAATGATACGTCTAAACTGCTAATAAGTCTGTATTTCTATGGCTACATGGTAACCGATCCTGCTTTTTAAGAGAATATACACAGATAAGTCTCATTGAATCTCTTGCAATCGCATAAGAAAGAGCAAATCCCAGATCCTTCTCGATTACGAATAATATTGTGTTCAATATCAAAGCAGAAATAGTAAAGGAAAAACGAGCCGTGGCAATAAATTATTACATCATGCTTTGAATTGCCAAATTTTTCTGCTAAATCTTTAGTTTAATGAATTGTCAAAAATAAATCAGTAAAGGGCAAACATAACTTCCTAAGCAATCCGCATTTTGGAGTGATCAACGTTTAATTGAACGCAAATTTTAGTATAATTTGAATCAACTATATAAAATTCTGGCCCCAGCGTCATATACATTTTTTCAGTTATATGGTTTAATGTATAATCTTTTTGCTTTCTATTTGGCATTTTATGTATTGTTATAACCACAGATACAAATTATGCGTTGAAACTTGCTTCAGAGTCAACCACCCAATCTCACTGATTTTATCCTGATTGTCAACTTATGTTGCTTTTGTATTTTGTAGCAGTGTGTGATATAAACAGGAAATTATTTTAGAGTACCAAATCATTAAACATAACTTAATTTTTTTGCATATTAAAATTAAATTTTTAGCTCAAATTGATGTCTGAATTTTCATTTTAAGAAACTGAGCCGAATCAAAATACTTGAAATATACACAATATTGTATTATCTTAAATCTCAAAAATTTGTATAATGCCGAAACTAATTATTGTATTTTAGTAGTTCGTCCTTAAACCTATAGAGGAAAATGAAAATCAACTGTGAAGCTTTTTGATGAAAAATGATGTAAGGCAGCGGTATTGACTTCCATTGCCTTAAAATGATGTTATGTCACTTTTACAATCGCGCGAGGCTTAAATTTGAACATATGGAGTTGAAGAGTAAGAGTTTTTCGTCTCAAAGAACAACAGAAATTGTATTCATGATTTTGTGAATAACTGTTGTGGTACGCTTCGGAATTTTGCTGAAGAAATTTTATGTCAAGTTATTGATGTAAGATTTTAATAGATTCCATTATTCTTTGTTTTTTTTTATAAATTCAAACCAATTCTTTTTTAAAAAAGTAAAAACTTCAACTAGACACATGGCTCTTTAGCCCGTCTCGAGTTTTCCCATGAAAAAGCTTCTCTGCTCTTACAACGTTTTCCCAGCTAATTGTTTCATTGTGTTTGATAACGTTTACACATTCTACGTTATTGCTATTTTCATAGAAGAACTTTAGTTTTAGTTTGAGCTTGATGCCTTTTTTCCATTTTTTCTTCTCGAACACTTTTTACTGCCGTAAAAATTCACCCTCGATTCTGTGCTTTGTACTAAACAAAAGAGATTTCAAAAACCGCTTTCTCATTCAAATTTTCTTGAATAAGACAGCAAATCTTAAAATTCCTATAGTTACAAGATTAAATTACAACTATAGGACCTTTCTAAGCCTTTGTTTAACAATGAGAGTTTTGTGACGTAAATTCCTTTTACACAATAGTTTGATTCAATGTGAATTATGAAATCGCTTTGTAGTATCTATGAAATGCGAACTGGCACGAACGGGTATTTTGTGGTATAGTAACATGAATGTATTTTCTTGAGAGAGATCAATTTAATGTTTAATGGTATGTATCTTGTTATATATAATCATCTTTTACATTGATTGATGATTACTGTTTATGATCTTTATAATGACCCCCTTTTGTACAAGAAGAACTAGGTTAAGAATTCATCGGAATAAATCGAAAGCAAATTCCAGCTAGTCTTGTCGCATCAAAAGAACCATTCAATGAACACTGATTGAATTTGGGAGTCGTAAAACACTGATGGTGTCTAACGTTAATGACAATGTCTGGGTGCTGAACAATTAACAAGTGAAATGAAATATCAATTTCTTGAGAAGGAAGTATGAAATAATGATCATCAGTGCATTCTGACCCTCCCGGCTCATGCAAGGTTTATTAGATATTCTAAGGAACCCACGCTCATCCATAAACAAAAAAGGGTCGCCCTTATTGACAAGTGACACATTCTATAATCTCATTCATAGATCATTGCAGACGGTTTATATTTAATGAGAATAAAAAATCATACTTTGTTCAGTCTTTTTTACAAGAATCACGATTCTACATTTAAAATGTCTGCAGTGTTCACAGTTTATCATAAAGGTGTTTACAGATGTAATCATATTAAAAAATTCGGGCAAAATCTGTTACTGGTAAAAGTTGATATCCTAGATTTGGAAACTATACATCACCCCTGAAATTCAAGTAATCAGAACTTTGAAATACGGAGCCGATATGTAATGTTTGATGCCATTCATTTAGAGTATTCAGCTTTGCTTGCATTTTATTTTGATGTTCTTTTTCATCTCGGAGATCCTGACGCCCTGATACCAATAACCGCAATAAATATAATTGGGCCTGTATCATTGAGATTTGTAAATCCCTCTGTAGCTCAAACAAGGTTCATTGACAATCAACGAAGTGCATATTTTCATGCTAAAAGTTTATTCTCTATTTTAAAGAAATTTCACGGCCAAAAAAATAAAAAAGCGACCTCTATTCATCATGAATTGTTCGTGATTTGCCCCCCCCCCTGAGGGATTGGAGTTTGCTATACAACAATAGAATTCCATCATCTCCAAATAAGATTACCTCACATCGGGTCCATCCAGTGGCGGGTTTAATGGGGGGCAACTAGGGGCAGTTGCCCCTCCCTCGACGAGTTAAAGCAAGTATGGCGCCCCTTTTTTGGAAATTGTGCGCCCCTTTAGAAGAATAAGAATCAGTTGAAAAAGTTTCTGAGACCAATAGGTTAGTTTGCTTCAAGGATTACTTCAAAGTTATGTTGTTTATTCCGAAAATTGATCTGAAATTGTTGTATACAGCGTTACCTCGTCGTCAATTTTTGAAAATTTTTCAGCGCCCCGACTACCAACTGCCCCTCCTTCAAGGTGCTCTGGATCCGCCCCTGGGTCCATCTACATGGAAAGTTATTAATCAAGTTATCTACAAATTTTCGAAGACCAAAAATTTCATTCCCCAGTATTCGACAGTGTTGATGGAAATGCAATAAAAATAACCCATAATCACTAGATAAATATATCTGCAATGTTGCCAAAGCCTCAGCAGTTAAATACCAAACAGAAATATTCCTCTTCTGATAAATAACTGTTCTGTCAAAGCTTTCTTCTTATAAAAATATTTTACCGCGATGCATAAAAAAGGTCCCGAATATGCAATGACCATGCCTCAATGAAAAATTGAGACCATTGCTTTTTAGGTTCACCTTTTACCGGTAATATGCCGGTAAAGGAATGTTCCCGGTAAGTTTGAAATAAGGAAAGTCTTTGGGTTTTTAAATGAATTAGCGATTGTTAGTTGCTTTGATAAACGTCTATCTGCAGCTAGAATATTATACAAAATATTTTGTAAGAAAAGTTTGTTTGGAAGTTATCATGTTTAGAAATTCATTTTAGATGGATATCTTCTGGGCCTTTCTGAAAACTTGTCAGTTAAAGACCTATGGACTCACATTGCTGTTTGTGATTATCGCCAACCAATGCGTACAACAACAAGGTAAATCACTGAGTCATTGATCTTCAATCTTTTCTCATTTCTTAGAAACGTTTTCCTCCATTGAATTTTCGAAGTTTTTAAAGAGTTAATCAACAATTCCAGACTTGTGTAGTTTTTTCTAAGTATTATATAAATGTTGTTTCCAATGCCCTTCGTTGATGAGAACATTCCTTTTTTTCTTCAAGATTTTAGGCCTCTGATGTTCAAATTTTAATTAGATTTTGGTGAATACAGATTGGCCTTTAGATTCAAAAGTATATTATCATTCCAGTCATGCTGCTAAATGACATTTATGAAATTATTTTTTCTTGCAAACATAGACGTGGGTGCCATTTCAATGACCCCAGTTTTGCTAGAGTGTCAGTTTTGCTCCCCTCCCCCTGAAAAATGAATTTCCGCCAGTGGGAATAGGCATTTGTAGACAAACGAGGGTCATCTCCACGAGTGAAGGCAGTTCACTCTTGCAAATAACTGACGAAATTTTCAAGAAAACAAATTGATTTCCAGGGATTTCTAGATAAACAATATGATTTCCACCAAAAGTTGTTCAAGGTCCATAGAGTGATTTTCATAGAATGAGTCTGCCAGTCACAAATAGACTCTTTACCACTGTTTCTGAAAATTTGGGGGACATATCTCCTGTTCCCCCGTTTACTACGTTTATGCTCGTAGCAAATACTTCTTTTTATTTGGAATGAATTCTATTTCAGCAAGTCAGTTCTCTACATGCAAAGATGCACTGAGTAAAACAAATCAAATTAAGGGGACTTTCAACATTACAGTAGGCTCGAGAACTTTGGAAGTACTCTGCGTCAGAGATGAACACGAAATCAGAATAATAGTTTCTCATTCAAGTGCTAACAAAACAATGTACGTTGGGAATACTCACTAAACGACACCTACGGTTAAAAATATATCATATTTCCAAGATCTGGCGGGTATAATTAAACTTGTTGATGCAAAGTACCGATGTGCCCAAAGAGTGGATTTAGATTGTTCATCGTCAAGAATGAGTCGTTATACATGGCTCACCAACAGACATTACGAGAAACTAGATTACTGGGCGGGAGGTCCAGTGAACGGTTCTGGCTGTTCATGCGGTGTCACAAACACTTGTCACATAAAAGGTACAAGCTGTAACTGTGATTCTAATGATCACGTAGTTAGATCAGATGATGGAAAAGTCAACCGAAAGTCAGACTTGCCAATTACATCAGTTATCATTGGCGATGTAGCAGGCTATTGGTCCGTTAAATACAAGAGAATCACGGTTCATCAACTGGAATGTTTTGAAGGTAAAAATCTTAGTTTTCTTTTTCACCTACAATTTCAACATGACAGTATAATGAAAGAGGAAGCCATTCGACAGCGTGTTTTTAAGTCAGCTCTTAAAAAAGCCTTTCAAAACAGGTCTGGCGCTATAGGACGGCTTCGGGGAAATATCTTCCCACATTTTCAAATGTCCCTCCGTTTTTTAATTTTTTTTCATTTTTAAGCAGCTCAGCTTGTAATTATGCATTGCTCTTATATCTCTTATATATCTTATCGTTAATTTATCCCATATATCGTGTGTTGCGCTATGTAATGGCCAGAGGCGTAGCGTGTGGAGGGTGTCACACCCCCAACTTTCAGAGAACTCGTCGGTAGATTTACAATTTTTACAAAATAATTTTATATTTTACAATATAATTGCCAAATGAAAGAAAAGAATCTATGTCGGTAAAATTTGGTTTACATCTCTCACACAAACAACCCCCCCCCCCCAAAGTGAGAAAGGTCACGCTACGACACTGGTAATGGCCATCAGGCAGACATGCTATTTTCCTCCCGAAGGTATCATCTTTAACGACATATTGTTGTTTTTTTTGTATATAGACATTAACGTATGCAAAAAATTTCCAGATCCTGGGTACAACGAAAAATTAACATCACTTTTCTTACTGGATCCTAATCGATAACCTTCTTACTTTGCACCCTACTTTTTAGAGATTGCCCCAATTTCCTACCTGTGCCCTTCAAACTGCGAATATGTTTGTTTGCAGATATAGATGAATGTGCCCGCAAGGACGTCTGCCATTCGAATGCAACTTGTCACAACACTCCAGGATCCTACAGCTGTACTTGTAAGCCTGGCTTCACTGGCGATGGGAGAATCAGTTGTTCAGGTACTTTGACGAAAGACGAGTTAGTCAAAGGTGTAAACCCTGGTTTCTCTCAATGTGTCTCCTCTGATTAATAGAATTTTTAGGAATTAGGTACACTGTTTGTTAAAAGATAAGAAAGAAAGTGTTTTTTAAAAGATTAGAAATTTTGTTCGAGATTTTCCTCAAACAAAAATTTAACAAAAGAGCAGTATTTTTTGCAAGTTTGTAAATGAGTAAGTAGCACAAATGATTAAAGTTGGGTCCTGAAGCCATTTTAATCAGCAAGATTTTTTGTTTTCGAATTTCATTAGATCAAGAGGAGATTTAAAACAATTTGTTAGATGTTAGCCTTGTAGCTCGAGATTATCTCGTACTTTAACATTAGAAGTCTCCATGTTGTAACATATATTTTAGAGGCGTTTATTCCTAGAGGGGAAGTTTGTTTTCCTCATTTAAGGGGGAGGCGTTTACCAGACAAAGAGATCTATTTGAGGCTAGATATCTATAAGGGGATAAGTCTGTGGTATCAGTCGTGTTCTTGAGAATAAAGAGACATTCCTGTTTTCTTAAACAGTTCTTTAGGATTGATACGTCTTATTCAGCTTGAAATTGATAGATCTGTCACTAAAAGCGCCAAAGACAAAATTCAATAGGTATTGTTTTTAATGAAGAAGAATAAAATAGAGAGTTTTTCAGAAGTCTTTCACACGAAACATCAAAATTGGCTTGCAATCATAATCGCTGTAATCCAACTAAAAATGTAATTTAGTTACAGTAAATTGTAAAATTGATGAGCAGGGCAGGTACTATAGAAGGTTCCTACTCTGGCAAAAGCTGCTAAAACATCACAACATATGATGTAATAGACAATATAACATACATTGCAGAGCTATAGTTTTATCTATGTCTGACTATATTGTTCATTATTATCAAAATATCGAAAATATTATTGCTCTTTTGATATCATAATATATCTTTCCAGATATCGCCAAATGCATTGATTTAAATTGTCATGCAAATGCCACATGTCTGAATAAAGATGGAAATCATTTTTGTCAGTGCGTCAAGGGTTTCAGAGGAAATGGAACATTCTGCCAAGGTATGTACCACAGGCTAACGCTACATAGACAAAGACACTCTGTAACACAACTCTGAACAAATAATGAGCCCTAGAGCTCCTTAACTAAAGTTCAGCTTTAGCTAAGATAGTTCGCTCTATGAACAATTAGAGCGTATTCTTTATATTCATAGGGATGTATTGGTGGCATAGGGATGTATTGGTGGGGGCTCAGGGGGAGGGGGAAATCCCCACGTTTTAAAATTTTCGAAAACCGTTGCTTCGCCACAGGTCAGCCATTGACAACTGAACAAGAACAAGAAGAGAGATACAACGACGTGGCTTCAAGGCATTGCAAGCTTTATACGAATAAAATGTTGACATAGTATGTCATATTTAGATGGAAAATGTCTTTTCCTTAAGTTTTCTTACTGAGTCTGTTTACTTGCTGTCTTGTAAAGACAGTTGATTTTTACTCGCTGTTTTTAGAAATGGGTTCAATTATCTGAATCCACAACCGCTCGCTACTATTTACTCTGTCTTACCTACTTTTTAGTAGTTTGTGCACTACATTCTCGATGTTTTTATTTTTCGTGCGTGTTCATGCTATCCAAGAGGAAATGAACATTTTTTCCATAGACGTGCGATACTCATCCTGCAACAGGGCACTTGCAATGAACAATTATGCAGCTGGTAACTACGCACTAACAACAAAAGATGGCCCAGTTGAAGTTGCATGCAGTCTAAGCCAGGATGGAAGGAAAGTTGATACGTTCATTAGCGAAACTGCCAACAAGGAGATCCATGTCTCCAGCAGAAGGGCCGCTGGTTTTAATGTTTATAAAATGGGGTATGGCAGCAGTTTGAGCAGTATCATACAAGTCATTGATGGAGAAGAGATTTGCAAGCAGGAAGTATCTCTTAAATGCTTTTATTCTCGCATCAAAGATTATTCTTGGCTAACAGACAGAAATTGGAGAAAGTTGAGTTATTGGGCTGGAGGTTCAGCAAATGACACTGGGTGTGCTTGTGGAATAACTTCCAGCTGCAGTATAAAGAGGTGGAAATGCAGTTGTGATGGTCGGTCTAAGGTGATAGTGAACGACAATGGTGCGATAACGGACAAGTCTGTGCTGCCAATCACCTCGGTCAATATTGGTGACACAGGATACGTAGACATGGACAAAGTTACAGCCTATAAAAAATTTAGGGTGTGGAACATCAAATGCACATCAGGTAACCTTCTAAAATGCTTGATTACTTTCTCATAAATCATGAAAAGATTCAACGAATATGATGATAGATTTACTAAGTCAACGAAATCGTTGTTCCTTTAGGGTATGGTCGACTTTTTTACCCTTGGCGAAATATAAAACAAAATAAAATAGATTTTACAGTCAAATCCTTCTAAAACCATTCTTAATCACTACGGTACAAAATTCTGAATTTGATAATCGATCAAAAATCTTGTTTTGTTCTATTGGAGCATCTAAACCAGTCCGTTGATAGAAACAAAAAAACGTTGCAAAGATAGACCTGGAACATCCTTGTCTATAAGAACTTCGGCTATTTTAAAGCTCTTGAATATTGATTTCAACGATAGTAGGAAAATCTATTAATGGTGATTTTCTCTTCTCTGTGCTTCGATGGTATCTAGTTAGCTTCGCCATGGTAAACATGGTAATTTTGTCCAGTGGTTTCATTCCTTAGTATTGTATATTTCAAATGTTATTTTACCCCATAAAAAGATTTGCTGTTACAGTTGGTTTGGTGCTTATCTCCGTATGTGCTCGATGCATTTGTGTGATGCTGTTACCCAAGCTGTGTTATTAATTTGCATACTTTGGCGAAGGGTTAACAGTTTGGACATCTTTACTTTATTATCCAGTATGTTAATCAAGTGTATCTCATAAGAATCTTAAAACCATTTCAAAGAGCCGAGGAAGTTAAGATCCGATCTTTATGTATTCATCAATTCGATCTCCAATCTACCATGTTTTTTTCTCTGAAACATAAAACTTGGCGATTTTTTGCAGCTAGAGATTACTGTATTGGCTCCAAATGTCCTCAGAATGCCAACTGCCTTAGTGATGTGCATTCCTACACATGTAAATGCAAAGATGGTTTCATTGGAGATGGAAAAATCAGCTGTGCAAGTAAGAATTATCAGTCTTCCTTGTTTCACGTTTTACATGTTCAATACGAATGGTAAATACCAGTGTTTGGTTGTCTACTGCCTTCAAACAATTCAAATACTAGCTGGCTAATAGCAGTGAGGATATTGTTACTTTTGTTTTAGATATAACAAATTGCATGAACCTTGGATGCAGTCAGAATGCAACTTGCAAAAACGTCAATGGCTCTGAAGGTTGTTATTGCAATGATGGATTTACTGGTAACGGAACCAATTGCGGAGGTAAGACCATATTATGCTAAAAATTGTAAACTACTCTATGCATAATCGAGAAAATCCTCCAGGGAGCCATTTTGAGAAGAATTCTGACGGTGATTAGCTGATGAAATTTAACTTAATTTCTTTTAGTTTGTTCCTATAACTACGAAACCCTGGGCAATCTGCTAAAACCTTTCAGGATCTCTCAGATGTCTTTTTGCTCCTTCGTTACTCATTTTTTGTTTGTTTTAGATGTCAATGAATGCCTTTCTGCCGAGTTAAACAACTGCCCGTATGGCTGTAATAACACCATCGGCAGTTATCTATGCACATGTCCAATTGGATATAAAATACAAAATGTATCAACCTGTGTTGATGTTGACGAATGTGCAGATAAGTCTCATGACTGTCACAAAAATGCTGCTTGCAAGAACACAGTGGGCTCATTTAGCTGCAGCTGCAGAAAAGGATATATTGGAGATGGACGAAATTGTACAGGTACAACGTTTGTTTTAACTATAAGTCTTTTTCAATGCCCGTTTTATTAGACCTCTTTCATAATAGCCCCTTTATCAAAACTGCCTCGGTTTAGTATATGAAAAACCAAAGAAGGTGGTGAGCAAGGTACCGCCAGGCAACCGATTGGTCTGGAGGCAGGCATTGGCATTAGCAGCAAGCAGGGGGTGCAGGGCGGGCAAAATACAAATTTTTAGGCCACGCATTTTTATCTACCAAAAAACGTTTTTTTACCATCAACCGGTTTTGCAAATATGGAATGCTCATATGAATATTCAAAATCATATTGAATACTTCGTCAAAATATTACTCCTCTTTTAACTTTTCTGCCGTGGCGTCACGTTTAGACGTGCCTTCAGATCATGAATACAATCTTGATCTATGATGACAAACTCTAAGCGCTGCAGTCCAGTGCTTTAAACTACAGAGTCGCTTTGCTATAATATGATCTAAAAGAAATATAATTCTAGCTACTTTAGTGGAATGATTTGGGCTTTGTTGGTGTGATATAGAAAGCCAAAATTTGTAAACATTTTTCTTCTTGAAATTTTAGATAACAACTACGCGTCATGTGCGAGAGCGTTACGTACAAACAACAATCAAATGGCGACATATTACCTCAAAGTGAACGGTACTATATTGGAAGTCAAATGTCAAGATAATAGGAACAGTATTTTAACAACTATTGCTCACAAAGATAGTGGAAAAACAATCTACATCACCAACTACGAAAGGGAAGGGAGCTATAAACGAATGATAATGTATGAACAGGACTTTCAAAGTATATTAAAAGTAATTGATGGATCACACAGTTGTCGGCAGTCGGTCAAAGTGGTCTGCAGAGGTTCTCTTATTAAGAGATACTCTTGGCTAACTAACCGGGCCAATGAAAGAATGTCTTATTGGGCCGGCGGTCCTGTAAATGGAACAGGCTGTGCATGTGGAATAACAAACAAATGTGACGTTGCCAACACTAAATGTAATTGTGATGCTAATGATAACACATACCGGACAGATGTAGGATTCGTAACGAGAAAGTCTGATCTACCACTGACTTCGTTTAGCACTGGTGATACTGGTTCAGTGTTGGAAAACAAGGAAATCCTAATTGGCGATATAGAATGCTATTCGGGTAAGTCAGCACAGCCAAAAGCAAAAGCTGAATGCATTGCATATAGTTGCCAATTTGCAATTACTTTGCAGTTCTATAAATAGAGTTGTTACATTCATTCTGAAAATTTGAGTTACCATTCCTATGTTTTGGGTAGCCTGATTAAAGCTATATGAAATTCGTGGGGATTCTTATGAAAATCTACTAGCCTGCTTGATAGAATATGAAATTCCTATCACAGCATACATATTATCAAAGTTTCCTTTTCGTGAAGAAACACTAAATTTTCATTTAGACAGCTTTTTTAAATGACAAAGGTTGTTTTGAAAGGATCCTTGGAACTTGATAGATAAATTTAGGACAGTTACTAGGCCAACAAGAAGCTGCTTAGGGTCTATTAAGTATTTTTGAAATTATTTTAATCTCATTTGTTGCGTTATTTGTTAATAGATATTCTATTTTGATCTTCATTCTATTTTTCAAAAGATGTGGATGAATGCAATGAAACACGTCCGTGTCATGTAAATGCAACATGCAATAATACAATATTATCTTATCAATGTGCTTGCAACCAAGGGTTTTATGGAAACGGCAAGAAAGAATGCCTAGGTAAGTTTCGTTCTCACTTGCTAAATACTTCAAAAGAGTTGTCAATACGCTAAATATTTCTTAACAATTACAGATAACTACCCTTTTCATAGCAAAAATATCTGTGAATTGAGAAAGAGTTCAGTGGCTGGGGGAATTGACTAAAGTTCAAAAGGTTAGTGGTTCGAGCCCCTTACACCCAGATTGATTTTCCTTGATGGAGAATAGTCGCCAGCTCTTTGTATTTCCAGATGTAGAAACTATGAGTTGTGATCACATCGAGTGGAAAATGCAGGACACTGGTCGCTAAACACAGCTTATCAGTGTCCTAAAAACTACTTTCGGGTGCTAGGTAGCAAATACATATCAGGTGCATTTGACCATGTTTCCTGCACGTTGAGTAAAATCGTCAAAATGAATCATTTCTTGACCAGCTAGCAAAGAAAAATTCGCTGTACTACCATATTACTATTTGTTTTAATGTGTGCAGAATCAGCTACAAGCTCTTTGGACGAAGAAGCAACCATATAAGATTCTTAATGAAGATTCTTACTTGAAATGATAGGGTAGTGAATAGGCCCAAATTGTCGAATCTTCTGCTTTAAAGCAATTCAAATATCTGTTGCAATCATTATCTATTTTTGTAGCAACTCAACTAATTTTTGTAGATCCTGTTCAGTGTCAGTCGTTGAACTGTTCAACAAATCAAACATGTGCCAACCCAAATGGAACTCACATTTGCAGATGCAAGGAGGGATTTCAAACTGATAGCCGCAAATGCATAGGTAAGACTTCTCATAGCATTTTGTGCAGGGAACCATGACCAACCTGAAGTTTACAAAAATCTGTTGTGAGGGACAAATCACCCACTAGATAGCTACATAGGTTACGTACCTTTGAATGCAAACCTATCCTCAGCTATCAAATAGCTGAGGGCTAAACCATTTTATAGAAATCTCATAGACCTTTGATTGAAACCGTAGAAATCCATTTGTTTTTGTAGAAATCTGAATACAATTTTAAAAAATTAGGAAAGTCTCTGTTAATTATTTTAACTGCTCTGAAGCATGTACTACGAAAACGCTAGGGAGTACTGAAATCTTTAACACTCCAGCAACTTGATTTTTTGGGACATATGAACATGACATATTTTGTGAAGCTTGTGAAGCTATAATTTCATATCCTTGTTACAGACAAGGACGAGTGCTTGTCACGGACAACTAACGACTGCCAACATCGATGTATTAACACAGTTGGCGGATACAACTGCTCCTGTCATCCAGGATACAAACTGGTGAAACTCACGAATTGCATGGACGTTGATGAATGTACATTGAGAATCCACAATTGTTCAATGAATGCAACATGCAAAAACAACCGAGGGTCATTTTCATGCATCTGTAATAAAGGTTATACTGGTGATGGCTTCAAATGTACAGGTAATATACTGACGTCACAGGATAGAAGTGCCTCTGAGATACTTGATGGTTACTTTCTAAACTACAGCAAGCTAATCTTGACGAAAACAATTAATATATTTAAGAAACAGACTGAGGTTCCTGTTACATTGTTTCGTTTTGATATCATAGAATCAGGCAAACTTTTGATTTCTGTATCGTGACTTGGCACATGAAATTGTAACAGCTTTCTTAACATCCATAGGGTCCCCCGACGAAGGGGGCCGCTCCCCACTTTTTCGCAAAGCAATAGAGCGCTTTTAAAATCTTTGTCATGATTGTTAAAATCTCCCCTGGCCAGCCACTTTCCAACCTGCGTCGGAGCCAATGTAACTTTTTTCAAGACACCATCAATAGATTTTGATGACAATTTTCTATTTACCATTTCAGAGCATAGCTATGAATCCTGCAAGAAAGCTCTTCTCTCCAACAAAATGGTAAATAACATTTACTATCTCAAAGTGAACGGCCACATATTAGAGGTACGCTGTATAAACAGGATTAATGAATTCCTAACTATCATTTCACATAAAGATAGCGGGAGGCTGTTTTATGTATCTGGATACGAAAGATCAGGGAGCTACAAAAAGGCAATTTCATATGCGCAGAACTTTCAAGCTATAACAACAGTGGTAGATCGCTCAAGTAGATGTCAACAGCAGGTGAAGGTATACTGCCGACATTCCTTGATTAAAGACTTCTCATGGTTGAGCAACAGAGCCAACATGAAAATGACATATTGGGCTGGCGGTCCTGCAAATGGAACCGGTTGTGCTTGTGGAATAACAAATACATGTGCTGGTACCAACACTTTATGCAACTGTGATGCTAATGATTATACTTATCGATCCGATTCCGGTTACATAACCAGAAAATCAGATCTTCCATTAACATCCGTAAGCACCGGTGACACTGGTGGCTCGCATGAATACAAAAGACTTTTAATTGGCAGTGTTGAGTGTTTCTTAGGTAAGTGACATATTATCGTTTCTTAAATAGATCTATGTACACCTATCGTTTCTAAAAGGTAAGCGATAAATTTTCATTTGTAAAAGATAAACTTGCAGTGTTAGAGGACGTTTTCTGTTTTTGAGTTTCCTTTTCTTCCAAAACGTCAAGCCAGTTTTAACATGAACTTTGATAATTTTTGCGACAGAATAGCTTCTCTCTAGCATGATTAACTTTTTGCTCACTTTTGATATCCTTCTGAAATATTTTGCGAGTTGAAGCTTAATTTTTAATCGCTTCCAGATGTGGATGAATGCTCCAATGGATTGCACCAATGCAGTTTGAATGCTACATGCACCAACAGCATTGGGTCATATAACTGCCAATGCAAGCTTGGGTTTTCAGGCAATGGCTTGCATTGCATCGACGTCGATGAATGTTTGGAAAACAGTCACAATTGTGACAGCAATGCTGAGTGCTTTAACACGGCTGGGAGCTTCAGCTGTGCTTGCAAAGAAGGATTTTCTGGAAACGGAAGCCTGTGTCAAGGTAGTTCCACTCTACAATGTTCTATTGAAGCCAAATAAAGCTTTATTTGTTCATTTGTGCTGTGTGGGGAAATAAGTTCCCGTTTGCATCTCTATGGGTGCTATAAAAAGTCCAACGAAGTCAGTGGAAGCGCCAGCTACTGCATACTGGGGGATATATGAGTATTACCCATCTGACCAACCCTCTTTTGCCTCATTTCATTGCTTTATACCAAGTGTATTTTCCGTAGGCAAATTTTTAAGAAATATTTTCTTCGCCTTATCAGACGAACTTTATCAGTTTTTAGAATACCTATTTGAATCACGTTTTACTAAAGTTGGAAGGGGGCGTTTCCTCCAAAGAACAGCCCCCCCTGGTGCCGCCAATACTCTCGTTTGGACCAAGATTAATTGCTGGTAATTAAGAGAAAGCCGCGAAATCTCGTTTTGTGATCCTCGTCAACTCAATGCTTCAATTTTATAGAAAAAGATAGACGTACAAATATTGTCACCATGATTGTATCTTTTCACTTCCATAAATTCGTCTCGAGGAAGGTACAGAATAGGTTTTGGCGGTAAGATACATGATAAGGGATTCAGGCTTTTCAATTGCTTTCCAGATGTCGATGAATGCTTTAGTGGATTGCATAATTGCAGTTTGAATGCGACATGTACCAACAGCATTGGGTCATACAATTGCCAATGCAAGCTTGGGTTTTCAGGCAATGACTCACATTGCATCGATGTCAATGAATGTTTGGAAAACAGGCACAATTGTGACAGCAATGCTGAGTGCTTTAACACGGCTGGGAGCTTTAGCTGTGCTTGTAAAGAAGGATTTTCTGGGAACGGAAGCCTGTGTCAAGGTAGGTTTCTAATGTTCTATTTAAGAGATAAAAGTGCTATGTTTTTTAGCTTTGTGCTGATCGAGGCAAAGATCTCCTGTTTGCAACATTATGGCAGTTATGAAAAACTCCTTCTTGTTCATAAAACAGCAAAGAATCCAGGCAGCGAATAGAAAGCCTCAACATCTTTTTCATATGGCTATCGACTTTTTGATTTAGTGTTATAACTGGAAGCAGCGTGGCTATCATGGTGGGGTTAGAGCCTCGTTTCAAAGAATCTGGTCAATTTTGGCGGTAAAATTTGATCTTAATGTGTTTGCATCTTTTATTCGTTTCCCAGATGTCGATGAATGCTCCAGTGGATTGCATCAATGCAGTTTGAATACGATATGTACCAACAGCATTGGGTCATACAATTGCCGATGCAAGCTTGGGTTTTCAAGCAATGCCTCGAAGTGCATCGATATCAATGAATGTTTGGAAAATGGCCACAACTGTGACAACAATGCTGAGTGCCATAACACGGCTGGAAGCTTCAGGTGTGCTTGCAAAGAAGGATTTTCTGGCAATGGAACTCGATGTCAAGGTAAGGCATAAAGTTCAGTGTAAACCACTTAATGTTATTTATTTGGTTCTGGTACCATTTTATATCCGTCTCATACTGGATATCTTCGTCCCCAACTGGATCTCTTTGTCATTTCACCAACTGATGTCCTTGTGATTTTCTAGCTATTCCAAGCACCTCGACAGAACAGCCAACAACAGCTCCAGGTACATTTTCTCTTGAACCTAGTCTGTTTCTTTGTGAATTTTATCGTGGATTTCACAAGAAAAGAGGTGAATCCAGAATATTCTATTAAGAATTTCCCCCTTTTACTGTCAATCTTAGACTTGTTTTCTGATTTTTTTCTTACTATTTCATCTTTTCAGAGACTTGCGAGAATCTAAATTGCCAGAATGGTGCAACATGCAGTGTGACGAATGGAAAGCCGGTTTGCAATTGCCCAGCTGGTCTGTCTGGCTCCCGATGCACACAAAGTAAGTCATGAATGACTAACTAGCGTTTCATACCGCTTGCTGCTTTTCCCCTCAACCAGCAACACTATTTATTATAGGCCTCGTTTTCACGAGCACGGGTTTGCTGCTACCCGCCTAAGAGGGTCAACCCCTCTACGGTCAAATCTCTTCAAATGCTTCCATGGTAACAGTAGCCAACCCGGATCATCCCCACCTTGTCAGGTTCTTAACTGTAGGGCTGACCCGTTGAGATCATCGGTCTTAGCCTTGGCCAAACGATTCGATCTTTTGCTCGATTTTTCACTCGACTTTTCACTAACGCCAACAAAATGAAGGCAAAGAAACGCAAATCGGCTGCCGTTTTTATTTTACATGCAAATGTCCTTTTACAATCTCTTGACGAACCCTAACGACATAAGTCCCTGTTCGTTCATTTGATGCAGGAACCGCCATTAAATACTTATTTCGTTCAAGCAAATTACTATTTTCAGTCATACTTTTGTTTCTTTTGATTAATTCCATTCTGAAAAAAAATGGAATTCATCACTTTAAGAGGCCTCCTGGGCCTTGAGGCCCCAGGGTAGTAAGCTTCCCTGCCCCCTTTTGGCTGCCCCGCTCTCGAATAAATTAGCTCCTTTAAAAATAACTAAGCATAAGAGATGATAACTGCGCACGCGCTTACTCGACTCACTCGATAAGGTGGCCAAACGATTCGATTTTTCACTCGGTTTCTTGTTGAGTAGAAGATCGAATGAAAAATCGAGTCGTTTGGCCGGTAAAGTTGGGTCAACTAAACCGTGCAAACACTTTACGTTAGCTAACACAATAAGCTGACCCGGGTGAGGTCAACCCTCTAAAGCAACCAGCTGACCCGGGCACGTGTAAACGTAATTTTTTTACTGTTGCTTGTTGACATGATTTGGCGTGGAATCTAGCCCAGGCTCGTGTAAACGGGGCCTTGAAATGTTCAGAATCACGGCTTAGAAACGATGTAGAACAAGACTTACATATGTCTATGGAATTCTCTCGACCTCTAAAAGGAGGCTTTTGCCAATAAGTACCCTTTTCAAGCTAACGATAGCCATATTTTTCACAATTTGACCCTCGCTATACGTGCAAAGAAAATTTTTACACGGAAAAATCACCAACTAGAAAGGTAACAATCGTGTTCTATCTTTCAACATTATATGAGGGTCTAAATCATGGAATTGTAATATAGGCCTAATTTTGGTTTGCAGTGACATCGTTTGCATATTACTTAAAATAATGTCATGAACTCTTCTCATTGAGTGCTTTGATGGCTGTCTGTCATATGATATTTTTAGTGAATCGAAGAGTTTTCCTGAAAATTTAACAATTCTTTCTTTATATTGATTACAGAGGAAATTACAGTAGCTGGAAAAATCACGCTACCCGCTGTATCTTTACATGGATCGGCAGTGAATTTAAGCGACACCAATGTTCAAGATGATCTGCAAAACCTTTCGTCACCATTGGCACAACAGCTTGTCAATGCCTTCCAGCCAGAGGTACACTTTGCATCACTTTTTCCATTTCGTCTAAAAAAAGCCATTTTTATTCGTATTGCCTTTCTTAATGTCTAGGCATGTGTCTAGGGATGTCGACCAATCTTAGGCTATAGAGACATTGCTTAGGACAAATACCAAATAGATATCAACTTAACATTTACGCAAAGGCTTAACAGACGCAATACTTCGTAGCTTCAGATGTTTCTGGTACTTGGAGTGATGCAAATAGGCAGAGGATTTATGAAGAATTAGAACGGGAATGCCTGTACAACAAAAGATTGTACAGAAGGCTTTGTATTTTCTTTATTGCAACGAACCCTCATCACCAGGTTACATTTTTGATGACATCCCTCCCAGGCCCTATTTCAACATACTAAGTAGGGAGGCTTGCCCCTGTAGCCCCAGTGACTTTCCATTGTTTAAAACAACAGTCTATTGTCCTCCTCTTCATATAAACAAGATTTGTCCCTGCAGTTAATTTCCTTCGGTAAAGGCTATGATTCTTCCTAAAATTAATTTAACTATAACGACAAAACCCAAAATTTCAAAACAATCTTTTCCTGATTTGTACTTCCAAAATAAACTGCGTTCGTGGAATTGCCTTGGAGAAGAGATTGAATATCGAAAATCTTTTTTCTTCATGAGGTGTGGCCTAGCCAAACACAAATTTTAACGATGTGGCGAAAAAGAGACATGAAATTAGTTCACGTTTAGTCTTAAAAGCTGTTTGTCCTTGTGAATTTACATTTTGGTGTCCATATATTTCAGAATTTCTTGGTCTACTTTTGCTGAATAGATTCTATCCCCTCTCATCTCCTCATCTCAACCTTGATCCGCCTTTACAAGTTCTAAGTAGATAACTGCGCCTCAAGCATCACGCCTCAAGCAAGACAAAACTCTCAATAAGTACAGCAAGGAGCACTTCCCAAAAGGCAGATTTGCAAGTAAAGGCCTAAAGGAGCTGATCTCTAAAGGAACAAAAGTGACAAGTAACTCAAGTGTCAAAGCCTAAACGTGACAATAATCAAATATGACACAGCTCAAGGATGCAAGTATTCAAAAAAGATATTTGTGCGTCACAGGTCTATGAAGAGCATACTTAAATTCATGTTAATTTGAATTTCTAGGTAAATTAACTTGTTTGTGTTTTTTATTGCAGTTGGAGCAAAAGTTGAAGCGATCAAATAAAGATGTGGAAAGGGTTGAGATAACATCATTCACGTAAATATTTGGTTACTTAAAAATAACAAAGCAGCACAATATGTAAACAAAATTTTTTGCTGGTTATATTTATTATATTCAAACAATTATCAATCCAGGTCATAGATTAACAACTTTAGTCCTCAATGATCATCTTCGGGTTAGCAATTAGATGCCTCTTGCACTACTATCCTCCGCAGAGGCTATTGGGGGGGGAATGGGGATTGATAAATGGTGAAGCTGAGGACCCTTGCAGCTCCTTTTTTTTCTTTTCTCCCGCAGTTCCTTTCATCCTATCCTTTTTGCTCCCAATCTTCCTCCCCAATAGCTTCTGTGGAGGAGGGTACCTCTTGCACACTCGACACACGTAAAGGGCGTTTAATAGTATAAAGCTGTGTGCACCTTTCCATACTGGACATTCTGACAGAGTCCAGATAGGTGTTTATCCTTCCAATTAACATTTTCCTAAAGCCATAAAAACCTTTCAAAGAAAAGCAGGGAAAACAAAGCGGCGTCTCACTCACTTTGTTGGCAAATGAGGCCTGAACACCTCCTTAGAGCGAAAAAGCTAGCAATAGCACTGCGTACACCCTCTTAATTTAAGAACAAATTAAGAACAATCCAGCCTCAGATTTTCGAAAAAATTAAGAACAAAAAGCCTGAACTTAAATTTACTGGTTCTTATAAAAAAGAGTGTATTTCCTAAAAAGTGAACGGACAATGTCAACGAACTGTTAAATCTTCGTTAACTCTTCAAGTATCTTCCTCAGTTTAGATGTTTTAAAGCATCTTTCTTGGCAATTTATAAATTAACGACACCGTGTTAAACAAATATTTTCATGCAGGGTAGGAAGTCTTATTGTGGATTTCAAGATTATACTAAAATCAAGTGCTGATATCGCACACTTTCAAAGTAACCTCAGCCTTCTTATTGGTGGAACGTTGGGAGGATCATCGATTTCAAATTTCACAGTATCAGGTATAATAACATGTATTTACCAAAAGTTTTTGAGCAATAGCTTTGAGAAATTTTATGGTAAGGTCCTACGGTTCCGTGCAGCGTAAATTACTCTAAGCTTTTATCATTAGTTTTTTGTAAAGGAGAAGCCAGGTGATTTATTTACGCTGGTAAAAATGTTTAATACTTACAAGAACCTATAAGCTGGTCACTTAGCAAATTTGAAATCATCTAATACCATTTGAAGACATGAAATTATCTAAAACCATTTGAAGACTTTTTCCATTGAGAGTATGCTTTGTGACTTTTTTCCGAATCTAGTAAAAAAACTTTTCTAAAGAAATCCTTCTTTGTTGTCCAGCTTTGCTTTAGATTGCAAATGCAAATGCAAAGACAAAACGAACTCCACCAATTCTGTGATATTGATATTGAATTACTTACTGCAAACAAGCCAAGGGTAAAACAGCATAAACGTTTCTGAGCTTTGAAATTATTAATTGGTGTTGTTCTGTTTCCTATAACTGAATTTTTATTCATGACTCAAGATTCAAGCAAGCCCCGATTTGCAGTCCAATAAAAGAGCAAATAACAAAATTAAATTTACGATAACAAAAGCTAAAAACAATAAAATGTGTAATAAAAAGAAAGATAGCTCCCCTCTGTTTCTTTACGAAATAACAAACTTACATTAGGAGGGGGGAATACTTTCAATTTGTTCTCAAGTTTTTGTCCTCAAAATAAAGAATGGAAATATAGTACTTCAATCAGTGTTTTCTGATAGCCAAATTTGACAAACCCCCCAGTCTTTTATAATATTGGGTCCTTCTAGCCATGAAACTAAAGCTTGACGCTTTATTTTCTGTCACTTTATGGAGTTTTATTTTTTTTTAGATTTTGATGAATGTAGCTCAGGAAGCTATTGCCACAAGAATGCAAAATGTACCAACGTTGTAGGATACTTTAACTGTCAATGTAAATCTGGCTTTACTGGAAATGGATTCGTTTGCACTGAAAACGAAGAAGGTAAAAGAGAGTTTTAATCACTTTTTACGTTTAAATGTGAAGGACAGGACAGTTCTAAAGTGCTCCCAGTTTCATTCTGTTTGAGCCGGATAACAGTTGCCTTCATCGGACTTCATTGGTTCATTTTTATCTATCATAAAACAAATGTTTAAAGTCCTATACCTGCTTTCGGTGTTTGGCTTCAAAGCTTCAGTGTTGAAATTGATCTCCAACAATTTTTTAGGAAAGATAAATCATCATAATCTTCTTTATACAGACAGACTATATCTTATAAGCACTTACACGGTATACTTAGATCTTTGTTATCCAGCTTAGCTTGATTAAGCGTGAATCTCCGAGCTGCACCTTAGAGCATCTCAATCCATAGCAAATTACCTTTGGCTGCATAACTCTAAATTAACAAAGCAGGTATATGCTTAAATGCCGTTTTTCATTTCCAATCTATACTCCGGTCTCCGAGAGAGGAAAATTGTGTAATTTTCGTTTTTTGCATATGTGTGATGCAGAACCCTTTGAACTTCGCTCGTCGATTGCATTTTGCACTAAGAAACAAACTATATTTTCATAGCATGTTCATCAGCATTTATTTGTGTTAATCATATTTTTTACTAGGGTATACAAGATTGGCCATTATACTGGTGGTTGTTATCTTGTTGATACTGTTTATAGTCCTTATCGTGTATGCTGTATGGCAAAGAAAGAGAAGCAAAACATCTGGAAAATGGCATATGAAGTAGGTTCGACTTATCAGCAAGCTACCCACTGATAGTCCCTTTATGGCTTAACTACTTTCCAAACAGAGTAAAGCTACTTTTGAATGCATATGTGGGTCGAATGTTTGATTATATATAAAAGTTCCTAAGGCAGTATCGTAACTTATATTTGTGATTGAGTGGGGAAGGGGGGGGGGGGAGGATACATGGTTCATCCAGACCTCCCTAGAATATTTTTGTCCCTGCGAGCACAAACTGTTTTGCAAAAGGTGCCTGTAATATTTTTCCATATATAATGCGTAGAATGTGAATTTTTTGAAAATAAGAGACATAAAGTAAGATTTAATGACTCATCATACATAAATAGGTCCAGCAGGCAAATTGATTTCTGTCTAGAATTCTATTTGGGAAAGCCGGTAGTTTGTTTGCTTCGGGAACAATGACAGAAACACGACATTCGGTTTCATTTCTTTTACACGAGTCACTCAAAGACCAGTAAATTTTCAAAGAACTGTAAAATTACTTTAGAATTATGATGGTTTTATTAACAATAATAGCATTATGGAGTTTATGTAAACTTTAGCTGACGACAAAAAAGGAAATTTTGCCATTATTTCTTTATTCGCTCCAGAATATTTGCAGCGATTGAGTCCACGAATGAAATGGCAGTTGGTTTCATTACTTGATACTGTTTGTTCTTTGCACTGCACTGCACTGCACTGCACTGCACTGTACTGTACTGTACTATACTATACTGTACTGGACCCTGTTCACACGGGAACGATTGCGTACCGTTTCATATCGTTCCGTTCCCGTCTGAACAGTGTTGGAACGGTACGCAATCGTTCCCGTGTGAACGGGTCTTAGATAACTGATTGGACATTTTTACGAAAGTCTTAATGGGAATCTATGCCAATATTGTTTCTTTTTTCAGACAATTCAATGAGCGTGGTATTGCACTTGTAAGTTTGGACCCTATACCATTAACCTTTGGAAATGGTATCAAGACAGAAACATTTGAAATGGAAAAGGACCAAGAAAAGATTTCGGAAATGCCAACTTCCTTCTATGGAAGAAGTAATGTAATCGATGAAGACTGAATAACCTCATAATCAAGATAACTAAATTGAAAAAGTTTTTACTTGTTGTTAAAGCTTCAGTATTTAAATCATACCTCATAAAAATCATGTACTTAAAGTTACGAATATTTTTGCATATTCCTCATTAAACGCTTATTACAAATTCATTTACCATTGCCACAGGAGAGGGTTTTTGCAAATTTTGTAATTTTGTAAAATAATTTTTTGTCAGATAATTTTGTTCTCAATATATCGTGATAGTAAACTGTAATATTGATTAATGAGCTTGTTTTTATTACTGCCGGGGATATGCGGTGAGAGAAGTTTTGGGGCACTAGACACAGTTTTTTTGGTAAAGTGTCCTCAACATCCCTTCCTCCCTTTCTAAACAATATTGCTTCATGTAATTTTTGACTTCAGGCTATGTCCAATCGACACCTGTCAGATTGTTATGACATTTCACTCAACACCAAAAAAATTTTGGAGGAGAGGGCATGCGGTGTCAGCATTTTCTACTGGAAATTTGTAATTCTTAAATACAACAACAAATTAAAAAAGGAAATATGCCAGAAATTGTTGCCATAATTTGCTTCTTTCATACATCAACGGAAACATTTGATTTAATTTGTTTTAGCTTAGACAATTCGATGTTGCACGAACTTGAAAATTGCACGAAATGCCGGATCTCTCTTAGACTCTCCAATTAGGTGAGCGGTGGCTGATTAGTAAAAACAAGACAACCAATCAGACGCGTCTTTCTTCCTCTCACGTTACCTTCGATCCAAACCTGGATATAAATTTTCAGCTTACATTCGGTCATTATCTGACGCTTATTCTCTGAAAAGTGTTGGATGAATAAATGCTCAAGCATGCTATTTTTCCGGTATGTTCAACTACTGTTTTTGTAAAAATTAAAGTTTCTCTAGGTACAGATGAAGGATAATAAGGGATTGTTCAATCTTATTAAAAAGTTGGTTCATTTCGGTGTCATGAGCCTTATATACCTGGCTCCTAACCTTTAATTCATCTTACCTGCTTTTCTAAGTAATTGGTGGTTTGGTGTGTTGCTCTCTTAAGTGCAAAATCTCCATAAATACTCTTCAAGGAAAATTGTAGCACGAGGGGAGGTGGTGCAATAAGCTTCCCTTTGAGACAAAATTCCGTTTTTGCCATGTCAGGCAATATGACTTTGGCATCCTCTTGAGCACAATAACTAGCAAAGGCCCTGATCAAGAGCAATAGTATAGATACCCATTGAAATACCAACTTAAATCTGCGGTGAAATAAAAATTATCTCACTACTAGTTAACTGACCTTACTCAAATCTTGAATAAAAGTCCATAACTGCTTGTGAATAAACACAGAAGCAGAAGTAGTTTGTCCGCTAGATAACAAAATTTGTGTATCACTGCAAAATGCTGGTTCTGTTCTTATGGTTACGTCACCTTCAGTCCATTCCCATATGTTTGCCATAGGCCTTTCATTTTTGCTAAAAGGGAGAAAAATTTCCATATTGAAAGGCATGTGACTTCCTGTTGCTTGCTAGAGTTGGTGATCAAAGAGGTTTAAAAGAATGAAAGGGTATTACCAATTTCAACTGAATAAAACAAGCACAACCAGCAAATAAAACAAATAAAATTTAATATAGCAGATTCTTTATCGCAAGGTAGTATTTGAAATAATTTAGCAATTTACGCAAAAGTGCTTTTCATCGTTTTAAAAAGTCCAAAAAACAAAAAAGAGACCGTTTTCTTTAAGGCGTTTTTTCTTGTTTTAACAAATTCAAAAAACTGTACTTAGAAACATTCCAAAATACCTTAAAATCAGGCACAGTCTGCAAGCTGATTCAACTGAAACCCTACAGCAGTAGCCAAGATGACAGGAAGAAAAAGACAGACTGGCAATAGACTTCTCTTTCGTGTCATGGTGATTGCCTGAGGTAGATAGTCCAGCTAAAGTTCTGCACTTGGCACACATCGGCTCATACTTGATGTTGAAGGCTTCTTTATCTTGTAAAGCTGTTAAAGTGTAATCATCTGGATTCTGTTTACCTAGAACATTGGTGAACATGTTTCAGGCTTAGGTTTCAAATCAAAACGATTTTTACAGATAATACTCAGATTAAAAGTGCAGGACTGAAAACCACCTGAAGATTCTGAACAGCTTGGAACCAACTTATAGCAAGGTATAAAAATGTATATTGAAATATTTATTGTAGGTTTTTCTAGTTTCTACAACTATGGAAGGCATTGAGATTTTATCAAAATTATGATAAAAATAGAGAGCATACCTAAATATACTGTGTTGTGATATTTGTGCAGCAGTACTATTGATGGCCCTGAGACTGATCACATCAAGTACTTCCTACTGATCATACTGATTTCTCAACAATCAGTTTTAAATAAAGGATGCCAAAATCACAAAGAAGGAAAAAAGGAAGCCTATTTTCCAAGACTCAATGCCTTGAACTTAAGAAATTGAATTATTCTTACCACCAATGAAACTTACTTAAAAAGAAGCTAAAACTCAAATGTAACTTAACTGTTTGGGTAAAAGAATTGAATACTTACAAGCTTTGGCAGAAAATACTTTCAATTCTTTGTACCACTGCCTCAACAAAGGGTGAACAGGTACATTGTCAACAAGGAAGTTGTCTACAAAAAACATTTTGTGTGGTTAAGCCTTGCATTTTTTCAAATAAAGAATGAACAGAAAAAATTGTTGAGAACTAAAGTATGAGTTACCTGAAAAATCTTAAATTTATAAAGTCAATGTTGTTACCTTGATAAACAGGTTCCCTTTTCTACTTCAAAATGAATGAATATGCTCAAGAGTCTGTATGTTTGGTGAAGATTATATTCATTGCATTCTTCAAGTGACAAAAACAGGTTGAAAACCTAGTCACTCAACACTTTGAAAGACAACCAGGGGGTGCAATTGATCCATCCAGGATGTATTCTCCTTCCCCTATGTTTAACTAATTTCTAAATAATTGAATGACACATTGTTTTCATGCTCATTGGTGTTTGATGTGCCACAAGCTTGATGGATTGCTTTGTTTTGCTGACTAATAGCATTTTTTCGAAAGAATAATAAACAAGTCACTCTGATGGCATTCTATGTTGGTTTCTATGATGTGTTTTTTTATCAGATTTTGATGAACAGCAAAATTGACCAAGCATGACACATTGTTTTGTTTAGGTAGACCACTACCATTGTTTTGGTAGATCAAAAAAGTATGACAGTGCTCAGTATTGTTAAGCATAATCATAAGAAAACTAAAACAAGGATAGAAGATAGGCACAAAATAGATCAACTAGATTGATCTGTGCTTGCATACCTCCATGTAAAAAGTGTTTCCTTCTAATTTGGTTTAAAAGTTTCTTTTCAGTCCGATTTGCAAGCTCTTTGTAGTTGTCAGCAACATCAATTGCCAATTTTCCAAGCAGTCGTGCACTTTAAATAAATCATAAATAACAATTGTATTGCAAAAAACGAAATTCAGAAGGTGTCTTAAATCAAAGAGTTATCTTAATTTTTTAATATAGACTAAATTATTATAGACTGTAAATTGGTACTAACAGTCTAGTCCTAGAAGAACAATAGCCAGATACTCTCACTTTACTGTTTGCAAAAGCAGACCAAGAATTAGAACAGGACACAAAAACTGTTTAACATTCTTTCTTTCACTTTTCTTCTCTATTTTAAATTTCCTTTACCTTGTTATTGCTAGGAAAGGTTTCACACAAATGAACACATAATATAAAAGAGTCTGTTTACCATCAGCATTACAAATTTAACATCTCTCACAGCACAATAACTGGCAAATACCTTGGAGAAGACAGGCCCTTGAGAGTATCTATGGTTTGATCAGACTGCTCTTGATGAAATATATCTTTTATTCTATCTGCTACATCTTGCTTGCTACAGACAGGATACTTTTCAAGCTGTATAAGTTGATTTAATTTCAAATTCTGAAGATCTTGAATAAGTATCTCTTCCTATAAAATACAAGGATGTAATAAATTAATTTCCAATTCTAATCAAGTAAATATAAAGGTTGAGACACTAATAGATAGATGATTGGAAAACATGTATGATTTTGGCTATGTAAGGCTGCTAAGGATCTAAAAAATTATCTAGAAAGAATTTGTGATGTCTCTGAAAACAGAGAATTGTGGAAAATATTGACTGAATACATTTGCAAATTAGCTGGTGATGAGAAACTGTTTCAAGCACCTTCAAATTGATACAAGTTCAAGTTTAATTCATTATCAATCAATCCTAATTACAAATCATACTCAAAACTCTACAACTAAGATACATTACAACACTAAGAACTAAAGACTAACAATACTAAAAACAAATCAAAAAATTACTTTAAATGATTGAATTAAAAATTGACTGATTAAGGAGGAGCTCTCTAAGTAGGTAAACTAGAGAGAGCCCCCCCCCCCCCATAAAAAACAAAGAACAAAAAATTATTTTAAAAACAAAGACATGTTTCAATTTTGAAAATGAATGAAAAGGGTGGTGACCTGCGAGCAAAATCATTTGAACTGCAAGCATCACACTCCACTCACATACACGTGACTTATGGAATAATAATACATGACTTGATTGTGGGTCATTGCAATAACAACAAGTCAAGAGTACCTTTGAGCATATGCTAGTTTTCCTGGGCCCCTACAAAAATTCATTTATTCTACTTAAAAATCTCACAACTCAAAAAATATTATTTTGGGATTGTAAAAAAAGGAGTCAGGAACAAGGCAACACCACGCGAGAATCCAATCCAATGTAATAAGATAGAATTTTGAAATAGATTGAATTTAATGAATACTTATAAAAAACAAGTTACTTGCAATGCATAACAGCTTCAATGTAATTTTTCCAACAGGGTGATACCCTACGTATCATTGCAAACGTAACATTACATTATAATCAACATAATCAAAAACAGATGATCTGGTTGTTATCGTAAATATTTTTAATAATTATTTTTTATTGGGAGTTAAGTAGGTGAAAATAAAATGCAATACACCCAGTGATTTTAGTAACATTATTGTACTGGTCATTACTAAATTTTGTATACTTTCCTCGGATATATACTTTGATGCAGAATCCTGCTTTTCACACTTTTCCTTTACCATTCCCGCCATTTTGAAAATCTCATACAGTTGAATTGGATCCTATTGGTGACTGATTACATAAACAATCTCCGGCTTCTCAATCTCTCTTCAGCTTCAAAGATAAAGAAAACATCATGGCTGGCTACTTTCGAAATGCCGTAAATGCCGCGGGAATATCGATAACGACAAATAAGAGTGGCTCTCGAACAATCGGAGGCAATGCACATATGGACAGAGAAGATGATCAACAATTCAAGCAGTATAATAATTATCGTGGGAGGTCAAGAGGAAGAAGCCGTGGTCGAGGTTGGTGTTTTTGCCAGCAGCCTAACTTATAACAAATCATATACTTGTAATATAACCCACAAAAGGCATGTACAAGTATATTTTTTTATAAATAATTGGCCGTCAGAACCACCCATTTTTATATATCTTTTAACAGAATGACATAGAAAGCAATGTGAAATTCTTTCACATATTTAATAAAAAAGAGATGAAAGCTCATAATGATGACACCGCCTGGATTACAAGTATAGGCTACCCGTCATTTGATAACATTTGCTGTCCAGTTCAGTTCAATTCAGTTCTGTTTCATTTATCTGAAATTCCTCAACATACAAGATATTCAACATTGAATATAAATTGGCACCTAGACACAATGGGAAAGTTATAGCTAAAAAAATGCAAGAATGATACCAATCAATCAAATATGCTACAGATAGAAGTGTTCTATGCAAATGAATTTCTGAAAGAGGAGCTCTCTGAAGCTAGGCTAATTGAGGAAAGATCACCTCCTGTTTTCAGAAATGATTAACAGATTTTTGTACCCATTATATATTTACAAGTAAATATTATAATTTGTTATGTTTTTATTAAACTTAACATTTTTATTTAAAAACCTTTTCATTTCCATACCACCAATAATGGGTTCTGCTTTTCAGCTGGAGGACGATATAATTCTTACAGACCTGGAGTAACACCAATGTCAAGATATGCAGATGACAGAGATGAAGAAGGTGATGAAGTTATGGGAGGTGGATTTCGAGCGAAGCCAAGATTGTAAGCATATATCTATATTTACTTAATATATTTACGTAGATATTTAGAAACATGCAAAATTTATTGCAAATTGTATTTGCAAGTGGTTTTTGAATTTGGTTTGCAACATCTTTTGTGAAGAACTCTAACATGATGCTGTGTTAGTATCTGAGAAGTGATATTTTCTTAATCTTTCACATTTGTAAATTTTAGTTTGTTTTCATTTGCTCTGATGAAGCCCTGTATACATACCAGGGCGAAATATTTGCCATAACTGTTATGTGTGTTGTTGTTGTTCATTCCTGTCACATTTTGGTGTTACTTATTCACTACTAATCTAAAAACCCTGACAATGGTATTTACCCAGATCATTTGGCTGTGTTAATGAGACACAGTTGACCAGTCATTAAACTTGATAGCTAAAGGCTCAAAGTTTTATTCTAATGTGTTATTATTAACAGTAGCTTTGAACTCATTCCCTATATTGTATCATGTCTTTGTTTCACTGACTTCAAACTTTTTCACAGTAAACCATATGGTAATAGAGGAAATTATGGACGTGGAGGCTACAACCAAAATAGATTTGATGATAAGCGGACATTTAATTCAAAATGGTTTAAAATTACCGTAAGTTATTTCTTATTTCTTCTAAATAATTGATCTTTCTCTAAGAGTCCAAAACTGTAAATATTATTGAATGGAGGGTTTTTTGACTTAAAGCAGACACCATTAAATTATTTTTTAGACTCAAAAATAATTATTTACAGTAAGTTGGTTTTACAGAACAAGAATCCATTGAGCCATAATGGACTCATGCTAATGTTTATAAACTTCAATTTCAATTAATGTTAATTACCAACATTAGGGAGAAAATGATTCATTGGAGATGATGCTTCCAAGATTTAAGAATGTGATGTAGTAAATAGCATTTTTAAGCTATAGCAATGCGAGTTTATAAAATGTATATATATATATATTATTAAAAAGGGAGAAAAGAAGCCCATAGATAGAAGGCCACAGTGGAAGGCTACCATTTTAAGAACAAGATAAAATTATTATCAAAAGCTAATATAATTGAACATAGTGAGAAATTGTGTAATTAAAGTACATAGTGTAAATATTTCTATCTCCTTACTTTTATTGTATGTTCTCTTTCTTAATTCCAAAGATTCCTGGTGGTAGACAACATGATAAAAACTGGTTGATAACCAAACTAACAAACCAAGTTACATTACCATTTGAGTGTGTTGAGGTTAGTTAAGTTTCTTATATTTTTGCAACCTAAGCCTGGTCCCTTTTCAATATATGGATTGTTTTTTGCTTTTAATAGCGTTACTGGACTTGGTGTTAGAGGGGTCCTTGATTTTAATTTAAGTTCTAATATTAATTTGAAAAGTATACTAAGAATAATTGTAGATAGTAAATTATTAAAGGATGATAGCATTTTCAAACCCCATTAGTCAGGATATTGTTTTCAAAAATGTCTAAAGTTTCTGATAAATTTCCTTTGCTTTTTCCAGTTTCATTACACTGGTGACAGTGCTTGCTTTTTTGTGGAAGATAAAGAAGTTGCTGATGCATTAAAAAGCAAAAGTCATAGAATCACTGTCCGTGATGGCTCAAAGGTTATATTTAGCCTCATTTTCATTTTCTGATGTTTTGTCTAATGATTTAAAGCTTTTCCTGAATTTGTGAATGTTTGTTACAAATATTTTCCGGTGACAGAAGCAGCATGCCGAGTTTCATCAGATTATATTGTTTACTTTTCAGATAGTAATTCATGTTCGTCCAAGTGATCCACCAAGGTTCTCCAGGGGTGCAGATAGAGAAGGAGCACAGAATGCACCTCCAGCTAGACCTGTTGACCCTGAAACAGAGCAGGTTCTTATGGTATGTCTCAGACAATGTTTCTAATTGAAATATTTTGTATTTATCAATGGATTAGACTTGAGGTAATTTAAAGAAACGAAAGAAACTTTTCCATGTGGATTATAATTTTTTTTAGATTTTTCTGTTTTCTAATACCGTAAAAGCTCTCTTAAGCCCCCCTCTATTTTTAGCCCCTCTCTCTTTTAAGCGCCTCTCCCTTTTAAGCCCCTCTCTATAAATCCACTCTTTATCCCCCTGATGTCAAACAAAGAAAACATGCACATTTAGTGGGTCTCTTGACGGTTGTGATGACAATAAGATTGTGTTCATTAAATATGGCCAATATAAAGGTATACTTGTGCGCCTTAGAAGTCAGTCATAATTTGTTTAGAAGAAGATGTAATAGGGGTTATCAATTGATCCTGATGACTCTAATGAAGATGAGGACATTATAATTGATTAATTCAAAGAAACATTCCATACTGCTAGCAAAGTTCTTTGAGAACATTTGTGTGACATTTTAATAAAAAAAATGCATAGGGGATTTTTATAACATATTTTATAAACTTTATAACATACTGTTTATATGAAACAAGTACTGATGATATCCTGATAAAATAACATCATTACATTGTCTTGAATGCAGTTATTCAATAAACAACTACAATTGCATTGCATGTAATATAATGATCACATTTTTTCTAGAATTGCCTAGCACAGAGGTTTTTGCCTGATACCAATTCTATAAACCTAAGCAAACTTGCAGATGATGCTAGTAAGTTCCCTGTTTTTTCTTTTACTTTTTTCCACAATTTCTACTATATTGTGACTTACAAATAAAGTTAAGTTGTATGTTTTACTTATGGAATGGAACATTTTGGCAAAAGAATAAACTTTTTGTTCCAGTTAACTAAGATTCATCACAAAGGTTTCAATTTGTTTAGATTAACCATAAGGTTGATCTTACTATGAAGAAATATAGTTGCTGAATATGTCATTTCATCTCCAAGATTGAAGGATTTCTGAATTTTTGTTCATATTTATTAACAATTCTTCAAATGTTTAAATGCTATTAATAACTGTCATTGTTCACAGCCCTCTCATCAAGTAATGTTCAAGGCAACTTGAGCAAGCCATGGTTGATGTCAGCTTTTATTGATATCATTCACAAGATCCAACCAGCGGTGTGTAAAATTTAAATAATTATAGTTAGTAAATACATTTTGTTGTAAATTTGTTATAGATCTGTTTTTGAATTTTTATTAAAAAATTGCATGATTTTTTATGAACTTCCATTTCCAAAAGCATGCTGTGAAAAATCTTGTTTAAAATTCTTTCTTTTTATAGCTTGATGGGCTTGATCTTTCAAGCAATCAAATACGCAACTTAGACATTTTACGACGCATCCATGAAAAGCTGCCAAGCTTGAAAATAATTTCTCTCAAAGACAATGAGGTATCAATTTGCTTGTTCAAAGTTGCACTTAATATCCTATTGTAATATCATGATCCTATTACATACTTTTCACTATACATCGTCAAACATATTATTATAAATAAAAAGACTAAATATATGACCTGTTTAGTGTAGAAAGGTAATAATGTGATCTGTCAATCTTTACTTGAAAAGTGTCTCTGAACTAATACCACACTACTGCTTGACACTAATCAGTTATGCTAGACAACTATGCTCCTGCTAAATAAATGGAAGTCTTCTTAAGACACCTTGTATTTAACATGAAAAATTAGATATTCCTTAATTTCACAATATTGACTTAAAGTTTACATCATAGTTTGTTTTACAATGCTGTCTAATTGTATAGCAATGATATAATATCAATTTTCCTTCCAGATCCAGAGTGTAGAAGATTTGGAAAGGCTGAAGCCAATAGAATCATTGAAGCATCTCCTGGTAGAAGGAAATCCATTTTGCGCAAAGTATCAAAACAATTTAGAGAGCTTACTACGGTATGTCTTCTAATGCAATGTCATGGCTTAGTATTGACCTTAAGTGTTGATGGAAATGTAGCTTTCTGTTACGAAAATGCAAAGATTTTATTACATTTGAAGTTACTTAAAGCTTTTGGCTTACTGAAGAGCATTTAGTAGCATGAAAAAATATGTATTTTTGCTAATTTTTGTTCTTCTTTTTTTACTTTAGAGATGTTCAAAGCAAGTTGCCTAATCTGGAAATACTGGTTAGTTTTTGATAATTTTTTAAAATATCATGATATAATACTGCAATTTCTTTCTTTCTATAACCAATTTAAATTATTCATCATTGCTATAAATTGTTCGTTAGTTTTTGGGTTTCGTAAAGATTCTTACCTTTTAAAAGCTGCTTAAGCTTCTTTCAAACTGCCACTGCACATTCAAAGCGTCATATGTCCAATAACTGAAAGTCATCCTTTATTTTTCTTCCGTTTAGCATAGCATAGTATCCGCAGAGTGTTTCAAAGACTTTTTGAAATATTTTAGAATATATTAGCGTTTGCTCATTGTGTCATATCATGTATCATATGAGCTATACTATGTTTTAATGAATAAACGTACTTATTTCGTGACTAAGTATCCTTTTGTACCTCAATTGCCAAATGGACTTGGGAGATAAGGTACCCATCTCTTGCAGGATGGCGTGAAGTTGCCTCCACCGATTTCTTTTGATGTCCCAACAAAAGTCTCTTTGCCACCATCAAAGGTATTGCTTTATTTACAGTTTCTTGCACGTTTTCGACTTTTTACTGTTCTCTTGTTCCAATTTGACTGCTTCAGTAGTATAGCTATTTAACACTGCAAACCATTATCAGTTTATTTAATTGTAATGGAGCTGTTACCTTCGAATTTAGACTCTAAATTGCAATCCATATCCTTTCCTTAGCAAGAAATCATATTCACATACAATATGTTTGACAATAATGTCTTAATATAATTTATCAATCGTTTATCAAAGACCAGTTGCTCACCCTACTTAAATAAAAAACACGTTATATATTTGTAGCGTTTATCAAAACCTATGAAGAAATTCACTACATCCATTTCTGCTTCTTCCCTCCCCCTAATATGGTTTCTTTACACTTTATTCATTGATATGACGGCTCGCGACTAGGTTGATGCTAGACATGAATCCTTTTTAGTCCGAATTTGCAATGAAACAATCAATGTCATCGATTTACTTAAACATGTCCTTTCTCTTATTTCAAGATGCTTCTTTTTTGTCATTGTTCATTCCCCTTTTAGTACTCTTCTTGTTCATTCACCTCTTACTTCTCCACGTCATGGTCCTTCCTCAAAGTTTACCGTACATTTTCCATTCGAAGCCGTTTTGGCTGCAGTTTTATGGTAGGATCTAGGGCGTAAAAAATCTTGAAAATACCTTTCTTCTTTTTCAGACAAACTTTTTGCAAAATTCGGCCATGCAGTCAAAGATAACACAGTTTATCCAAGAGTATGACCAATGCCTCATTCGTGCTAATTTTTCTTTTTCGGATCATTATTTTTGCTCGAATAAGCATCTAGATTTGTTCGAGGAATATTTACTCTTATTCTTACATTCGTTTTTGCCTCGTAGCTTGATCGCAATGTCAAGTCTTGGTTAACTATAAACCGATTTAATGGCTACTTGCTCGTTTAGTGTATTTCAATTAGATATTTCGTTTTGCTTAAGCAATTGTACACGAAGTGCTGTTAGTAGAGGGAAGGGCCCGATCCGTGACAAACGGTTGTAACGCTGAAACACTAAATTGAGAATATGATATCAGCAGTCAAGATAAATCTGCCTGTTGAACCCATTTACAGACAAATTTACTGTATTTGTGATTGGATTGTCAACTCCCGAAAATTTTAAAATTCATGAATTACGTTTTGAATTGTTATTTGGAAGTCAGTAAGACAGATAATTTTTATGCCATGTTTAAGATTCGAACTCTAAAGGCATCAATGTGATTCACTACGTGCGCTGGAAATCGGCATTCCTCTATATATCACATTTGTCCATTCGCTTCTTTTAGACTTAATTTGGGACGTGATTTCATGTCGGCGGCTTGATTGATTCAAAACAAACATTGTGGAATTGGTTTCGGCTTAGGCCAAGTACGGCAATGAAGGGTTAATCATAAAACCCAGCTTACTTGTTGTCTAATGGCAGAGGAAAGTCGCGAGCCGCATATTTGCTCTGATGACACCCTGCTATCAAAATTTTGTGCAACGATACCTCCACTATAACAATCGTTCATTTACGGCCGCACAGTGACAGAGTCGCGTACCTTTCTTTGTTCTGCAGTTCATTTTGCTCCATTTTTTTTCTACTTCGTTCAATCTCCTTCTTATCTTACGTATTTTGAGAAATATTCATTATTTTGCCTTTCAATCATGTTTGTTTCGTTCGTTCAAACTACACTCTTAACGAAACTGTAGATCGAAACGATAAGTTAATAGCTTCGAATCGATCAGTATCACTGTTGTTTATTTAGGGAAAGGATTTACAGAGCACGATATTTTTCGAATCGACATTTCCTTTTTTACGAATCTTACTCGTGGCATAGATATTCCATGGATTCAGAAAGCCATAAAAAAGCTACCCACACAACAAGCCCTTTTAGTCAATAATAGTTGATTTTACCCAAAAATTGCCCAAAAATTGTTGCCAAAACTTTTCTGGTGAGCGATTTTCTCAGCAGTGTGAATTAAGTGAATTTCGCGGCCTTTTTGACCCGATTCTCCCGAAGTTGTAGGAACATGAAGTAGAAACAAGCCTTAAATCAGCACTCTGTATTACTTGTGGCAGTGAAGCGACATATCCTTGGTTCTGGTTTCATATTTTCCGTCCTGTGTGACCGTGCTATCCAGAGACCACCGCTCGATTTATTTTATCGTTGGCAGGTATTTTCAAGTGTATGACCGGGATGATCGCCAAGGCTTATTAGATTTTTACCATGATCAGGTGAGCGTCTATTATAATTTCGTCAGTAATGGATCGTAAAAATCACTTGTAGCGTGCAATCAACCAACCAAGACATTTTGACGAAGTCTTGTGTGTTAGGTATGGTAAATTCCCTAAATACTGTAGCAACATGCAGTCTACTTTATGTGCAAATTTGAACGAAATCAAAATATTTCTTTTTAGGCCAATTTCTCTCTGTGCGTTAACACCAACGTTTATTCCAAGGATTACGGTCGGGAGCGGTGAGTGACGACTTCTGATTCATTATCCCTGTCTAGCCTTCTCCTATCCATCATGAAGCTTCCGTTTTTTCAATTATTCATTTTGATAGTGCATTTTCTTTCTTTTTTCAGCCAGCAACCACTAAATGAATATTTTCAGTTCAGCAGAAACCTGAAGCGTTTGCGAGATAAAGGTCAGTGTATAGTATAGTCTTAAGATACGACCCATATGTGGGCACAACTTGCTAGTGTAGTGCCTTTTATTCAAGATAATTAACTGCAAGACTTTACCCATACACCCCCTGTGAAGCGTAACTTAAGATATCTTAGAAGTATTACCTGACCAGGTATCGTTAAGCAGAGCTGCAAAAAATATTTTCCTTTTTGGGAACTTGGAAAACAGGAGAAATATTTTTCTGCGATATGAAAGTATTTTATACAATAGCTCTACTAAAAGAACGCACAAATTTCCTACAAGGTCCTCTAATTCATTGGTTGTATATCACAACCAAATATCACAATTTGCCTGATTGATTGGTGGCTAGTAAATATCGCAATTAATTGGTGGCTAGGGAAGGTAATAGATGCCAACTTTAGGAAAGATGAATCTGGTTAAAGTTGACTTTGCCCATAGTCACTCCGCTTAAAGTCACACTACCTGTTACCAGTCAAAAACTTTGCCAAGTCTCCCAAGAAATCAATCAAGACTCGAGACTTTGCCAAGTCTGCCAAGACCTCAATCAAGACTTAACAATCAAGTATTGTATTGCTAGCAGGAGAAAAGCTCAGGGTGCAAGTGATTTTCGTATCTTTTGACCTTTAAAGATCCAGCTGCATAGCCTGGTATCAGGCAACTAAAACAGCACTTTTTAAAGCACCATAAATTGCCTGCTTCAAGTCTGCAGCTTTATCTGTTAGTAGGCTCCTGGAGAAGGTAACTGAATATTGCTTCCAAGCTCTATAATTTTTTGTGATATTTGACAAACGTGTAAAAGGTTTCTAAAATGTGAAGCTTATATTTGTATTAACTTTAGTTGCAGCTGTTTTTTATCAAGTTTTGCTGAAAATTGGGTGCAAAACACACATGCTTAACTCTGGTTAATGTTTTCATGGAATACATTGAAATTTTTAACTAAGCTTTTAAAGCGTTTTTTGTCAACACTAAACTGGAGCTGAAGATATTTGTGACAAGTTGTAAACTCAAACTTACTGTATTTTCGATCACACTTCGGTCCTCACTTCAACGTGATATTTAACCGATGCTCGTTTCCTAGCATTTCTGCCATAGTGTTGACACAGCTTGCTGAGAATCGTTTTGATAATATTATCTGTATTTTTCCTCAGCAAAGAGATCAAGTCTTATTAAGCACACCAAACTGGCAACTGTTGCCTTTCTTACCGAACTTCCAAAATCAAAACATGACTTGTCATCATTTGCTCTGGATGTCAGCATGGAAACAGTAAGTTATTATGTTTGCATTTTTAGCTTTTCTACCTGCATCGATAATCGATAGAATTTTGGCATCAACAGCCACTGAGATCAGGGACGGGTACTTTGTCAAATATTGGGGGGCAAGCCTATTGTTTTTATAAGATGACGTCACATTTTCCATTGTTTAAGAGCAAAAGTCCATTGTCCTCCAAAGCATTGGAGGACAACCGCCCCCAATCGCCCCCTAGGTGTCCACCACTGACTGAGATGTAAAGGGGAAAACTGGCACTGATACTGTGATCAGATATAATAATTACTCTTAGTTCAACAAACTAATGTCCTCGCATACACATCTCGCACAAGTTCAATATATCTATCTACCTGCTATATGTGTATCTTTAATCGTTTTCAATAATGAAGATCACTTCAAGTTTTACGACATATCAGACTACACATATATCAGTTTTGCCAACTATTTTCTAGCCCAAATTTTCGTTCTGTACCATTCGAGGTCATTTCTCTGAAGGTAGGCAACTCCTTTTATTCTTCCTTGTAGTTTTTGTGAGTCTATTTTCGAAAGCTTATCACTATATCACATAAAACCTACTATGGAAAATCTGCAGAAACATTATTACGAGAAAATGTCTAGTTCGTGATCTTTACGTAAGGTAAAAGAGATACACGATGGCTATCTGCGAGTTTATTTTCCAGTCCTAATTATGCCATGTTAAGTTTAATGTGACCTGAAGATATTTAATGTAGGCCAACCATGTTGTCATTTTTACTACTATATTTTGATGGTAGGAGTCATTAGATTTTTTAATGAGTGAATTGACTGTTGGCTACTTATAAAGCAAGATGAATTTTGTCTGTAGGTGAAACACGAGACATCCCGCGGGCTTTCTCGAGGACGTTTGTCTTCTTGTTTACACCTGATAAAAGGTAGTTAAGCCACATTATTCCACACACTTTAATTTGTATTTGTTAAATGTAGATAAGACAAGCGAAAAGCTTTTTAGATCTTTTAAATATTTTTTGATAAATAGAATTTTGTGAAAACTGATCATTGTTCAAGTTTAGGATTTGATTTTTTTATTATGAGCTGTGTTTTTATTATATGTTGACCTCATATATAAAACTTTGCCAAAACTATTGCTAAAATTCATTCATTTTATCAATTGCTTAAAGAACGGTGTTTTGAAATATAGTCAGTTTGGTTGTGAGTAGCTAAACTATGTAAAAAAGGGGATTCAAAAATTTTTGATTTTTTTGTTATGTTTATACATACTAACTATGATATTGGTGTATATAAGGGAACAGTTCAAAGTTGCTACTCCGAGTTTCACGCTTAATACGATCATCAGGCAGCTGAATAGACTAATTTTTAATATATAAAAGTAAATTGGACTGCCTTTGAAGTTTTGATAAAAATTTTGAAAAGCAGTTTTAAAGTATCATCAAAATTGAAACACCGGAATAAGTTTTTTCTACATTTTTTATGTGTTGAAAATTTAAGTCAAGTGAAAGATTCGGTAAGTTTTTTTGTTAAAAATTGAGTTTTCTTCTAGTTTAAAAATAGTGAACGATCAGCTGCACATCAGAAATCAAACCAAAGATCTTTCTCAGGTAATCAGTTTATCGTTCTTAGACTTGAAGTGAGCCTCTTTTTCGTTCGTTTTTGTTCATTTTTGCTTTTGTTCTGTAGAAGATGGTTTATGTTGCTCTATGTTGCTTCTTTGTTAAATTATTCAACTGGCAACCAAAAGATTGGTGACATGGCTTTTTAGATGTTATCATTTCTAAGCCGGCTTAAAAATTGATCTGAATGTACTGTAAGATATGAATATTTCCTTTACAAATTCTAGGGTGTAGCCACCGAGACAGCACCAGTTGAGCAACCAAAAGGTGTAACCCCATTGACCAGCCAGGTATATTTATTTTCACCTCATACATTCCTTACCTGTTCCGAAAATCGAAAAAGATTTGCCTTGCAGTAACAAAATATTTGAGAGGATCGTTTTTTTCAAAATGTATTTTAAAGCAGATTTGTCAAGTCGAATTACTTAGTACCGTTGTTAAACTATATACATTAACACAAATAAATGGCTAATTCTCTGTTTTAATTCATTAAAACTCAATAATTGTTTAGCATTTATAATAAAAGGTTCCATTGATCCATGTCAAGAAATTGTTTACTCAAGAATGGGCCTGTAATTTGAGTCTTAATAGAAAAATATTTTAATCATTGTATGCTTTTTGCTGGTAGACGAAATTATTGTTATATGTTCTCAATTCCTTTGTTTCTGGTAGATGACATTGATATCCATTGATCGGTTCGTTCTTTCTCAACCGTTGTCTTTACAGCATCTTGTCAAAAGCAGCTCGCATATTCTAAGATATTTTCTCTCTGCAGCAAGAAGAGCTTGTTAAAAAGTTTTCCGAAGCAAGCAAAATGAATTTGGATTTCAGCCTCAAGTAAGAACCTTTTGGCAGCATTTTCATTCAACAAACAACTACCAACAATCTTTTTTGATAAACAATCAATGTAGTGAATACCTTCCACGAATAAGAACTAAACACGAGGAAAGGCTTTTTCTAATAAGCAACTACTCAATGCAAAGAGGTCTGGCAATTTATCTGATTTTAGGTAGGTTATAAAAAATATCAATTTTTAACATTTAACACGTAAATGTAACTGGTTTTGAGGCCTGCCATTGTGATATATTTATATTATCTTTTAAAGCACTTCTCTTTTTACAACTTTCATTTTCGTATTCCACAAAGGTGCTTGCAGCAGAATAACTGGGACTTTCAGAAATCAGGCGAGGTTTTTACGAAGCTCCAGGTATGACTTTGCTCTATTTAAAAAATTTTCTGCAAAAATTGTTTACGATGAACGTGGTTTTGTTACAGAGAATAAATTCAAGCTCCTTAGAAATATGTATAGCAATACGCATTCAACTTGGAGTGTCTAGTAACATATATTTGGCCATTGATGAAACGATTTTTGAAAATCCCTTTAAAAGAAGCGAACATTTCTCAGCCTAATTGTAAATCACCGCAACACGACGAGAATGAACAACAACAAACACACATAAATCAGTTATGGCTAATATTTCGCCCCGGCATACGGGGCTTCATCAGAGCAGAAGTAAACGAACTAAAAGTTTACAAATCTAAAAGAGATTTCTCAGCATACTGAAAGAAATTTTGAACTTGCTATTGGCCATTTTCAAATTTTGTACCGCCAAAAAAATAGTTAAAACAATATTGTTTGTCGGGTCATCTCGTGATAGCCAATTTAAAAAACAATCCATTTTACTGATGAATACATCAAGTTGATTTTTATTTATTTTGAAACCATGAATTCTGTATTAAGTTTACACGTGAATTCTAATTTTTCTAGCAACAAGGACAAATTCCACCTGAAGCTTTCAAGCACTGAATTTGCTGAACTGTAAATAAGACAACGCAAAATGTTTTGCCTTTTTTTAGTTATGTCTTAATTGTTTTAGCATAATTACTTTAAATATTGATTATAATTGTGGTTTAATTTGACTCAACAAATGTATTCTTCATGTATCTACCTCTGATACCCATACACCAATTCGACGTACGACCTCGTTTTAGAAATTTCTCCAAGCTTAATTATACGCCTTTTTTAAGCTCAGATGTGGTTTTATCGCCATAATTTTAGGCCGGATACAATTTTTCATATTGTTTGTGCTTGTATTTTAGATTTTACGGAGAAATGAAGTTTAAAAACTTGTAAGGGATTTGACCGCAAAAATCGTTTCGGGGGGAAACTTTACCCCCCTAGTTGCCAATCACGGTCAAATCCCTTATAAAATTTTCATCTTTATGTCGTCATAAAATCAATATCGTGAGCAATACCAGAATGAAAATTTCCAAGTATTGCTCTCAATCTGAATCTGCGGTCAAAATTTTCTACAAAAGAATTTGAAGAATTTTTCAAAATGAGGCCGTAAGTCGAATTGGTGTATTCTTTTTTGTTAAGAGCATACTTATTTCCCATATTTGTAAGGTAACTTATTAAGCTACAGTCTGAAGAATAAGTTATTTATTAGTCGGTTAAAAACAGGCAGCTATCGACATTGGCATATGATTACAAACAGCAGCACTTGATAAAATATTTTCAACCCTTGCAGAATACCATATTGATTTCATAAAAACAAACACGAGAGCAAGGATTTGGCAATTATTGTGATCAATATTATTATTGCTATAAAAGACTGGATATTGAAGATGTTCTTCTGGAGAATGGTCCCCATGCGTTCCCTTTTTTTGCTTTCTCGATAGCATCGTCATTGCATTTATAGTTGACAGCGTGAGCAACTATTGTTTCATTGTACTTTTTCACAATTTCAAACAACTCTGCAACAATCTCTGGCCGCTCCGCACTCAGATCGTGCTGCTCACTTATATCACGTGATATATCAAATAGGCCATTCTGAATGCGTGGGAGCCTGGCATCTAATAAATGACCAGTAAATTCTTTAGGATCCAGAGGTCTGTCAGTCATATTGTGAGCTGTCCCATTTGCAATTTCGGGTGGCTGCAACCAACCCATGTCAAGTTCTGAGATCAATTTCCAATTCCCTTTTCGTACCGCATAACTCTTGCTGTTTATATTATGGACAATATGCTTTCTTTTGGATTTAGAACCAAATTCAGAAACAGCCTTCCATATATCAATTCCATCGAGGTCGGAACCCTCCCTTCTTTTTACAGTTTTATTATTTTTTGAGACTTTTCCTGGTTTGTTAGACCTAAGAACTCTTGAACTGTGCTTTCTAGCTAAATTTAAAAGGGTTGGAAACCAATCTGAAACATGGACCAGCGAATCCGACTTAAATCCTGTTCTTTTCAGAAAACCGCCACTAAGAAATGACACAGATTTAATTCCCCCTTCCCACAATGTACCTTTAGCCCCTCTCAGTGGCCAATTGTATCCGGCAGAGGTAGGGTTCCCTCCATTGTCTGACAGAAAAAGTAAAAGGGTGTTATTCCAAAAGCCGTTATTTACGAGTGCATCTGTCAACAAACGCATCGAATTATCTAAGTAAGATGCCATTCCTGCATATATCCTCCTATCCTTGTCTCCAATATGCCTATACATGGACGAGTACTGCTCAGGGACTTGCAATGGATCGTGAACGTTCTGATAAGACATAACCAAAAATAACGGTTGGCTGTTGTTGTGACCCTTTATAAATTTGACGGCTTCTTCATCAAAAACTTTTGCACTATACTCCCCTTGCCTGTCTCTAACAACCTTCTCTTGGTCCCTGAAATCTAAGAAGCTTGCTTCTTTTTTAAGCTTTAAGCATCGATGGGCAGTTTGGTTATGGAGATAATAATCGATCGCTCCCGAGTAGAATCCGTAAAACCGATCAAACCCCCGCCTTGTTGGTACATAGCCCAACTTAGAGGAACCTAAATGCCATTTTCCGAACAGAGCCGTTTTGTATCTAAGTTCTTTCAACTTCTCAGGTAGCAGAGTTTCTGTCAAAGGCAGGCCTTTATCTCCATCGGGCGAAAATACGTTTTCATTCAAACCAGCACCTAAATGTATCGGATATTTCCCAGTAAGCAGGCTTGCTCTAGATGGCGAGCAAAGTGGCTGAACATAATGATTCGTCAATATTATCCCTCTATTTGCTAGTTGATCAATATGAGGTGTGTTTATTGCCGATACATTCTGAAAACTAACATCTGACCAGCCAAGATCATCTGCGATAGCTACAACGATATGAAGTGGAGAGTCGTTTGCCTTGACACAGTTGAGAAGTAGTAAAAGCAACAGCCGATAACACATAAGCATGACAAGGCAATTAATTCTGACCAACGTGGTAACTCTGTTCTGATTTTACAGAAAACGTGATCAAGCTTTGGCTTTTTACGTAACCTGGTCTGGCTATAAGCTTTTTTAGCGGACAGAAATCATGCTGACTACATACTCAAATAAGACTTTCTTTCACTTACAGATACAGCTCGATTGAAAGCCAAATAAAATCTCTTTCTTCGTTTACCATACACATTTCAAGCTTAAAAGATGAAAATCAGATCTTAGGCCAGAATTCTGTGTACTGCAAAAAGTGTTGTGATTGTGTGTTCCGCGAAGCGTGTAAAACGAAGCTGAAATATTTTCCACCTGCAAGCAGGTAGGAGTGGCACTGCTGCATCTCCATAAAAACCTTATACACGAGGACTGAAAATTTATTTTGCTAAGAAACCCATTCTTTTTAAATCCCGTTAATGTGTTATTCGCAGTACTAGTTATGTGATATACTGCGGTTGATAACGTGAATCTAAAAAATAATACAGTACATATCCCGAAATTTAATGAAAGACTAAGAAATGAACCTTTTTTACGAAAATTTCTTAAAACTAGGTATCTTTTACAAAAAAGATTAACGATGTTAAGAAACTCTCTTAAGACTTTCAGAACCAATTGATTAATTATTGCTTTAAGCATTAGGCCAGGTTAGGAGTTGTTTCTTGTTTTAGAAAATCTTAGAAGCTTTGGTGAAGCCTAATCAATTCCTGTCAGATAGTTATAATATTAAATTATTTCATGGAGGGGGAGGGTTGGGGGTGTTGACATTAGACTAATTAGACTAATTGTGATTATGCCGCTGTGTTCAAGATCTATTTCGTGAATCTTCCCGACAACAAGTTGAAATTCAGACTCTTGAACCCTATTTGTGTTTAAAAGCAAAACAAGATGTACAAACACGTGATTTCATTATCAATGTTTTCAAATTTGCAGTGCCATTAACTTCAAAATAAAAATGCCCAGTTACTTCACAATCTTCAACAAATAAAGATAGTTAACTGAGTCTACATATTATGTACCAGAATAACAATTCATGTACTGGATCTTTATCACAAATTGCCTATAAGTAGAGCCTCAACAATGAATCCTTGCTCCATGGACGTCAAATGGTCTGATCTTGCCGGAAGAACAAGCAACGCATTCGCTGATCGCATGCTTAGCAGCCGGCTGCTGCACTGACTACCTGTAGAATGAGCCACTGGCAGATTCTCGTTTCCATGCCACTGTAACATGGCTCGGTGATATTCCGGTCTCGGATCGAGGTTTACACTGAAACCCAACTAGAAATAGGGAGATGCATAGAAAATTGTTAATCCTAAGACTTAGTGGCTTTATATGCGGAACTTCAATTCCCATAGCATTATTTGACAAAAGATGATGAAAACAAGGAGTTTAAGTATAATACGTATATGACTATGTGATGGAAGAGTAAACCATTGGCATTTTCTAGAGAGAAACTGCATGATTTGCAAAAAGGATGTTAGGACTACAGTATGAGATTAATAACGACATCTCAAAAAGCAAAATTGAAAGGATGCATATTGTCTCGTGTACTTACTGAATCATTTCTGTCTTTCAACAATTGCCAAGAAACAAACGAGTAACAATTTGGATCAAAATAAAATACACTACCAATTTCCGGTACACATAAACATAAATGTGTACTAAAAAACAGAAGCTGTTATATCAAGTGTACAAAATGATTTGAGACGTAATTCAGAGATAAGTCTAGCAAACAAACCTTGGCCTTGATTTTCCGCAAATTCGGATCCGGAAATCCGGACATTTTCTTCAAGGCCGGTAGAACAAATAAGTAAAAAGTGACCAACGCAGAAACAGGATTCCCTTGAAAGTAACAAAATGCTCAAAAATTTACATCAAGTATCCACATGAAAGCAGTAGCAGCGCCACGGGGGCACTGGGGAGGACACGCCCCGCCCCAGTTCTCGGCAGAATCAGTTTTGTATTTCAGCTATATTTGATGAGAAAATGTTGGGGAGGGGTAATATTTTGGCAATGTACTTTTTCTGATGCATTTCTTGGACTTGTAAACTGCCTTACGTAACCTAAAGTTAGTCATAGGCGTTTACTTTAGGTAAAATTGGCGTTCCATGTTGGTAAAAGGATGTTTTCTGGTTGTAAAGGGCATGCCCCCCCCCCTCCAGAGCCTAGTGACTGGCGCCGCTATTGTATTAGAGAATCATTAAACGAAAAGCAATAAGCTTCCAAATTAACACGGTGCAACGAAACATTTCACAACTCTTAACCTTTTTCAGAACCAAATAAAGATTTAACTGGAAGACCTTTAGCGTCATTGATCAAATTGTCTTATTCAAATGCAAGATAAATGACTTTTAAAGTTGAAGTTATGGCAATGTCAGTTTATACCTGGAAGTGCGAAAAATAGCTTGTGAACACCTCCAATTTTTCCACTTGCGAATGTTGTTGGCTTGCTAGTGACGGATAAAAAATTACCTTTCAATTAGCATAAAGTTAAAATGTGCAATTTAATCATGACCGTAACTGAGATGCATTGCTTATTATAAACAAATATAAACAAATGTTCTGTATCAACCATTCCAAACGAAAACAATTGCATAGAAAAGCTTAAGTAGGAATATTTTGCATGACAGATATGTATTTCATTCTGAAACAAAAAGATTTTCGTTTGGTCAACTATCAATTTGACACTAACGTACATTGAGAAAATCATGAAATGAGGCTTTCAATTAATAAATGGGTCATCATCCTACGTCACAAATGATGGTACATTATAGATGGGTAGTTATAAATGGAATATCACCCTACGGTAACCACGATTCTGCTCCATCTCGCAATCATATCAAAAATGTCAATTTGCTCAAAATCTGTTGAGGGTGACAAAGCCGAAACGGCACAAAATATTTTCGCCAAGCGAATAAGAAAAGTTAAGCCCATTTATCTAAGCAAGGCTTAGTGTACCTTATAGAGATCGAATAAACTATATGGGGTTAGTTGGCAGGCATCTGATTCTATAACCCTTTGATGTGATTTATTTTATTGCTTACCCTGGTTTCATATTCACTCTCCCAAAATGAATTGTCGCTCCGAGGCTTTCTTCTAAAACTGGCTTCAGAATATCCTACAAGAACACAAAAAAACTCGAAAATGTATTTTTCAGCCAGATGGCGGTGAGAGTTATAAAACCACGTATTAAAAATTCTCGTAAGTCCTTTTGATGGTGGCTTAAATACAACAGCGTGTCTAGGATATGGGCAAAAAAACAATATTTGTAAGACGAGTTTGCTACATCATTAAAATCTATTAGAATTTGCTGTACATTTTTTCATTTTATTTCAATTCATCCTTTGCTTTTATGATAAAATTTGTGAATAGTTCGTGCATATTTCAATTATTTGGTTGACTTATAGTTATTTGATAATAAAAAAGGACCCAACAACGAGAAATCATGTTATTTACCAGCTCTCCCATTGATACTCCTCCAGTTGTGATTACGATGTCAGACGATTTTGCCGCTTCACGCAATTTTGTGTACAAATCATTTGGTCTATGTAAAAGACAGACAACAGTTGTCGTTAACAATCAAAAAAGAAATTAGGGAATAGAAATTTTTTTAGAAAAACCTGTGTTTTTTGATTGAACAAAAAACTTAACTAGGCTAAGGAGCTAGCCTCTTTTGAGAAAACGATCGCCCTCTATCAAAATAAGGTCAGGATTCCGCCCCTTCCATGCGTAAATTCCCCTACGAAGATTCAAAACTTTCACATGAAACAACCAATAAACTGGCCTATTACATAAATTAACCAAATTTGCCAGATTACTTCTGAACGGCAGGGAGAAGAATTTGGGTTAATTGTTTTACAAATTCTCAGAGAAATCCTCTGAGAAATTCAAGAATAGATGAGGTTTAATTGTTCTAGAAATTATCGGTTTAATTGTTCTACAAATTTGACTGACCTGTCTGTAGCTATACCAGCATCCTTTCCAACAAATCCCTCCGACTTGATGGCAGCCAAAAGAGTTGTTTTGTTTGTATCATAGATTTGACCAGGTTTCCTTGCCTGACCTGGATTTACGATCTAGTTCAGAAAAAAGAAGGAGATTTCTTCTGATTTGCTCTTGAAATTCGAGAATAAAATATTCCGATTTGAAATAAAATATTTCATATGAAATAAACGGTTAATTTTCAACGAGAAAATAATTATTTAATTTCAAGTTAAGAGTATAGTGTAAGTACTATTCAAAAACAAGTTACTTTTGTTGGCGTCTCATAAACAAATGAATCGAAATAGTGAAAGGCAAAATGGCAGATCGTCTAATCATATATTAAACTTTTTGGCTGCAATTAGTTAACTGAAGCCATATAAAAACTGCTCGATCTTTTGATAAAACCACAAATGCGCCTATCAACAAAATTGCTGAATACGATAATATGCATAATAACAGGAGCTAATTTGCAAAAATTTTCAAATAGGATATTTACCACATACATATTGACAAAAAAATTAACTAAATGTTTTGCTATTTCTATCACATTGATTAGAGAAAGATACCAAACGCCCCATACCCGGCCTTGATGTTCAATGAAGCAATGCCAAAAACAAAAATACCCAACCAGTAAGAATAGATGATCAGTAAGAATTTAATAGACATAAATGAAAGCAAAGTTAATACCTCATTTCCAGTTGACAGAACTGAAACAACAGGTTTTCTATACACGTTCACCTGAATTGGCGAAAAAGGTATTTAAATTAATATTCTATAGGCATTGATCAATCTGAACAACGTGTATGGCGAATTCATCTGTACCGGTGTACTGCTGTGCCTCAATGAGTTCAAATAGGTCGAGCTAGCAAGGGGAGCATAAAATTGTTCGACTTGCGGAGGAATTTGATTTATCAACGTTTACACCTCAAAAATTGTTATCCATTTAAAAAGAACAGCAGTAGATGATTGGCAAGAACCCCTAAAAAAAGTAAATGTTTGGTAAAAGCGAAAAGGTGAATGAAGGAGTTACATGTTAGTTGGAGTCCAACAGTGATATAGCTTTTGTAACCGTTGTTGACTTGGTCAATATATTTCGATTTAAGTGGACATTTTTGCTGGGGGATGTTGAAAATTTGATATCACTCAACGAATCACGTAATATGAAAATAATTTATCAAAATAACTTAAAAAATAAATAAATTAAATAAATTCGATTTATCCTCAAATTCTTTTTCACTACATTGGATTCTCGTCGTCGTGTTGCTTTGCTCTTGATTATTCTTCGCATCATTACCCATTGCAAGAATCACAGAATCCGGCGAACAGCATATCCAGCGTATCTTCCTTCTTACTTCGATGAAAACAAAGCCTTAATCTTTGCATGGAACGTTTAAGGCCACATACCTTGGTAACACCTGCAGTAGACAGCAACCCAAGCTCTGCTGGACCCAAAACATCCCCTTGCGAAAGAATTCTCCCTCCACGTGGAATATCGAAACCCACTGACCTTTCATAAAATCGTAAATCATCAGCAAAAAATCCTTCGGACAGGAAATTAATATTTTTAGCGATGACAGTATATTTCCTATGACATATTGTTACTTATTTTTAAATACAATAAATGGAATTGTTTTTCTGAATACAAAAGTATTTTTTCCTGAATACAAATTTTTCGGAATTGTTATAACATTTAGATTTTGTCCGATTGTACTCTACAGAGAGGCAATTAGAATCGAATTTTTAGTTAAATCTAACCTGATATCCTGACCAACTTTCACTGACTGCAGAACACGAATCTTAACTTCTTTCCGGCCCTACAAAGGAAATAAATTCTTTATTGTCATCATTTTTGATACTGATAAAGTTGGAGCATCATCTGACGGAAAAAATGCTTGCAAATCAATAAATTCTTGCTAGCAGACGGATAAATAAACCGCAAGATTCAGCATCAAATTTCCATCTTCGAAAACGAAATACCTCCTGATTACGTGTCCAGAAATACTCTGATCAGGTTTCAACAAGCCTGTATCACTTTCAACCGATTCACTAGCGTTATCAACGTCAATTATAGTCAATCTTTAGTTTGTTTTTCGCGTAAAAGCAACAGACGTAACCCGATATACATTTTTGAGCATTATCGGCCAATAACTCAAATATAATTTAACAGTAGTTTACGTATTTATTACCGAAAATCGTAGCAATTGATGAATAACTTCAGACCTTATCGCTGCCTTTGGGTTTAGCATGGTAACATTATATATAATACCTGATAATAGATAATAATGGAAACATTTCATTTTAAATCCAACTTGAATTACCATCACGAACCTCACTGTAATCATACGCAATCTGCTAGCTTTTAAAATTAAAAAGAAGATTACAAGAACAAAAAGAATCAGGAAAAAAACAAAAATTGCTTGTCCTTTGAATGTGGCAGAAACTATTTGTAGCAGAGAATTTCAGAAAGAGAGAAGTTCAAGATAATTGCAGGGCTTGATTCAACAGTTTAAGAGGTATTTGGTAGTACGGATGGTTAAATTGGTTAGTTTTGTGTATAAAAAGCACAAAGAAAAGTTTCAAAACATACCATATCTGCACTTTCAATCAATTCAGTATCCTCAACCTGGACAACTGCATCTGCACCCTGTGGCACTGGTGCTCCTGTTGTTATTCTGATACAGTATCCTGGCTCCAAAGACTTGGAAACCTAAACATTGCAAAAACACAACGTCCATCAAAACATGGGCAGAGAGGAACAGAAACAGAGATTACATGGGCTGTCTCGATGAGATGGAAAAAGACAGAGATAAATACTTAAAAGCAAGCTCAAATTCCAAAAGAGGAATAGCAACTGCAAAATATCAGCACACTAGGAAACATTGACTAGTAGTCAGATATGACATGTTATTAATTAAATAAATGTATGTTCTATAGAAGGATATGGCTACTTGGAGTTGGTTTTTTATTTTTTGCAAGCATGCAAACTAGCAACGCATGACAGGCTTCGTAGTATACTCCATTGCTCATTTACTACATCTGTTCAGAAACAATATTCGTTATGGCGTCTTTTCTTTAACTCTCTGAAAAGTCCAATCATGGAGATCTAATAGAGTTCTAAAGTGATGACGTCACAAAAATCTATTTTTAGAATTTTTTAATTTGGATTACATAACCTGAGAGAGCATTATGAAATACCTCTAAATGTGCAAAATCAGGCAAGTGTATAACGAAATGGCAGAGATATGTCCACATGTTTATTGGTTCTCTCCCCATCAAACCTCTGTATTTTGGTCTCTGTTCATAACTTCATGTACAGAGCCAAAATAGCAGTGATTCGTTAGCAAACTTCAAATCTTTCATTAGCCATATCTCAACCGATTTTAGACATATTTGGCCAATTTTGCATATTTTGAAGTATTTCATGGTGATCTTTGAAATAGGTTTTTGATGACGTCACACTTTAGAACTCTATGACGTATCACACAGCATATCATCACGCTAAATTTGAACAGAGACCGTGCACAGAGCTGCCATAACTTTTAAGGTTACTGTATTTAAAAAACGGAACAAAAGAAAATCTTACCATATTTCCAGCAGTAACATAATCTTTTACCATTCTATCTCCAATTCCATCAGCAGCTTTAGTAACACAAAAGAAACGAGCGCATTATTTACGATTAAAAATCCTGGGAGTCAAATTGTTAACACAGGTACCTCTTTTGCTTACTTCTTTTAGCTTACCTCTCTTAGCTTGCCTCTTTTAGCTTACCTCTTTTAGCTTACCTCTTTTAGCTTACCTATTTAAGATTACCTCTTTTGCTAACTTCTTTCAGCTTACCTCTTTTAGCTTACCTCTTTTAGCTTACCCCTTCAGCTTACCTCTTTAGCTTACCTCTTTTAGTTTACCTCTTTTAGTTTACCTCTTTTAGCTTACCTCTTTTAGCTTACCTCTTTTAGCTTACCTCTTACGATTACAACACAGTTGCCTGATGATCGCAGTAAGCGTAAAATTCTGAGTTGCAGCTTAGAAATATCCTTAACCAAAGTGCATATCTTCTAATAAACAGACTAAGTTATTATATCTACTTTGAATACCAGACGATTCACAAGAAACGCCTACAAGACAGGGAGTATTGCCACTAGATGCACAGAAACTACATAGTCTATTACTTGGCTAACTGTAAATATGACCATGAAATGCTTTGCTTTGGCACTCTTTTAGATTATACTGTGGATATAGATTAGTTCTGATTTAATTTACACAATTTTTATTAGAAAGGTATAGTATGATGTGAAAAAATGGTTCCAAAATATACCCATTACAAATAAAACGTCTATATTGCGGTAATCGAATAAATATAATGAGAGCTTGCGATGTTACCGGATGAGAGTAAGTTCTGGAAGTTTAAGAAAATAACAACAATATACCTATCACAGCGTATCCATCTTTGATGGAAGCAGGAAAAGGTGGGTGGGGTTCTGGAGCAACGACATCTTCAGCTAATGTCATTCCAAGAGCGTCTAGAAGGTAGAGAGTCCAGATATAATCTAACTTCATTCCGTATTGTCCAATACAACACTTATAGAAAATACATGGAAGAACGTAAACAAAATATTGTGTGAAAAAACCATTGTCATCTAAATGCATTCATTGTAAATTCTCATTTTTAATAAAATTTCCACTACTTTCTATAAATTTTCAGCATTCTTTGCATAAGTTAAATCTTGCACAGACTTCACCTGTCAAACAACGTGTTTTATGAGCACTGTACAACAGGCATTGAAGTGTGATGCTCTTTATGGTCAATGATCCAAATTAAAAAACTCGGAGATAATTTTAAAACATAATCACTTTAGAACTTTATTGCTTCTTAAATTAAAATCTCATTTACTTTTCTAGATTTGAATCATGTTTCAATTTATATAATTCCATTCTTTCAAACGATTAAAACAAGGCTGAAAAAAGTTTCTTTTGCTTTCATTAGACTTCATTACGAAGGTAAACAGTGCAAAGACCACCATTATAGGCCACCATGTTGCCTATGCTTCGAGTTATCCTCTATCATGCTGCCAATAGGAAAGTGTGAAAGAAACGTTAGCTTATATGCAGAGTCTGAAGATGCTCTAACCTGAAACTGAGATTTTATCCAATACACCTAAAACGTGAGAATGCTTGAGAACAAGAGGGATGGCTTCATTCATGGACATCATTGGGTATGGTGATTTTCTGTCTCTTTCAGCTATGTGTTCGTAATAACGAAGCTCTGTAAAACAATGATATAATTCGATATAGCGCAAAACTGTGCAACAACCATAAACATGTTGTTGGATAAGCGTACAGAAAATCTTTACACGGTATAGTATAAGAACTTTTCCAAAAAAATAACCTAAAGGGTATTATTCTTAATAAATCTGGCTCATAATCAAGAATCTTTTTAAGTTTGAGCGAAACTAGACCTTTATTGCAACTGTTAATAGTCTATTTTTGTTCAATTTTATGCATTCTAATGGTTTTTAAACGACAAAATATAATCAGGTCAAATTGCTTCAGCTATGCATACAAAAGATGTAATATAGACTAATCAATGTTCAAAATTTATGTTAAGATTCTATGATTAAAAAGGTGATGAATGAGCCATTAAGGACGTTACGCAAAGCAGTGATTCTCGATCTCATGACGACAGTCAGGGGAATATACACTCGTCATGCAGGGGAATGGTCCTAAGTACCTTGTATGTAAGAACTTTGTTCACCCTAACCCCCAAATAATAACGTCTTATCTGAGATTCATTGTGTTTTACTGTAAGGTCTTGTAACTGTGGTAGAGCTAAATTTGAAATGTTTTATTTGGATAAAGTATCTAAAAATCATTGTACCCCTTGCAAAGCACAGCAGACAGAAAACCTATGACAGCTCAACTACTACACCAGCTTGCCACAAGTATACAAATTTTATGCAACGCTTTCGACAAGCATTAAGAAAGGATACAAAAGTAAGATAACAGGTTATTAGCAGGAAACCCTAAATAATTGGAAACTTGCAAAATAAGTACAATATATGATTTAGTGATAAAATCAGAAAACACTTTCATACCAGAAAACATTAAAAAAAATAGGCCAACCATTAACCCTTTTATCTACATTAGGAGAGTCGTCATCAAATTAACTCACTTTTGGCCTCAATTTCTTTCGAGGTACCATCATCAGCTTTATGGGCGCAAATATGTGTTCCTACAGTTGATGCCTATGGCAAAAAAATTGTTGGGTACATCTAAGACCACTCTACAAAAGAGAATAAGATATGAACAACCCTTAAGGTTTTAGATTCAATTTTATTTTATCTTTATATCTTTATAAATTTTTATGGTCGATTGGTGCTTGATATTAGATTAAATCACCTGGAAGGGAAGGAATAGGCGTAATTTGGTCTCGCAGATGACACCGGCACGATAGCCAAATGCTCGAAAACGTTCTTTGGCTATATGCATCTGCTTTTTAAAACCATCTTGTAAGGTACTGTTGCAGTTCCTATTGCTCTCAAATATGTCATGTTATTACGTGATTGACATTCAATACCATTGTGGCTGTACGATGACCCGTACTTTTGGATTCGACAGTGCTCATCAGATTTATTTATCAGTTAGTCTCAAATAAGATATTACCCTATGTGCATTGCTACTAATGGCCTAATGACTGGCTCTAGGTTGACATAACTCAGGTCCCGTTCGAGTCTACCTGAAACGATGAGCCATCATATGAGGCAAAGCCGACCAACAGCTAATGTCTTGAGGTGGCAGAAGTTTCTTACATTTACAGTACCTAGGTGACATGTTTTGGGTGGTTACCAGCGAAAAGACGCTTAAATAATATCTAACCCACTCACTGCTGATGTTGGCTGTGAACCCTTCACTAAAGCAGTCCCTTGCATTCCTTCGTGAATTCTCTTTACCAGTTGCAAGTTATCCCCTAGCAAATCTAAAACCAAAAATAATACCCAATTGAGAATGTAATTAAATTATGCCGAAGAAAAAATACCCTCTGACCTCTTCTAGTTTCCACATTCGACCACTAGCTCTCACATCACCACAGGAACAAACCAAATTTGCTTTATTTTTCAACAAGAACCTTACAATCTCCTGTGAACCTTACAATGGCCTTCTTGTAAACAGCTTTATCAACAATCATTTGTTACGTTAACTAAAACTGCTTTAACAATTACTTTATAATGCTAATGTATTAATTACTAATTGATAATTTCCAACCCCACACCCTGTAGGTCATTTTGGTGTAGCGATAAATGATAAAAATTGCCCTTTTCATCTCATTCCGATCATCATCCTCGACCTTATCTACAAAGATCCGATTAATATTACATGATTCGATAAATGTGCTTGAAATGGCACGTGGTAACTATTTTTGAGTAAATAATACCACCACGTAGCAAGTTTTAAACTTTGATAGTCGGTTGTTCCAATTTTGGCATGGATTGTAATAGTGATGAAATCTATAAAAAGCCAAACATAACAGAAAAGAAATTTCATATAACATAGTGTAACATTCTCACCCAATGCATGTGGTAGCGCTGGAAGAATAAATCCGAAACATTCCTAAAAAAATACCGGAAAAAGAATTTTTGAAAATATTCAAGAATACTTTTATTATCTTTTATTGAAGCAAACAACATGGCAGCCTTATGGTTTCTTCTTTGACACCAATCCCTATCCCCCCGACACCAAGCCTAACTCTCTGATACCACCCATATCCTGATACTACCCCTCTTCCCCTGACACTTACCCACACCCACTTACACTACGAATCTCCCCCTGGCACGACCCCTCTCCCCCTGGAACTACCCCATACCCTGCAGAGACTCAAAAGCTTCACAACTGACTATTTTCTCTGTTAATACAGGTGTGCATTACATCTATGTTGTATGAAGATAAAAAAGACATGGACAAAAAGACTATCCAGCCACTAAGTGGAATGCTGAAACTAATTGGATCATCTACGCTTGCTTTTACGATTTGCAGATAATTCTAGCTCTTGTTTATTCATTCATTATCAGCTTGGAGAACATACAAAAAAATTAGGCTGAGTTAGAGTATACCTGTGCAGCTTTGGGGCTTCCAGGAAGATTTACAATCAGCGTTCTGTTTCTTATTCCACAAACTGCCCTGTAAGCAAAATCTATTCTACAAAAAGCTTCTATGATTTTACGAAATATATTTTCTAGCGTAGAGTTTTCGATCTATGTTCTGACGTTTTATACTCTGAAAAGTGCGAGAAGAAAAGCTTTAGTACTGTGTTTCGAAATTTTCGTTTTTTTAAAGACATTTTTAGATTCTGTTCTATAAAAAGACTTTTCAACGAAAAAATTGCACAAATGCGAAAATTCCAATATTTCAAAAAAGACAGGATGAAAATTTCGGATTGTCGTAAATATAGACGAAAGTTTCTTAATCTGGGCCTTTACGTGGATTGAAAGAGCTTTTTTGGCAATAACTGCATTAAATCAAGGAAGAAATGTGGAAATTCCATACGAAGGTACTGTTCGTTCGACATCCTTAAAAATACGAACCAACGGATAATGATCAACAATTAAAACTTGCCTGGAAAGCATCGCAAACTTTGTGACGGCCAAAGACCCAGATGTCATAACATGTGTGAGACCATTTGCATCTTTTGTGATAACTTCTTTTGTGGCCTACAAAATGGAAAATTCAGGCATACTTCTTAAACAGTTTTTGTAAGAAAAAAAACTTCATTGGTTGAAATGTCTTGTTTGTCAGCAAAAGAACTGCTTTTCACTTATCCAAACTACATAAATAAAATCTTAAAAATTACAATTAGACATGGCCTTTTTAGAAACATGGATGCACAATGATGTAACAAGAATTCAAATAGGGCTAAAGGCATGAGAAGATGCTAATAATGTGTTTCTGCTTTTTAAAGATAAAGTGGTCCATCATTCTAGGTCAGAGACGGGATGAGCAATCGCAAAAAACATTGCAATCCCCAAGGAGGGAAAGGTGGCTCTCTCTGCGGATCCCTCGACGGCCCCTTCAGCTGCTCATTTGGCACCTCAGCGACTCCCCGAGCGGCTCCCTATTTGGTTCTCTCAGCACCCTGCAATCATTAAAGAACTAAACCAAAAATGCTTTTATCTGCATCAATTCATTTTACAATAATTTCCTGAATAAATTCAGATGCAAAATTTTGTTTCAATTACCTCTGGAGTGACATCTCGTAGACCGAAACCAGTTCCTCCAGTTGTTAATATCAGCTGACAGTTGTCCACATCTGACCATTGTAATAATTGCTCCTGGTTAGTAAAAAAACATTGCACCTTCACTGCTGTTCAATAAACCAAATTAATGTAAAAGGCATTTCAACTAAATGTTTTAAATGAAAACTGATTTTCAATATAAACTTAGAGCTTTTTTGTCTTAAACAGTAGCGACATCAACATTTTGGTGAAATCTCCTTGAGTCAAGCCAATGTCCCCCCCCCCCTCCTCTCTTGGAAAAGTGAAGCCCAGCATAAAGGAAGGCTCTCCTCAAGCCATGGCGAGCTTCTGAATCATTTTGAAAACAAATAATAGGTAAAGCCTTCCAAAGTTTTGCAGAAAAGTTCAACCAATAATAGCATAACCAAATGATTTCTGCAAAAACCTCTAAATAAGACATTCACAAGGAGTTCTCAACTGAGTAACAGGAACAAGCACTATTGAAATGTGAACTGTATCTTGTGCAAAACAGATGTAAATGAACAAAACCCGAAATTATCCACAATTTCAGTGATGGTGCCAACAGGAGGTATTAGGTGGTGGGTGATTAATCATAATCCACTTTTGCCATAATTCATCAAGTAGAATTAAGTCATTTTACAATATCAAATATTGCTTTTTTATATGGGCATGGTATTGAATGCTTTTCAAAAGACAGTTCCCTAGACATTAGTCACATCCAGATATTTTCCTCAAATTCTATTCTCAAAAATATTTACTAATGAGAGGGACATCAACAAGTTACAAACCTTGATGTGATCCTTTTCATCTGGAGCTACCTGGTGCAATAGCTTAGAAGGCTGGCCTCTAAATGGAAATCAAATAGTTGGTTTTAATTAGCTTGAGTATGCATAGCTAGAAACTGTACCAACTTTAAATAAAGAAAGAAAAAAACCTTTACAAAGAAATTTCTAAAGAAGATAGCTTTGCACCAGTGTAAGCCTTGGTCTGATAGATAAAATTTCATATAGACATTTTCAAGGACATTTTTCTATATTTTAGGGGTAACAATAACATACAACAAAATTCAAACAGCATCACTCAATCAGTCTTTGTAACAAAAACTAATTTGTGTGAAAATAGTTTCATACCAACTGTGTGAGCAATTAAATGTGGCTATATGAAAAGGAGCTTTTCAATAGTGTTAGCCTAAGAAGCTTTACATTGTCCTAAAATTTTGCTTGCCAAAAATAAACTTTTTTTTAGAAGAAAAAAATTCTTCACAAAACAAAAGAGACACACCTCCTGTGTAACAAGCATGGTAAAAACCATCCCTTGTGAAAAATCTCCTAAACAGGGAGATCCCTTTTGAAAAAGTGGAATGACCTGAGCATTTTCCCATTTCAACACCCCACGCCTCCCACTTGCAAGCCAAGGTTTCTATCTCTACTTAGTTAAAAAGTGCCCTATTTGACACTACCTCCCAACTACTTGACAGTCCAAGAAAATTATGCTGTCTTGCCATAATTACCTGCTACCCCCTGTGCTCAACTGGCTGGGATAGCAGTTAATTATGGCAAGACAGACCTGTTAAAAGCAACTAGCACTGCCTGATCTCGATCTCAATCGGGGATGTTCCGAAGCTGTTGAGTCGTTGGGTGTTTTGATGAATCTACCTACTTTTTGCAAAAATTCCTCTTTTACCTGAAAAGATTTTATCTGTTTTTAAAAATTTACAAAAAGTTATTTAATAATCATGATGTCCTAATTAATCCATTCTCTTATTCAAAATTTCCTCAAGCTTAATATTGTCAGTTATACATCTCTCTCTGCAGCAAAAACTGTGGGGTTGCTCAATTTTCCCTCACTTGTCTTTGTTTCTGGCATATCTTTTTACTCTTTTCATTAGGCTGAAAGGCCAATTCACGGGGAACATTCATGTGGTTAGTAAACTGTGATTAATTTGTCTCCCTTTTTTCTGAAATACAAAAATTTTATTCCTTTCAACATGCCTATTGATCCTCTCCTTGCAATTTCGATTCTAATTTCAATGTATTTTTCCAAAAAAGAAAGTCAAGTCCCACAAGAGAGACTTCAGAATCTCATTTGATTCATATTTCATTTTTGTCAGGTTGCCATGGATGATAACCAAGAATCCACAATTTTGCGCAATGGATATCAAATATGCTGTCAAGTCACTGGATTTTTTCAAAAAAGAAACATATGGGTGCCAGTTTTTGTAGGTTTTCAGAAAACAATAGCCACCAGTTTCAATATTTGAGCATAGATAGCATACTCTAAACTGTCATTTCCAGTGGATACTGATTTCCTCGATTTTGAATTCCTCAGAAACCTTAGGACAAAAAATGAATTGAAACTCTGTCAGAATCTTTGCAAGCAGGGAGAGTTATCCTTATAAAATTAAGCAGTTCAATTCAGTATGTGAACAGAGGAACTGTAGTCAGTCAGGGAGAAATGCAGCAATACTTGCAACTGAAATTCTAGATAAAATTTCAAGATTCACAGAGAAACATAGCTCTGAGAATTTGACTGGTTTTCTGAAATATGTGCAACCTGTCTGGACTTGCACCTGTAATCCCACAACACTTCAAACTATTTGTTGCTTCAAAATAAGAGATGGTTGTCAAATCTTTGGTTCATTTGCTCCTTAGTTCTGATTTGAATTTTACCTGGCTGCCAGTGGCGAAGCCAAATGTCCTGCTGGTCCTGCTGAGCAGGACCAAGAATTTCCAAAGATAAGGTTTACTGTAAACAATAAACAATTTCTTCTTTGCAAAAAGGAAGTTTCAAATTCTATTTGATAAACAGTCCCCAGTTCCGCCAGCTGATACAGGCATCCCGTGCTAATCTCAAGGTCCTGTTCTTTTCTACGGCAACCCTGTATTTTGGTCCTGCTCATAACTATGATACCCTATGTTTGGTCCTGCTTCACAATGGGCTTTTGTAAATTTAGTCCTGCTTCACAATAGTCTAGAACAAAGAGCAGTCCTGCTCAATCTCGGGAGCAGGACCTTGCCGAAATGATCATCATAACATTTCGTAAGCAGTAGTGATTTGATTGGTTGAGGGTTCACTTTCATAGGTCAAAAGGTATTGTTTTGAAAACCTTTGGTCCTGCTATTTCTGAGAGCAGGACTGCAAGAATTGCCCTGTGCATTCTCGCTCTGCTATGAGGCACTAGCAAGGAGGCCAGTTCAAGTATTATGGCGAGGCAATGTGAATGTGGATTTCCTGCTTGCTTTGGCAATACCAATGATATTATTATTGACAGCAAAACTTGCCTCAGTTGAGCTGCATAAATTTTATTTGTAACAAGACAAAGTCCAAAGTTTGCGAGAAAGAAATGGTAAACACGGCCTTCACGGTATATCATGGTGGCCTAAACAAATAAGATTTTCTTAGACTTAGACAAGGACGATAAAAGCATAATTGAATTTACTGTTGTGTGATTGAAATTTTGGAGTTGGAGAATAAACCAATTTCAATGGAATTTGCATTTGTAAGAGATTAACGGGCGACTGATTGCTATGTTGAATACCGATGAACTGAATGCTGAACTGCTAGTATGAAAGTGTATTTTTCTACCTGAATTGTTTACTCGTCTAATGGTTTGGCTAATGAAGTTGTTTTCATTGATAACGCGACACATTATTCAATTGTACCTCTCTTTGTCAGCTGCAGAATAATTGTTCTGCAGAATTTGTGAACTTGCCCCTACAGACTTTAAACTCTGTTGTTTATTAAAATTATTTTAATAGAGTATCTAGATTGGTCAGGTATTTTAATAGAGTGTCTAGATTGATCTAGATTGGACCAAAATCTTGAATAGTCTAATTAGACTATTTCAACTACCACAAATATATGATATGCAACTTCAAATGCCACCCTTACCTCCCTTTTATTGTCAAATTTAGTTATCACCAATTTGAACTTTTACTTCAGCTGTAGAGGCTTACTACAATTTAACATAGATTTGTTTGAAAAGTAAGCACCCTAAAGCACATCTTTAAGTATGGGTTTATTTTGCAAAAGATAGACATGGATTTAGAATTTGCTTTTTACTGCAAAAAAGTTCATCTACAAAAAAGAATTTTTGTTCATAGGTGTTTCCTATTGAATAAGGGTGTGGCCTTGTACATACAGCAGGACCAACAATTTTTGGCTAGCTTCGCCACTGCTGGCTGCATAAGTTTCTACATGTGTCACACCCGCTACATCCCACAAGTTGGGATGCCCATGCTTTCAATAGCTTCTAAGATTTTTCAAAGCTTTTCATTATTTAGAGGCAGACTCATACTCAACACTTCTTGCAGTATAATTTGTAGCACCAGCTATAAAGAGAAATAGGCAAACTTTTTTCTTCCGCAAAAAAACCAAATAAAACGTTGTGAGTTTTAGTAAAACAATGAAAGGAAAAATCAGACTTGGCATAATTCTAGCATTAAATAAAAATTCAATCACCTAATGATTTCCTTTTTAACTAATGTAACTAGACATGGTCCACTCTTGTCTTCATTTTTTCCGGCATAGCAGCTATCACTCACTGCAAAAAAATTGAGCAGATTTATTTTACAAAGAGTTTGTTAGAATCAATTTCCACATCAGCATCTTAGCTGAATGTATGATCTGGTAACAACTAAATTCCAAACTAATTTCACTGTGTAATTTCTTAATAAAATTTTTAGAGAATTTGACTAAACAAACCAATCATCTCTTAAGCCTTTTGAGCTTGCATTTTTCTGGTTATATAGCATGAAGAGAAAGCCCGAAGGTGCCCTCTGTGTCCATTTCTTGATGGAAATAAAGAGTTAACAATCAAAATGTCACTTTGAAAATAACAGTTTCTATTGATAAAAGGACCATTAATCCAATTTATTATTTCACACTAGTCTTTAATACTTGAGCAAGACCACTGTTTTTAGTGGCTACCATTAATGGTTCCAGTTTAATGTTTTCAATATGATTTCACTTTTTCTTGCCATCTTCAATTTTTTCGTTACAAAAAACTTATCTGCCTTCTAAATGAGAGGACCTGACGTCTTTGAGATGTAAATGGCAAATTAACGTAAAAATAATTTTGACAACTTATCCCCATTCCTTGTAGTCATATATAAAGGCTGAAATGCTTCAAAATATGTTCTACGAACCGGTCAAAACGCCAATGGCAAGCAACCCTCCATTCTCATTTCCAAGAGTCTTTCCACCAGTGTCTGCCATATTTATATTCACGCTCCAGTCTCGTTTTAATGTTACCGAAACCATCGAAATCGAAACCTATCGAAACCCCTAGTTTCTGAGAGCCAGTACAAAATCTGTACATACTGTACATACAATACGTATGTGGTAGGCAATGACCTGCGTAATCAAGAATTTTCAAATGCTAAATCAGTTAATGAAGATTTGAATGAAGATTAACCTAACTGTAGACATTTTCTCCGACACCTCTGACAAAGTGATTATAGCAGTGGTGCAGTAGAGGGGGGGGGGGGCTCAGAGAGGCCCAGCTCCCCTTGTTAAAATTCAGAGAGATTTAGGGGCCTTATTTTACTATAGATTTCTGATGAAGAGCAATTTGTTATCAGTCTGTTTGTGTCATCAAATAGTTTGAAATATTTCTATACACAACAGAGAGTCTTTAACACAAATGCAAGTATATTGGGTGTAGTAATGATGTGGTAAAGGTGTGATCATGGGTGTAGCCTATGAATTTCCCTACAGCACAGCCCCCTTCCTAACTTTTCAGGACGGCACCCCTGGATTCTAGCCCATACAGTTATCAACTCTATGTTCTAGCCTCACGCTTAATGAAAGTGAGGTTGATAATAGAAGATTCACAAAGCTTTAGCTAAATTAAGAAATTCACAAAGCTCAGTATTATTAGAACCTAACTCATGTCCCGGCATAAATCATTTTTCGCACTTGGTCCTTAGTTGTAGTAGTTGAAGTGACACTCAATGCAGTTATTTGATTTTGATAAAATGCTGAGATGCTGCTAAAGTCTGTACTGTAGCAAATCTTTTTATGCAGCAAGTTCACGTGAACATAACAAATGGAGGTAACCAATTTTGAAAAGATTAAACTAATTCAACAAAATACGAGGCATTCTGTTATGTACTTTACATTTTTGGTGTGAATTAATAAAAGACTCTATAACGACTGGAATGATTTTATCGCTTAATCGCTTAACAGTATAGTTTATTCTATACATCTCAGGGCCGCCGGAGCCAGGGGGCCACGGATAAATACATTGCGTGAATTTTTTTCAATGCCAGATATTCTGCCTTTAGAAACTAAGTAAAATAACATAACTCTGGACGTTGTTGGAGGACCATTAACTGGAATTTCCTTAAATTTTTATTTGGCCTTGATGCAAAAAAACTCAAGCTCCTGTGATGAATAATATCAACTGCGAAAGAGACTGCTATTCTTGCGAGAAAATTTCGTTAGTATGTTTTCAGCAACAAACGCATCAGTGAAAGGTCCGCATCAAGTAACCGGCGGGCACAGTCAGTTGGTCCAATGTATATCATGTGTGTTCCTGAAAGTAGAAACTGGACCCCTATCTCTGATTCTGGGTTGTGAAAATTTGTGCCTTTGCCAAAATTTTGTAACCCTTTTCACTGAGAATATTCCAGCTTGAGCAGGGAATTTTTATACCAATTCATGTTCATCTAGGATTCGAACAATATACAAGACTAGCTGCTAAATTTGTTGTACTTTCTTAATGCCACCGATTTACCTAAAAAATTATCTGTAACATCATGTCAGTAAATTCCTTCCCTTTTGTGTTTTCTCTGACTGATTAAAAAAGCAGATTCTATGCCCCAGAATTCTAGCTTTCAGTCCTTCTCGGAGTTTTTTGAAAGTCAGATGTAATACGTTTGACCAACTGACTGAGCCCGCCGGGATCATGTCTAAGAAGAGTTAAAAACTTGTTTCGTTCATAAGACTGATGAGATAAACCTAATCAAAGTTGCAAATTGATTTTGCTATGGCAGTGAAGAATGTGCTCGCACCTTCAGCCGATTGCGTGAAGATGACTTAGACATAAAATTTTGTAGCTTTTAAAAAATATTCCATGGAGGCGAACACTTTAGGTGCTTTTTTGACAATGGAAAGGCGCAAATACCAAGGAGAACTTAATTGTTTAAATATACAATTAAGAAAATTAAAATCATTATTCGAACGAACTTTCGAAAATCATAGAGAATGAAACTTTGCTTTGAAAGGGAGAGGGACTGGGATTGGCACTGAAATATACAAAGACTAAGAATTCCACAGTTCATATTTTGGGTTAGATTCATTGGTATGTTGCAATAAATTTGAACATTTGTTGAGTATAATTCGCCTGCCACAAGTATAAAAGAAGGATGTGTGCTTCCTTCTTACCCGGGGCCAAATCCACTTACAGTGCAAACGATAAGGAAAAATAAGTACAGCGTCTTGTAATAATATAAATTTTTAAATTACCATGAAATCTGTACCATTTTTGGCACTTACTAATGTTTCGGAAAAAATATATTTGTGCCCTTTTTATTCGTTTTGCTGCCCCCCCCCCCCCCTCCTGTTCAAATCTGCGTCCGGTGACCCTGCATCTGGGAGATCTTCCGCATCTGCTTGTCTTGTATGTAACATCACCTTCCTTTTTAATGGCTCCCCTACAGCGAGGAAGAACTTTAGCAGCGATAATAACAATGCTTTTCAACGACATAGGGACTTTCCTCGTCGTCTAAAGCCAGTACTGAATATGTGCTCCAACGTCCCCTGCCTCCGTTCCCTGCGCTCCAGAGCCTATCAGAGGCAGGCGGTGTAGATTTTTTTGTTCCAGCATCCTTTGTATTTCACGAAAGTGGCATAACTAGCCAATTAGTAATCAAAGTTCAAAAGTGAGTAACATAGCCAAATTGGTAAGAAAGGGGGCAGGGACGAGTGGAGCAAGCATATCAAGGGTTTTTAAGCTAAATTGGCGTTCTCTGTAAGTCAAAAGGCCAATTTTTTTTAAAAAGGGCTTTTCCTAAGCTTTTTACATTGTTCCCATCAACAGCGTAGTGACTGGAGCCGTATTTTGTAAACTTAATTTCGCCATTCGTTTTGGTTCCCTGTTGTTTAAATGCATGGGTACATTTTTGAATAACCAAAGTAACCTTGCTTTTTTGTATCCAAACCAATATGCATGACGTTACCGAAACGTATATGACAGCGCCACTGCTTTTGAAGAATGATGGATATAATCTAAGACATTGGTTGATGTCAATTGATCTTTGCGTTTTTCAGACAACAACCTCCAGTTGAAATAGGGAATGGCTGCTCCACTTGCCCTCTTGCTACGCTAGTGACAGGACTTAACAAAGAAGATAGTTAGCGATGAAAAATGACAAGAAAAAGATTTCGAATGAAATGATTGACTCGATTTTAAAAATTGCTAGAATATTTTCTTTCTGCACGGAAACGTTAAACTATTAACATCAGATCACTATATACAAAGACAAGCGTATTAAAAATCATTTACATCATATGTAACCTGGCACAAAATTAAATCGAATCTTAAATAAATTATTACATTAATCAATTTAGTAAATGTACGTAAATAAGCTCATCTTATTTAAAACGTAGCATCAAAATATGTTTGACTTAACTATTTGTACAAAAATCTTTAATTCTCATGTTTAAGAACTAGATATGAAACCCCGCTTGCAAAACACCCCTTGCTCAGCATACAGATGCTTGCCAAAGTAACGTCTTAACTAATTAATGATATAATACCGATATATCATACTCAAGAACTGTATTGTTGTTCAGAAATCACATCTGGTAAACTTTATAGATTGTACTAGTAAGCAACGTCTCAAACCAAGCAGAATTACACCCCTTTTTTATAAGAACAATTCTGCAAGAACTCGAGCCTCAAAATTGATCCAACTTTAATGAAAGATTAAGAACAGGCTGAACTTGTGTTATTGTAAATGTGGAACCCCCTAAATAATTCAATCTCAAAAACGAGGAGTTTTTCGTCATATAGGGTTCGTTGAAGAAATTTCAAACTTGTCTGCAAATAAAGGTTAGCTCACTCACTTTGTTGAGAAAAGGGGCCTGAACACTCCTCTTAAGCACGATAGCAAATGATTACACTGCTTAAACCCCCATTATTTAAGAACAAATTTAGCAGAGGTTGAGAAGAAGGCGTAATGGCGCGGCAGTGCCGAGGCAGAAAGAAACAGACGAGACGATAGGAAGAAGTCTCCATATCGAAATATGCGCCTCTTCAGAGCTCTGCTATGTCAAGTGGCCTTCTTCATTCCCATTTGTTTCCCACGGGATTTGGCGCTCCTTTGAAGAGTTGGATCGCCTTCGGTGCCTCCCGATTCCTGGTCGCTGGTGGGGCACGTGTCCCCTGCCCCCCCCCTGGCAACCACGCAACTGGATTACTCTGATCAATCCTCCATGAACAAATTTAGAACAATCCAGCTTCAACGTTTTGGAAAAATTGTAAACAACAAGGCTGAACTTCAATTTTCTGGCTCTTATAAAAATAGAGTGTAATGTAATCAAAATATCACTTTGTACTACATCAGAGTTATGCTCGTAAGGTCACAACCATGGTCACAACAATATTCGACTTCCATGAACGAAGTCGTTTTTTAATTATATTGCTTTCTATTTATTATTCATTCAACGTTCATTCGTTCATTCATTCGATGAAACTAATCAAAAAATGATATGCTGTAAAATTATAATGTTTCTCAAATTAATAACTTATACCAAGAAAATTTAAGTTTTCAAAGCAAGTTTTCACACATATCACTCTTGTTAAAATCTGCAAATTTCGTGTCACTTTTCACTACTTAGGTTCAGTTGCAAAGAGCAAGACTGTCCCCAAATGACGGAGGTTACGGCGTACGGGCTGACTGAAAAGTCACTTTCCCAGTGAAACGGTAATCCAGGATACGACGGACACAAAGTTTTGTAGTTTTGCAGCAAACAGAGGCTTGCATTTCCTACGTGATATGTGAAACATCAACCCTTTCACTACTTGCTAGGCTCAGTACTGTGCCCCCATCCCTGTGCCCCCATCCCTGTACCCCCCCTCAAAGGTTATGAAAATGTCTTTCAAAATTAATGCTCCACCCTGCTCAATGATTTTGCAAATACTGTTGTTTTCTTTTGAGAAGAATATCTGGGCAAGTTTCTGTGCTCATTGGGCATTTATTTATCACGCCGTTCACCAGAGGGCAAATTTTACCGCAATATTCACTTGCAAAAACGTTAAATACTTTCGTTGTGTTTGGATGATCTTCCACTCAACCTACAGACCAGGAAAGTTTTTTGCTAATGGCTCTAGCCAATGGAAAAATTAGTATGATTATCTGCAAAATTCAAATAACTGGGGTGGTCATACATAAAAAAATCAATAGATGAATCAAAAGCTTATGTAAAGAACAGAAACAAATCCAGTATTGCCAACAAAATTCTCATTCGTTACCGGTTACTTGGAGCTTCAATGCTTGATAATCTCTCTAAGATTTGCGTAAAATCTGGCCTGTCTTTTGGCTGCATCTTCCAGCACGCTCCGAGAAGACGCTCTAGTGCATCAGGGCAGTTTTCATCGGTGCTAGGTGTGTTGCCACTTGTGATTGCGGATATTACCTATAAGTTTAAATACATAAACAATACAGCTTCTTAACTTTTTTATCTAGAAAAGAATTATCTTTCAAAGTTAAAAACTTAAAAGAAAACTCAATAACTTTTTGATAAAATTGTCATGAAAATGATGCTACCAAGCACGCCTGGAGCCTTCACTACGTGGTGAGGGGGTGGTTAGCGGAGGTGTAACAAAACCATTGTAAAAATGTGGAGTTTTTTTACCATTAAGGGGTGGTTTGTCGGCAACTTTTCAGAGTAGATGCTCGTCAGTATGCTTTCTGTTCGTTTAAAGTCTCTGTTCTTTTGACAGAGAAGGACAGTATGCTTTCACCTTTTTAAATCTCTCTCAACCACGAGATATCATTTTATAGTTTAATAACACAGTTCCTTTACTTTCCTGACAGCACAGAATTGTCGATAAAATCACATTTTAAAGCTTATTTGCTTGACGATACTTCAAAGAACAAATCTGTCGACTCTTTGTTTCTCATATTCTCAAACATTCTCTTTCTAGAGGTTTTTTGGCTCAACAGCTGATATTCACTCTTTCTGTAACGTTCTTGAGAGTTTGTTCATTCAAAAATAAGCCTCTCAGCCGGGTTTAGGCAAAAAAACCAAACTCTGCCATTTGGCTTTGGAACCAAAATATTCTGGATAAGGTTTTTCTATCTATATCCTAAGCCAAGCACGCATTCCAAGCATCCTACAATGGTTAATAGTTAGCTGACAATTTTTTAAAAAAGTATGTTACTCGTACAGTTCAATTTGTAACCCAAAACTTGGACTCAACTTCTAAGAAAGTAATGCCTAGAAAGCTGTTACAAAATTTCTGCATCAGCAAAAGGTTTACTTAGAAAACTGTCTGCATTTGAAACTGAACCAGAAAATGAAGCGATACAACTGGAAGACTTGAATGCATTACAAGCTAATACTAATCAACCACGTAGCTGTAGATGTCGGCTAGGGTGAGCAAATTCGAGCAAGAATTATACCTGAGGGGGGCCGGCTTTAAAACAAGAAAAAGGTATATAACAAACAGATATATTTGGACTAAATCAAGCTTACTGAGGGTACAAAGCAACTACTGTATGAGTCAAAAACAGAACAATTACTGTAATCAATTACAAAATGTTAAAGAAATAAACTGTGAGGTTTCCTTAGCCACTCAGTAGAAAATTCCTCAAAAGATATATCTCGAGTTAGGTTTTTTTCGAAAAAAAGGTGAGTCAAGGCACACTGGCGAAAAGGCCACAGCTGCACACGGCACATTCGAGTATTTCAAGACATGGAATATTTTAAAAGTAGATTTTTACTTTTCTAAAATGAAGTGTCCCCTCTTGCCAAAGCAATAATCTTATGGAATTACAATTATGCCAACTTTTCAAAATATCATTTGGAAAAACTTTAGCTAGGAGGGGGGAGAGTTTTTCAAAATTTTCATTTTGGGAGGTGGGGCACAGCCCCCGGTGCCCTCTGCAGCAGTGGCGTACCGAGGTCTGTAGTAGTGGGGGGCCTGGAGAAAATGTTTTGGACCACGCCCTTCAAACACTCGCCAATGCGGGGAAACGCCCTTTTTGCAAAATTTTCCCCCATTGTTTGATTCATTTTAGCTACGGTAAATAGCAAAGTATTTTACAATTGTTATTGACACAAACATACAGTATACTACCCCCCCCAATGAGTTTTACATCATACTTTAGAAAAGTGGGGGGTCCGGACCCCCCTATTCCCCCCCTTGGGTACGCCACTGCTCTGCAGCTACCTGGCTGATACTAATACAAATGTAGACATACAATCACTGCAAAAATAACACTTTGCGCTGTGCCTTTTTACTTTTCATTTGTTTTCCCGAATACTACTACCGTAATGCCTGGGCACTTATTTAATTTTTGAGGCTCCAGGGTGGGCGCTTATTCGAAGGAGGCGCTCATTTGAGGGGGCGCTTATTCGAGGCACTACGGTACTTCCGTTTCCCTTTTCCCCCAAAACAATGTTGAAAGAAAAAGAAAAATATCAAACAAGCTACAAGAAAAAGCATACTCCATAACCGCTTTCAATTTTCTATAATAAATCAACATTGTTCCTAGGAGAGAGTGGGGGGGGGGGTGGCTTTATTTGCCTTTGAAAACCTACGTTAGTGTTTCAAGACTTTTTTTGGCAGTTGATTGTGGTTTGACATCTAAACTGAGAAAGGAATATTTCTATGGAAAGGGATGAGAAGAAGATTTCTTACTGTCTTCTTTAGAAAAGACGGGCGTTTTTATTGTTGCATTTAGAAATTTGTTTAAAGTTAGAAATTTTGGGCTTGTCGCTAAAAGTTGAGATTATCATCATTACAGCTTTTCAACTAACCGCTTCAAAGGAAACTGGGTTGAGATTTGGGGTGAAAGATCGCGCGTGTTGTGTTGTGATTCCTTGGGTTTATGCTTTGTGATCAAATCGTTGGCAGTTCATCAAGAAAGAACATTTTTTAAAAGCTACTGAAATAGATCCGCCTTAGCATTCAAAGTCTTCAAGTTACTTTGTCACTTTTGACATCGCTGTGAGAAAAAGAGAAGGCTCAGGTATTGAGGCCTAGGCTTGAGCGATGGACTTGTCGAAGATTTCAAGTATGAAGATTTGAAAGATTTTCTGCGACTACGTGGATTGCAAGTAAATGGAAATAAGAAATGGAAGGTAAGAAATGGAAGGTAAGAAATGGAAGGTAAGCTTGTCGCGTACTAGGTCGCTCTTCCAGAAGTTCATTTAATTTTCTTGGCAGTCTGTCTATCCATTTTGCGAATCTACACTGCTCACATGTCCGAATTTAACCGAGTACTTGGACATCTGTGCAGTGTGAAAGGGCGAGGGCAGTAGCAATCGGCATGAATTTTTCCAACAGTTTCCATTCACCATACCTTCTTAGTAAACTTTAGTGATAAATGACAGCAAAAGGCAGGCAACAATTTCAGCTACTGAGGTTGAATCCTTCGATTATCTTTTGAAAAAGCTTCTTTCTTAATGAACTGCCAAAGTTTCGAATAAACTCAGGCAAATGAAGCAATAACAATTATTTAGTGTGCTATAATTATTATCTAAATCAAGTTGCTTGGTACTGATTTTATTTTTAGCGGAATTGTAGAGATAAGCATGTTAGAGGTCTGGGAACGAGAACATGGTCTACATACAGCATTTGGGGGCATTTTGACGTTGGATGTGAATCTAAATTACATTACCGCGTTATGATTAGTATCTATACCAATATTCATGTCATTGATTTCATTTTCGACAAAGTTAAAGAGACAATCAATTTAGGAGTCTGGGAACAATTAAGCATTCTGAAAATAGCTCTTGAGGGCATTTCTCAGACTGGGTCCCGACCCCATCTTATTCAGCATATCAAACTGTGTAGTTGTGCAGATTTTCATGCTTTTATCACAATTGGCGCAAGATCGTCTTCTCAGAGGCCTTGGCTCCTACACTATTGCTATTAAACATAGAGATAGGAAGGCATTATAGGAAGGCCTTACTCAGAGCCATGAAACTACAGCGGGCACACGGGCATTGACCTTTAGGACGGTCGATGAACAAAAATTAAAAGTCATATACAAACAGTATCTTGTTTCATTGCCTTTCTATCTTATAATTATTCATTGTTTCATTGTTTTTCTAAATTTTATCTTTTTGACATTCAGCCTTCAGTTTTGTCAAGGTAACCAGATATACACGAAAAGGTTGCTATGCTATTTGTGGCATTACTCACCTGATGATCCCAGTTAAGCATATGGTAAGGGCGTTTGTTGTAAATCATTTCCCAAACTGTGATTGCAAAGGAATATGCATCAGATTTTGTTGTGAATTTTATCTTTTTGTTGGAACCCGGCTTTGGTATAACTTCAGGTGCACACCATCGCAGTGTACCTATCCAGTGGGTGTCAAAGCTTTCTGCAAAAAATGGGTCATGCTAAATGTATAAAAAAAACGTTTTTATTGCAAAAATCAAAGCGGTTTCCATAATACCCTATCTATTTAGCATATCACCAGAACACAATATTGCAGGGACGGGCATCCAACATCGGCAATCCGGTTCAGGTAGCGACTTTTCAATAGGCATTGGAGCTTGGATATTGATAGCTTGTTTGAGGTGTCTTCGACCTGCACGACGTTTTCCTTTACCTACCCTCTAAACTAAATGTAACTGAGATTTGTGGTCCCTTTTCGTGCAACAAATTTATTTGATGCCTAGAAAAGGCGAATCAGCCAAATCATCGAGAGGACTTTTTGAAAATAGTGAAGTAATCTTTGTATACATAGTATATATAAATTGATTAGAGAAAACTGGGCCTAAAAAATTTAGTTGCGTAAGAACCTTTGCGAAAGACGGGACATCCGGACGATACGGAGAGTAATTTTGTGAGGGTAAAGAGGGAACGGGTACTATCGCGTACAAACCAGCAGGAAGCAAATAAGAGAAGAGGTAGACTTGTCAGGTCTCACTCTTTGAATAACTCTCACTTTCTGTGTTACTTGTAACCTATGCCAGCTCGCACCATCGGACGGACGTCCACAACCGCAACTGCACCACTGGCCATACTGTGTTCAAGAGTGAGACCTGAACAAGTCTCGAGAAAAGGTAAAAGTATTCACATTGACTGCTGACCTGGCACTAAACTGAAGGTTCTCTACTCCCCCCCCCCCCCCCCTTTCCCCTAAGAAAGCTAGAAAAGAAATAGCAGGATATCTGTCCGCAGTTCAAACCTAACTTTTATTACCATTCCCTTTCTTACTTTTTCATCAATTTCTACATTCGTCATATATATCTTGCAGTTTATCCTAGCCATTATTTATGAGATACTCAGCATGATGAATGATTTAGCTTTCAAAAAGTCATGTGACAGAACTCTTGAAAATGTTTTTAAGAGCCTGCAAAGTTTTCCAAAATTATTTCAGAGCTCTTAGGCAGGGCCGTCGCTATCTGAGGCTCGCAGGGTGTGACACCCCCCCCCCCCTCCTGAAATAAACTACGATGCAAAAACGAGGAATTTTTTGCCATCTAGGGGTACTTTGTCGGTAAATTTTAAAACTTGCCGGCAAATAAAAGATGGCTCACCCAGTTTTTCGGCAAATGAGACCTGGAAACCCCCAATCACAATAGCTAGCGACGACCTGCTCATATTAACGGCTTTGTAAATTTAACTGAAACTAATACAAACTATTTGCTTGAGTTTGACCAGAAGGACTAGGCCATGTTTCTGCTTTATCGTTTTCCCTTTTTCGTTCAATCAAAGGTTTAATAAGTTTCAGAGTGCCAAAGTCGCAGACCTGCAAAAAATTGAAATACATTCAGTTTTATCAGAAACTTGCAAAAGAAACAAGAAATGGACACTCATTAAAACTGTCAGTATAAAAAATTTTATTGGTTTGTTGGTATAAATTAGATACAGAAAACAAACATTTTTAAAAAATTCTCACATATTCTTTATAGGCAAACCACCAGTCTTTTGCCTTCGGTGATAAAAAGGGCTAAAGTATGAACTTTTTACTGCCATAAAGAATTATCAATGATACTAAAGACTAGATATGATGACATCAAAATTAGGAAACTTTTGAGAAACCACGAGTACTGAACTTTGTTGTCGCAATAGAAGAATTAATTGAACTTTCTGTTGTTGTTGTTGTTGCTGTTGTTGTTGTTGTAGATTTATTTTAATTCGATATAAAAGAAATAGCTAACAATATATACATTAATATACAACTTTAATTAATCAAAATCGAACATAGTTACCAATTAGTACATTAAAGTAATTATAGATACTAAGTGAAAGATTAACTTGCATTTACTGGCAGAAGCTGACAGGCACTACATTCAGATTTCGGTCCGCCCATTGTTTTAATAGATTCTTAAAACTTTTCGAATTTTCTGCGGATTTCAGATCGTTGGGTAGGCCATTCCAAATCTGTGGTCCGATTGACATAAGACTTTTGGATCCAAATGTTGTTTGATTAGGTCTAACATGGGCTAAGTGATTTGGATTTCTTGATGAATAATTTGACGAACGTAATTTGAAAATACTCTGCATAAAAGGTGGGTTCAACTGTTTTACTGTTTTGAATATTTCAATGCACAGAATTCTTTAACGAGCAACGAGCATCGTGCATTTGTTTGACTTCACAAGCAGATCGTTCTACGAACTTGTATGATTATTATAGAGAAATTTTAGGCTGCGTTCTTGTATCTGTTCAATTTTCTGTAATGATTTAGAAGATGAAAAATACCAGATCAAGGGACAATAACTAAAATTTGAGATACAAAGCTCTGAGCAAGAATCTTTTTCTCGTGGAAGCCAATAAGCGTCTTTAATCTTTTAAGAACATTTAGTTGTGTTGCAGCTTTTTTGCAAATATTCGAAATTTGTGATTCGAAATCAAGTTTGTAATCCAATGTTACCCCCAAAAGTCCACTGTCTCCTCAGATTTAATTTTTTTACCATTAATGATTGTTTGTTCTCCACTAGTATTTGTCTTGTTTTTCCTAAGAATTATAGCATGAAATGTTTCAGGGTTTGCGATCATTTCATTTTGTTCTAACCATGATAAGGCAATTCCCGTTTCTTTTTGCAAAGTATTTACAAGATCGCGCATGTTTTTAGAAAAATAAGCAAGTGCATTGTCGTCTGCATAATTATAGAACGTTGCTTGTTTTATGAATAGAAATAAGTCATTTATGTAAAAATTGAACAGGACTGGTCCTAGCACAGAGCCCTGGGGTACACCAGACGTAACCTCTTGAAAAGAACTGTATGAATTATTTATCCAAACACACTGTTTTCGTCTTTTAAGATAGGAATAAATTAGAACTAGAGCATCTTCATTAAATCCAAACGCAAATTATGTGGGATACAATCGAAAGCTTTCAAAATATCCATTAAGACTGCAGCAACGAGATAGTCATTATCAAGGCTAGTCTTCCAGTCTTCTATTAAACGTATCAAAACATGTTGGGTTGCATACGTTTGTCGATACGCAGCAATGAAGACTGAAAGCGTGTAATCTAAATGTTGAACCAATTGATTTTTTAAGACTTTTTCATATATCTTTGAATAGGTATTGAGAACACTAACTGGGTGGAAATTTCTTTCTTATGTACGATTGCATCGTTTGGGAAACGGACATTTTGAATGCTACAGTTTATTGGAAACGGAAATTTCGAATGTCTGCCTTATCAAAAAATGATACAGTTTAACACAAATCATCAAAAAGACATAAAACTGTTTGAACTCTGGCAATTTATTTCATGATTCGCCATAAACGAGCTGTTCCTCACAAATGTCCGGAGGCACTCCCAAACTTGCTACGCTTATAGTTACCTCTTTTTCAGGACGCAAACTAAGAAAACGATGTCTTTTTCGGTCTATTTCTGCATAAAAGTGAGAATTTCATCGCACAATCCGGGAATATCATCGCTCAAAACGGAATATATTTCTAGAGAATCATAAAAATATAGCGACGCAATCATTTCGAACTGCGTGGCTTTCGTAACTAAAACACTCTAGCTACACAAAGATAACGTATGTTCTATGCAGAATCGTAATTCAAGCATTCTTTCAAAATTCACCATTTTTGTCAGTTCAAGTTTATAACCATGATAAAACCACAAAAATGAGCTATTCGAACCGGGCAAAGATCATCAGAGGAAAATGATTGGGAAAATATTAAACAACTAAGGAGTGATGAAGTATCAATGTTTTAAATTACAAGAAATGGAAAAATACATCGCATAAAACTGATGTGGAGCTAGAAGCTAACTTCCCACCTTAACCCATCCACATCTATCGACAAGCAGGTTGTCTGACTTGAGATCTCTGTGAATAATTGTTGGTCTATAGCTATGCAGGTAAAGTATCCCTGTGGCTGCATGTGTAGACTGTAAACAGACAATAGGTACAAATATTGAAGATGGCATGAAAAGCAGAAACATAGCATACTGAAATACTTGTCATCCGACATTCTTCAGGGCATAAACGTCTGATATCGGCCAAAGGTAAGCAAAAAATTGTATCCAGGTTTGGCTCAAAAGTAACGTGAGAGGAAGAAAGTGGTTCTTTTGTTTTCTGTGCTTCTTTTTCTATTTTAAGGAGCTGGTTTAGAAAAAAATTGGATGGTTTCACTGCAATTAGACAACAATTTTAACAGTTAAAGTGCTTTATAATGGAGTTACGTTCATACCCATTCTATTATTCTTTCCCATGTGAGAACTTCTTTTCTTTTATGGATAACATCAGCAACTGATCCCCCGCTCATGAATTCACTGATAATGCATAGATTGGGCTCCATGTGACATATACCATAGAACTGCACTATGTGTCGATTTGTAAGCCTACTACAAAAAATTGAGTGAGCCTTTCAGTTATTTTTCATAACTACAAGTCTTAATTATAATTCTTTTTGCTGAAAGGGGGGGTCACTGGAAGATATTTAATTCCCGCATTTCTGTCATTTCTTTGTTATTTTGCGCCATAAGTTTGTTGTTGTTGTTGTTGTTATTTCTGTCGTCTTTGGAGCTTTGCGATATGTTTTGGTTTGTTAGGGCTTTTAAAAAAATAATGCACAATATTTTGCAAGAATCAGCTCAGCCATTCCTAGAAAGTATTATTATTTTAGCACAAATAACTGCATTCCACAAAAAATCCAGCCCAATTCCGCGATCCGCAGAAACGATGACTGATTTCCGCATTTCTGCACCCCAAATAACCCGATATCCGCTATCAGCAAAACTCCCGTGATACCAGCTTACATATTTTTGTCGTGCAAAACCTAAGACACTTATCTTCCCAATTCTGATACCGTTCTGTAGACTGCGAAACTTCTCAGAAATGTCTTTCCTCAAGTACTCTAGGACAGGAAGAAGATGACCCGGAGACCTTAAAAAAATCATCATTGGTGTCATTGTCATGGTCATTCATTCAAGAAGCCTCTTTGGCTAGTTTAATATCCAATCCTGCAAACGCCAGTAGATTAAAGCAGAGCATGTTTTCTTTCTGGTATGTTGGCAGTGTCCTTTCTGGTATGATGTGTTTCTGATCAATATTCTCAATGCGTTTGACTGTTGGGGGGGGGGGGGGTAATCAGAGAATAGGCTTAGTGCAAACGCAAGCATCCCCCCACCCGAATACATATTGATATCAGATAGGGATATCAAGTATTGTATTGATATCAAGAAAACAAGGGGCTCTTGCACAAATGCTGCAAAAAACAATTGCAAAAATATAAATTCGCCAGTTTTTGGCCTTAGCAAGGGGATTCAGCCCCCCCCTAGCACTACACCCCTGAGCGCAATGGCTTTTCGGGAAACGATCATTGCCTTTTTACGCAGAAAGTTCGACTTCGAAAAGTGGTTAATAAGGTCTGCATCGATTTGGCTATAGAGAATATAATTTCTTTGGATCATCATGCTGCTATCGATTTGGCTTTGACCATGACCATGATCTTTTAGGAATCTACTCTAAATAACTCACCGGAGACCGTTTTATCTTAAAATGGACCGACTATGTGAACAATAAATGGTGTGACACTCTATTCCCAATATATGCGCCTCTTTGAAATCATGTTGTAAAAATGGACGGTTTGTATGCGTGACGTAAGAATAAATTAGCATAATTAACAAGAGAGGAAAGAAGGAGGATTTCAAGTGTTGGTGATTGAGGGAGGTCGAATGTTCAAGGAAGATTACAGAATTGAGAATTGAGATCAACCGAGGGCTGTATTCTGTTTGTATTCGTTTGTATTTGAGATAATCGCTTATTATTAACTTGTATGCATTCTTCGCTTGCTGTTTCCAATTCACGAAGTTGTTTTTATATAATGAATTGCATTCTCGGAGACGAATCGGAGGAGATTGTATATTTCTTCACGATAGTTTAAGTATTTAACAACCTTGCAATGAAAGATATATCCAGTTAGATGAACTGTTTTTTTTAAAACGAGTACTTTGAAACAATGATTTAAGTGTTTCTATAAACTATGTTTCAATAGTTCAAGATGATTGAACTACCTAAAGGGGCTGGGTGTGAATCTAAGCCAAGACCATGAATTTCAACATTGGCTTTGTTTCAAAAAAGAAGGCCCTTTATGTAACATCATAGTGACATTGTCATTACGTTACTCTTTTTATATTACTTGGATATCACTTGAAGGGGGAAATCGCAAGTAAATGCTCTTCTTTGAAGCAAGGTAAAACAATCGCTTCCCATCAATATGAAGAGTCGCGAAAACAACAAGTTAACCTAAATTTATCCAAGCAATCCAGGTGAAATTTCGTTCAAAAATTTAATTCTTGCCTATTGTTGGTGGTAGTAGCATTGATGCAATCAATTTGATTTGAAAAACAGTAGGATATATACCTCATCCACTTAGACTCTTCAAGAAAATGGTTCTTATCTTCTTCAATAATGTGATCTTTTATTCTTTTGATAGCAACTTCTGACCCACGCCATGTACCTCTTGAGACAACCCCAAAAGATCCTTCATCAACTCTGCAAGCAATATTACAAGAAGAAAAGAATCAAACAATATGCTGCTACAGAAAGATGCAATCTTTCACCTAAGTATACCTAAAGCAACTTCATCGAACTATTTATTGCATTCAAAATTTCGTTGGTTTGTTAGTGATCAATACTGCAAGAACTAGGAAAAATAATTCATTCGATTGTTAAAAGCATTTGCTGAGTAATATCAGGCTGCTAAAACCTTGGCAGCCCTCTTCCTCAAAAGTAACGCAAGCAGGCCCATCTGAATAAAGCTGAAGCAACTAAACCAGGCCAAACATACTTAAGAACGGCTAAAACAAACAAAAACTAATTCCACCATGGCCTCTTTTCTTCTGCAAAATCTGTGGAACACCTATCCTTCAGGGTAAGTTTTTATCAAAATGGCTACATTCTCTTAAAGCGCTTACAACTGCAGTTTTCCCAAAAGAGTAAGCCAGCAAGCCCCTAACTCGGTGATTCTGAGCCCCTTCGAGACGTTGATTGAGCACTCCCCCAGTCCCACCCCAAACTTTCTCATATTCAGAAATACAAATCGTAATACCAAAGGTTGCAATCACAAAGAAATTTTTGTTTAGATGAATTTCAAAGTTAATTTCTCCATTAAGAAATATTCAGATGTTTTGTCTAGCAAAAGACTCGAATTAGCAGTTTAGGCTCAATATGATGGTTGAGCTTAGTGTTAGGACTCCTATCTAGGACTATTAAAAATCTCAGAACACATTCTTGGTTGTTTTCAAACGGTTATAATGAAACATTTTAAAGAATTACAAGAAATGAACGAGAAATGAATTGAAGTGTATTTTAAGCTTGTATTAAGGGGGTGGTTGCAGAAGATTTTCTGCTTGCTTTCCTGCCTTGTTTTTCTTTAAGATTTGCCCTAGGGCCTCCAACAGCCCTGACTGTTGTCACTTTAATCTTTTTTGCTTTGTCTTATTTTCATATATTCAAGTATAACTGAGCTTCTAATTAGACGTAAGTGCAAGTTGGTGCGCACCTGGTAGAGGTACCTGGTGCACAATTTCAATGCAATTTTTTTGCATCTGGTGTACAGGAAACTAATTTTCCAAACTGGACGTTTAGGGGAACGGGGGCTTTATATGGTACTGCTGCATTGCAATAACATATTGCCTTATTAGGGGTAGGGGGGGTACAGCCGTCCCAAACTCGATGTCTTCTAAGCATATCAGCTATCGGAAATGGGAAATGTTACTCCACTATTGTAATAATTCATTATACAGAATTGCTTTGAAGATGTGTTTAACATTGATTGCATGATGTGACCTCCCAGTAGTTGTAGCCCCCTGGAAGACATTAGCCAGCCACCTAGGACTTTCACTCTAAACTTCAGAAACGCCCGCGTTAAAAAAACTGCCGTTTCCGTTTAAAATCGCTGCTCTAACTAACAAAGAAAAGAAGAGAAAAGAGGTTTGCTTACTTCATTATATTTTGTATTTCACTATATGGAATAAGTTTTTGTCGCAGAACAGGATCAGTGACAAATGTCCCGTAATTTTCAGGAGGATCTTGAGGTATAATCGTTTGTGCTGCAAGACGCTTCACTACAAACCTGACTCCTAACACAAGCAAGACAAATAAAACCAAGAATCCAATACCAAGCTCTGCATATAGTTCCGCAGACTTTCTCGTGACATCTTTAGATGGCTGAAGTGTGGAACTTTCTGTTGGAATTGTATAGAAAAGCTTAAGCGATAATCAGTATGTGACATCAATTGTCACAGCTTTTTTAAGGCTCAAATACATGTTCTCTCTGGTGAGCCCAATTCTGTTATCACATCTGATCAATTTAAGTTTTTGTTAAAATTATCAGTTTGAACTTGTAGTAAATTTTGATAAATTGGAGCTTTTGTATCAACTTCCCGGCACGCTAATTGTCAATTTCTTTAAATTGTCCTTTGAGTACAAACTGACATCAGGGCCGTCGCGAGGCAAACCTTGTAGAGGGGGGGGGGGGGGGGGGCTGTGGACTATGAATTAACCTGATCAAAAGATAATCACCTGAAATTCTTTGGTTGTTGACACAAACCTCTGCAATACATTTTGTCAATCTAAGTCTGTGGCATATAACTTGCAACTCCCATCTTTATGATAACATGATAGTAACGAAGGTTTCTAATAGCTTTGTCAAATCAGTACATCAGGGTGGGCAATAGATATAGTTACTAATAGACCTATATCTTGCAAACGGGAATTTACAAATAGATACGCATGCGTAGTATTCAATTTACCATTGAAGTAGATATGTCGTCGGAAATATTATGATCTCCACCCCCCCCCCCCCCCCCTCTATATATCACTACTGGTGTCAGCCTTGGTTTATACGCTTACAATTCAAAAGCTATGTAAGTTATGCCATAGGGGCGAGAACTCTTACAGAGACAGGGATACTGACATTCCTTGACGTTTCCATAACGTGAACCAATCTTTGGTGAACGTTAAAAATTTTTTACACAATCTTTGCTACATGTTTTTGGGAAAAGAAAACATTGTCTAAAGTATGTTTTTACCTTTTTTCATCGCACATTTTTGTCATTTTTTTACATATAAATGTTACACACTGCATACATGTATCTGCAATAATATATTCTTTACAAGAAACTCAGACTAGTATAACTAGGGTTGGTTTTTGAAATCTAAAATAAGTATACTTCTAATAATCTGTAAGTAAAAATCTGAAAAAAGCTTCCTACATGAAAATCAAGAGAAAAATATGACTTTTGTAAATTGTTGGCAATTTGCATTAGCAAGAGTTCAAAATCTACCAGGCCCAAGACATCTCAAGAGGATTAACGCGTTGATTAGATTCCAAACTCGACTATCAGCTTTTCTTAATAGTAAGACTGATGCAGTCCATTTTATTACGTACAGTGTGTTGATATGTTGGTCAGGATATACTCATATTACAAGACAGAAGTGTTTTCCAGGGCTTTTGCCTCTCTTTCCTACACAAAGTGACAGGGTTTATTTGAAGACTTTCACGCCTGTTTAACCGGGAAAGGGGGAGATAGCCTCTCGCATGCCCATAGGCCTGATACACATACCTGCTTCTTTGCATCGATTTTTGCAACAGCATTTATCTGTTATGTTCACATACTGTAAGACAAAACAAATTAGGTTAAAATCTAAAAGCTAAAGCAACAGGATTATACTAAATCCAGAGCAAAAAGATGAAAGAAAAAAAGGCAATTTATTTATGTCTACATAGCTAGCTATGAGAGAGACCATTTACGTCACGACTTTACATGAAAAGCAGAGCTGAGGTTTAGTGCCGCTTTAGTGGTCAGAAAAACCTTGCAGTGCACGTGTGTTCTTTGGATCAATGTAGTTGTTGTAATCTTGTAATTAAATGGTTTATCTATATAAACAATTTAAATTGTTTTTTTCTTTTATTTAACAAATATGTGGGGAGGCCATGACCCCTGGCCCTTTCTGTGGCGTGGACCAGGGTCTCCTACGGTAGACTCTTACCCTATTCCCTACAAAAAGGAACCCCTTGCTCTATTTCACAATTTGCTTATACAGTTCATTTCTAAAATAAATCAATCATTTGTCACCTCAGGCTTCAACAATCGTAAGCTTAAGGTAAACATGACAATTATGTCCAAGAAAATTATAGAAAACCTGTAACAGAATATACAAAGGTTTCATTTATAATAAATCTTACCTTCCAAGGGTTCCCTTTCGTGCGATCAATATCACGGATTCCACGAATCTTATGACTGCTTCCACAGTTTAAATTAAGGACCAGCCCCCCTTTGCTGAAAAGCCTGAAAAAAGAAACACTTATGCATCAACCTACCAAACAGCAAACTTTTTTATCTCTGTTCCTTTTTCTATGTATCTATACTTTTAATATGGTCAAAAACGTGCGCAAAAAAGGGTTAATCCTTCCTCCGAGCAATACCTTTAAGCTATGAAACTTTACTCATAAAGAAAGTTAGTCTCATAAAGGAAAACAAAATTGGGTTAGTGTGTGGCACTTGAGTTAATTTTGCTTTCCTAAGCCTACTCCACAGTCGTTGACCATGTGACCACCATATTTCCTTGACTCTGTTGAGGATTTTTCGAAAGGCGCGACATTGACAGTCAGGCACCGTGGAGCAGGGGGCGCTGGGGGGCTTTAGCCCCCCTACATTTTGCAAAAATGCCAAACAGTAAGTATCAAACTACCAGAAAAGCCTCTTTCTATACGGTTTTAGCCCCCCCACTTTTTTAGACCCCCCACTCTTCTCAACGCTCCGCGGTGCCTGTTGACAGTGGAGGTAACAACTGCTCTGTTACATCTGCGTTGCTCTGTTGTCTCCGTGTAAGACATTTGCCTTGGCAGATCTGCCTCCTCGTTTTGCATTTATTTGCTTAAATGTCCCACGTTGGGTGCCTAAATGCTGTGTATTGGGCTTTAAACAAGATAAGAAAGAACATAGGGAGAGAAAACTACCTTTCTCTGAGTGATCATACTTCCCACGCATGCTCTAACCCACCCAGAATCTCTGAAATGCAGCATTAACTTTTTACTTGTGGAAAAAAATATCTACAAAGGAAGTCCTTGATTTTGAATAGCTCCCTCTAAAGACATTGTCACATTTCTCATCAAATCCGGTTCTTGGCACAAGTCGCTCCATCGGCTCCACTTAACCCATAAAAACCGCCAGACTTAAATATTACACGATGGACTTAAGCAACAAATCATCTTCAAATTCTGGACAGGGAATGGACAAGAAAAGTTCACTTTTCCTTACCAGGGACCCAATGCATAGGTCCTAAGATAGAAAAGCAGAAGGGAAAAATAACTTACTTAAAAAGCCGAATCTATCCTACATCAAGACATTTAGAACAGCGAAAGGAATCCTGCGAGGTAAATAAACTCTAACTCCCAAGAGATCAATGAAATTAAAAGATTCGTAAAAAGACATAATGCTTTAACCAAAAGGAGAGAGAGTTACGGGAGAAATGAACCACGAGCAAAGAGCATTCCAAACAGGCACGCTAAGTTATGTATTTATAACATTAATTTTCCCTGGGTACTATAGCCGCATGAATCCGGAGATAAAGCATTATAGACAGTTGGGGTGGTAAAGACTTAATAATGACGACTCTCTTCTTACTGTCTTGAAAATATAAAGTTTGAAGCCCGCGGGAAGCCCGCTCAATTTCAAAAGAAAGAGGGCCCTAACAAAAGGAGGAAGTTATTTCTCAAAACTTACCCTTGGATGATATGGATAGGCGAGCATATGAGTTCTGACAAGAAATGAGGCCAAAGGAGACAAAAACGTTGTTATGATTGCTTAGGCCCTGTCCTCGAAAGGCGACGTTCTTCTCACAACAGAAGCTCCAACCAGTCTTCTTTATAGGTCAGTGGTCATCAGAAACAAAGAAGAAAACATGAGCATCATAAAAAATTATAATCAAATCCAAAACTTACGGTCCAACGCCTTTGTACACCCAATTAACATGACCAGTTGTGCGATTAAGGAAACAATTGATCGAATCTTTCTGTGATGTTACCAACTTGAAATAATCATCAGGATCACTATCACTTCTTTGGCACAGCTGAAAAGTTTCATTGTAGTTTAAAAATTGAAGTTTGAAGTGATACCAAACTGCCTCAAAGTAAGTAAGATAATTACAGTTATTTTGTAGTGAATGTAACACAGACAGAACCAAGATAGAACGAATGACATAGACACCCCCCTCTCAGTATTGAAAGGTAGGGAATATCCCTCAGGGGCTCAAGCTGCATATTTTGTGCCGCAAAGGCATAGTCATTTAGCTCACCTCAACTGCCGATATATTCAAAAATGCAGAAATCGTTATGTCTTGAGATTCCAACAATTGAAAATAAAGGGACATGTAAATGTATGTTTGGAAACGCAAGTTTTTCAAAAATTCCACTCAATAATATGGTTCAAAAAGGTCACTTGAATGGACGAAAATAGAATGTCCAGCTGCATATTCGCGTTTCAAAATATAAGCGACACGTTCACATATTTGATCCTTATGCAACTTTTTCTTACCGAGGCTCCTTGGCATCGAGGTTGGTAAGGTGGTCTTTTTAGCCACCATACGAACCTTGATATAAGTGTTGGATTGTTTTTCAAAACTTGTGGCCATTCGAAAGGGTAGCATATGCTGATAAGGTAAAAATATGCCTCTTTTGTCTCAGGAAAGCTGAGCGGTCTGCAAATAAAAAGAAGATTTTTTTAAACGGGGTTTCATTATTGGGGTTAACATTTTTCGAATCTTAAAACTGCTCAGGCTCGAACAAGATAGTTGAACCTAGAAAGAGCAAAATTCTGTTCATGCAGCAAAACATACAAAGTTAGTGATCTAAAGTCAGTTCTAAAAACCAAGGCTTAAAAAAAATTCAGAAAAAGGGAGAAAAATATAAGAACCGACAAATATGTGGTTGAAGAAAACAAACTGGGTCTTTTGACAACCTCCAATGGCAATCCCAGACACCAATCCTTCTGCTAGATACACCCATACTTGTCAGTTTCGGAATACACTCGTTGATTGAAAAACAGAGTATCATTGTGTCATGATTTTTCACATTCGGTACATCATCGGATTGCCCTGGCATAAGCTCCCCTAATTAGCCCCAACATTGGATATGATAAATTTCTAATAAGCCCCCACCCTCGAAATAACAAACCCATAGAAAAGCCTCATCCAACGTATTTCTACCATACATGATTTTATTCGATGAAAAATAAAATATTCAACGTGAATGAAAAACTGCACATAAAATGAAGCACTTTCACAAGGTTTATGCTGTCAATATTGACTTCCAAAATATTTTGTTGCTTCAAATAAGCCAGAAAATAGTTTAAATGCTTCAAAAAGAGCTACTTTCAGGCAAACTTTCAGATAATTCTTATAAGCCGCCAGCCTGTATACCCTCATTAATCAGTCTCCTTTCAAAAACCGCTAAAACTGATAAGCTTTGGGGGCTCAAAGAAATGTCATTAATCAAAACCTCACTGAGAGAAAAGTCAGTAAACTTTCAAAATGTAGAGTAAAAATTGTTAACATAAGCATGACATAGCACCAGTGGCGGATTACCTATGGGGCCTGTGGGGCCTAGGCCCCCAGCCCAGAATCTAAGCAGCCCTGCTAAACTTTGTTTGGGTATTTTCAGTGAAAGGCCGCGTAAACAGACACTCCAACCTAGGAAATATTCAAATCTATACATTCGATACACAAAACTTATGCTAAAGAAATTTGCAAAATATTTCCACAAAAATAAGTTCTTATAAAAATAAATTCCCTGAAATCGTGGGTATTCGATAAACTCGAAAAATGAAACTTGTTTCCTTTACATTCAGAATATACTTTATCTTACAAATTACAACAATTTATTTAAATAATAATACAAATCTATTTTTTTAACTTCCTATATTTAATAAAGTATTTTATGGGAATTTTTTCATTCAGTGAGAATCAACTTTTTGTAAAAATGGGCAAACAACAGCTAGAAAGGAGATTGAGCTGGCAAAAACATTTGAATGCATTAGTTGAAAGTTGAAAGGCTCAAGTTAAACTTGAATGTTCTCTGTCGTAACTCATACATGCAAATTTACATTTTTGCGAAGCAATTCATAAGAAAACTTTATATTCCAGCAAGATGTGAAGCACATTTTCGTCGACAAAGGAATAATTGGTTGTATTTTTCTACTGTGACCTGGTCATTTCTAATGACCAGAAGAACATTTGGCTTTGCATGGCTCAGTTAACCAGCAATTTTTAGAAAATTTATCTAAGAAAATATAATTCAAATCATACTGTGGAATTTTAGTCCAAATTTAGAAAACTCGATGACAAACGCAAACTGCAGTGACGAAAGGTCTTCCAGTGTCTGAAACGCATAAAGAATTACTTGCAATATGATATTTTCTCTGACTTTGAAGCTTTCGAAAATTCTAAAAAAGTTGACAAAGGGCATGTTTTTGCACAAACTTATTGCATTGTCGTACATTTGTAATTGTCATACATCTAAACTTGTTGCTTCAAGTTTTGCAAATTACATTAATGCCGTTGAAGCTTTATTATAATAAAAAATTATTTTTCTTGACATAAAAAGGCGTTGAATTAGATTAGGCCCCCGGCCCTGATATTGGTTAATCCTATGTTAGCAGCTGTTCACATTCTGCTGCATACAGATTTTCCTAGGGCCATAATTATTTTTTGTTTGTTTACGATCTAAATAGTTTAATATCTGTCATTGTCAGGGATCAGAGGGAGGATGTTGAGCATGACTTTTTTATGCTGTCTAATTTATTTATTGTCACTGGGGATGGAGCTTAGAGCTTTCGCCCCAAGGTTCAGGGTATTTACTAGACAGATCTATGGTAATTGGACTTTTTAAAGCATGAATGGAAAGGCATTGGTACATATTTCCAAGATTGAGCTAGAAAACAAGGCCGGCAAACTGAAACATGCGAAGCTCAATGAAAATGCAGTAAAAATCACGAAAATCATATTTCGAAAAATTGCTGATTTTGAAAATTATTGATTTTTGGGGAGGGTTGGCTAAATAATAGAATTGGCCCTATTTCTCCTGCTTGCAAAACGAGGTTTATAAGAGAAGAGGGATTAAAAAGAGCATAATACAGTATTTACGGTTTGCAAGGAACAAGATAAACAGCAAGTTTTGTTCGTAATGCAATCTTTATAAGGAAACTGGGCTCCACAACTTTCTGGGCTTGTCTCAGTGTCCATGGATGTCCAATGAAATGAATGTGTGTTCATGGTCGTCCAATAAAATGATAAAACATTTTTAAAAAAACATTACACTGAGCAAAGAAATTCAATAATGGTAACGATACCCAGGAGTCGGGGAAAATCATGCTAATGATAAACGAATTTTATAGCAGCAAATCCGCCTAGCCACACCCTTTTTCCTATGAAATTCGATGGTCCTGATATTTTAGCATCTGCAATGGCAGTGATCCGTTAATCGTCAACCGAACTCAAGATTAGGACCAATCAACGTAATCGCGAAATTACGATGGAAACATTATCAGAGGTTCTGTCTGTTCTGCAGACGTTCCAATCTAAGAATCTTTCAAATCGGGAGATTTTTTAATAAATTTTTGTGAAATTTACGAATTTGCCCTGTCCGCAAAAAATCAATGCACGCCAAATTTGCAAAAATATATTCACAAAAATCAGCTCTTGCAAAAATTTATTTCCTTAAAACCATTGGTAGGTGATAAACTTGTGAAGGTGAGCATAATGGTATCTCTTACATCTATATTCCAGTCTATTTTGATACGAATCAAATTCCCATAAAAATATGAACAAGATCGAGATGACACAAAAATCTGGTTTTAACGCTTTAGTTGAACTTGGATGTTCTTTTTTTTCAATTCATACAAACAGGTTTTAATTTTTGTGAAACAATGTATCAGAAAACTTCATGTTGTAGTAAGGATCAAACATAATTTTGTTGTTAACAAATGAGGGGGATAGAAGCGGTTTCTGGATTAAAATCTTCACAGCTAGAGCAGGTCGCATCGCCATGAAACTTTCAAATGGCGGCCTCTGATTGGCTTGAACAAGGAACTAAAAAGGTCCGCATCAAGAGCCAGACAGGGGTTATTCTAACGTGGTTTTGTTACCGTTTTGTGGTGTTGTAAATTTAATTTGCGGTGTTATGATTTTAATTTTGTGGTGTTGTGAAAAACGACCCTCTGGAAAATATAAGAAATCGTTTGTTAAATAACTGTAAGAATCTCTAATCAAAACAAAGACTTAACACAGCAGAAGAATTATAGTTAATATTTTGCAAGTCCTGAATCTCAAAACATTTTTACTTTTGATTTTGGGTATTTATCTTTTTTGTGTGGTATTCTAAGGTAACACTTTATGCCTCCGTGTACGCCCCTTGAAATCAACGCTGGCGTTTCTCTTTCTCTCTTAGTTTTGCCTTCTCTTTTTTCGATTTCAGCCATCCATCACAGAACAAAAATGACACTTAGACGAGGGCCCAGGGCGATGTCCCTTGAATCATTTTTGGCTGAATATTCTGGAAAAGGGTTGTCTTTTTTCTGGCAGAGGTATGCCCATCAAAAATATTTTTTCCAGGACAGGTCAGATTTGTCATGAAAATGGAAGTGTTGTCCACTCTATAGCGTTATTCTCTTAAAGCTAAAATTTGAAATAAAACTATTATTCCAGGATATATCTCGTGTCTACAGAATTTTTTTCAAGAACAGGGTCAAAAAAATTATTGTGTAAGGCAAATCCCCGTAATTTTTCAGTTTTTCTCAAAGGTAAAGTTAAAATATTGTTTATATTTGCTTTCCTTCTTGCATACTTCGTTACACCCGGAACAGGGAATGGGGTAAAACCACACCACCCTCTATATCCCGTCAAAATTTAAAGTCTACAACGCCAATGGTAATACTGAAGAAAAGAGAAAAACTAATTTTTTTAGGACACTGGTTCTTATACTATCGTTGTTTTTGGTTTTTCTCAACAGTAGAGTTAAAAAGCTTAACAAAAAATTACCAGTGCTTGATTTTGCGGTGTTGTAAATTTTTTGTTTTTTTGCTTTACTCACTTTATTTAATGTTGGTTTAAAAAATACTAGTTAATAAAAAGCTAATTAACACCAATTTGTAACAATAACATAACCAACAATATAACTAAGAAAATAAATAAATATAACTAAGAAAATATCGCGATGTTTACAAGTATCCAATATTAGAAATATATGGTGTGCATAGTCTAAACGAGCAAGTAAGATCCGTCTGTTTAATTTTGGCTTTGAATACTTAATAATTTTCTGTCGATCGAATGTCTAACGGTATAGAATTCCACAATTCATTACATCTATAGGATATTGTATCTAGCCCATCGGTGTTCGACCTTTTTTGTTTAAACGATTGATTTCGTAAATTATATACAAGTTCATTCGAAATATCTCTTTCATAAATACTTGATTTAAGTTATTTACTGTTTTGTATATTTCTATTGCTAGTAGTTGTAGGTTCCTTTGATGTATCCTGACATCATTTTTTTGCGAGAGAATATTTTCAAAACTTGATTCAAAATCATTGTAAGCCACTCTCAGTGCCCTTTTATGGATATTTTTAATAAGTTTTCCAGATTTGCGGCTACAATACATCAATAAAAGAGGACAATAGTTAAAGTGACTAAGTATAAAGGTTTTCATTAATAGTGATCTTTTATATTCATCCATATAAGAGGCGATTCTGACTAGGGCACTTATCTTTTCACCTGCTTTTTTACATAAGTTTTTTATATGTTCTTCAAAGTTTAGTTTGCTGTTTAAAGTTATTCCAAGTAGTTTGGCTTTTTCCGTCTCTTCGATTGTGGCATTTCCTATTCTAATATTTGCTTTTTCAGTTCTGGTTCGTTTATGTTCAAATATCATAACGTTACATTTGTCTTCATTTAGTAACAATGAATTATCCTTAAACCATTTATTTAGAGCTGCTACTTCTGTTTCTAATTTATATATTATATCATCAACATTTTTACCTGATGTCCAAAATTTCCTTAGAATAACCCCTGGAGCCAGAGAACATTTTACCAGCTATGTTTCAAGGATCTGAAAGAAGGCAAACTTCACATACATTGCTGTTGATTTTTCGAAATGGTATTTTAGAGCAGATTTAGAAAAAAAATATCCTGAAAGCGGGAGGTTTAGTTTGAAAGCGGGAGACCGAGCTAAGAACTCTCAAATCGGGAGACTTCCGCCCGAATTGGGAGAGTTTTAACCTCTGGTTCTGGGTTTTCAAACGTTTGTTTAAAAGAATAATAGCTCCAAAAACCAGGGATTGTTCGATCCTTCGTCTACAATAGAAATGCCTTTTCTCAAAATTTGACTTACGTTGGTCCAGACGGGTTCCCTGCGCTGGTAAGGTTGTATATGTCTCCATTGATATCACAAACACAGCTGCTGAGCATTTTCCCAGTTATCACCTCGGATTTTGGTTTATTCTTTATCTTTGCTAAGTGCATATGTGCTACATGGTTGCCAATTACAAGAAATATCTGGAGTATCCAAAAGATACCAGCCATAACGCTGATGAATAATGTCGTTGTACAGTAGGCATCGAAAAGCAAAAGCAATTTGTCGGTGACAATGGCCGCAAAGGTGTCATGTTCCACTGGTTTCACTAGATTTTGTCATATGACCAAGCAAAGAGGAAGTCACTTTTGAGTTCTCAGAATAAAGTCAGTGACTTTTACCTTTTACCGGACAGGGGAAAGGTTTGATCTCTATGTTTCGATTGCACAAGACTTTGAAGATTGAAGAAACTGCTGAGCAAAAACTGACGTGATTGAATGTAGCTTTTGAGCTTATTTTATCAGTGCCTGTTTGTAAAGAGAGCGAGAACAAGATTCATTCAAAGAACAGTTAATCAAGGATTCCTATTTAATAATTTTTGAAAACTAAGGCCATCTCAGGTAAAAAGACATATAACATCAAAAGTGTAAGCTCTTTTAGGAACAAAATTTTAGGCGTCACTGAATAATTTGATTGATCAATTAGAACAAGATAAAATAAGGAACTAAGATAGTCTAACTAAAACCCCTCGATTTACCTCTTTTTTCGCTTCCTGATTTTCGGTGGAAAGAGCTCTGTTCTCCGAAACAAGACCACCTTTGACAAGAGCAAGCCTTACCTAGGCGAATGAGTTCTTTATTTTATCTTGATTAGAAAAATACAATTAATGATAAAAAGCCGAAATTCGAATAAAAAACCTTACATACTCTGCAGTTGCAGCTTGGCATTTGTGGGTTTAATGAGCAGGGGCGTAGCTAGCGGGAGGTGTAGGCAGGCACGTAAATAATAGGGGGGCGTGGGGGGCGTGACGCCCCCCCCAAAGTTTGGAAAATCCAGTTACAGTTGGAAAACATAACGGTTGACTTGGAATTTTTTCTTAGGACCAAACTTGTGAATTTTATATTTTAAGAAGTTTTTCTATTTTAAATGTAACAATTCTAAACATGAAAATTCACAGGCTGAAGCTGACCCGTCTCCACTGGATCCAAATTGCACAATTGCCCTGTTTGCTTTCTTTCTGACGGGAGTTGAATCAAATTACGAACAGGCAAGGTGAATTTCCGGATAAGAAACTTGAAACTTTACAGTTTGTAATAATAATTCCCGTATTGATCAGAAATTATTAGAGTGGGAGTTTTTTAAGAAACTACGAGGAGTTAATTCAATAAAAGATTAATAATCTTTCAGTACTAAAAATTCTCAACGCTTCTTATAAAAACGAGTTTATGCTAAACTCCCCCTGCTATTTGTTAACGCCCTTGACTCCTTATCATAAATTCCTATGACAAAACTGCTGTGAAGCAAGAACACATTGCAAAATTGCAGTAGAAGTATTTGATCAAAGAAGAGTGTTTCATCTTTCGGATCAGGCATATGCACAAGTTTGTTCTCAAATCATCATTTCAATTGTAATGAATGAAAAGGCATTTGGCCCTCTGAAAATTGTTAGTAGTTTTCTTCGATCAAGAACAAAAATTAAAGGCTCAAGTTCTTGGTGCTTCTATATCGTGAAAAAATGTATTTTAGATAAGATTGATCTGCGCCAATTGATTAATTGATCTAAAAGAATACTTCTAATCATTAAGTATATCTAATACTGGTTTTGCTTAAATGTTGCTTTACTTCTTACTGTAAGTTAAAATGTCTGTTTCATGTTGATCAAAATTTAGAGATTTAGGCTTTTATGCTTTAGGCTAATTATTGAGTAAAGTTTTGGTAATTATAAAGAAAATAGAACTATGGTGTTCGGGCTATTTACAAATATCAATTTAGTAGGTACAGTAGATTTACTGGTCAAATGAAAAATTTCTTACTTAGATTGGAATTTTCATCCTTCCACGCCCCCCCAAAATTAGCAACTTGTTTTCGTCCCTGGGTGTAGGGGGTGTCACAGCCCCAAATACTTCATGAATTCGTCAGTTAATCTTCTGTTTGTCTACACAGTCCTTAGTTTGTCGGTAGATTTTTGGTGATGACAATGAGTCCGTTGAATATCTGAAGTCTGAAATTTTAATTTCCGGCTCGATTTCCTGATCTTACTTATTGTTCTAATTTTAAAATTTCTAGAAATTGTATTTTAAATCAGTATAGTGTAATAAATTTGTTTGCTTGCTGAAAAAGATTGTGAGTCTGAGTTTGAGCTTTATGTTTGATTGCACTCATTGTTTTTATAAGAAACTGGCTATAAGAAACGAGTACTGGACAGTCAGAGAAAATTAAGAAACTTCAGTACTCGAAGCAAAAAAATTAAGAAACTATTAAATCGTGATAAAACTAAGGACAATGAAATTTTTGTAAAATCCAAAAACATGACTGCCTAGAACTTAAGACACAAAGAATAAAATTATATTTCCCCCATCTAAATACAGCATCAGAATGGAAGCTCTTGACGTGATAAAAAAGGTCACAAACATTTCATAACATCATTCATGACATCATAATTAAGAAACTCTTAAGAAACAATAAGTATTGAGATTTCCGAGGGGCGATTCACTCTTGCAAATAGCATACGAGATTTTGCCTAAAACAAAAGGATTTTTGGGGATTTTCAGATAAAACAATAGGATTTTCACAAAAGGTGTACGAGATTTTTATAGAGTGATTTGCCCCTTAGAAATTTCCAGAACATTAAGAAACTGGAGTACTCAACATTGGCCCTTTGTGTGTGTGTGCACTATAAGAAAAATGAGTGTACTTTCTTGTGCTAAAATGCTAGATCTCTGTCCTATTGCTTGATTCTCTGTGCGATGTAGGAGAGAATAATAGAAGTCAAGAACAAATTCCTAACCTACTATACTAGTTTTTATATCGATAAGCCCCACCCCACCAAGGCTCAATTGAGTTACCACAGAAAAAGAAAAAAGATTGTAATCGATGTCAAATCAGATATTCAAAAACATTTCTTGATGTTTCTCGTTTCAAAATGAATGCAGACAAATATCTTTGAGTTTCAAGTTAAAGTTTTACTCTAAACTTTTGGACAGTGTCACCACATTTTGATAAGCGAATAAGCTTTATTTTCCATAGATAAATGTCCACAATTGCAACCCCCTGGGCTAAATTGAGAATTTATGGTTGTCAGCAAAATCCACACTATGCCCCGAAGGATTTCTCTAATAGCCTCCATTGTTAGTAATCATATTTCATCCATTGACGTGGGAAGCTTTTCAAAGGCGGGGGCACCATATGTAGGCAAACTTTAACTCTGTTTCTGAATAGTATGGAGGGGAAAGGGGCCTTGTTCCCCACGGTTCCTACTCCTATGATTTCATCTAGTGACAAGATAACCGTAAGAATTAAGATGCCGCTATAATTTTATTTGACTTCTAGAGTAAAATCAAACAAGGTACCCTCAGGTACTCAGGTAAAGAAAATTACAACGTGAGAATCGAAGCGATGATTGAGTGACGAGAAGATACTCCTTAATAAATAATATGAACTGCGTCAAAAAGCCACACCCAGAGACATTTTATATTTTAGGCCACGCCTTATTTTTTTGACAAATTGGTGAATGCCCCCCCCCCCCCCCTCCCCCTCTTGAGTAAAAGTGTTAATTAACACTGGAGTGAAATTAACCGTTGAAATTAATTCAAACAAATCAGAGACAAATTTGATTCTACTTTCCTCCTCTTCGCATCGAGGCTCACAGTTGCTACGAGGAGGCTCGCAAAACTCTAATCGAAGTTCGGCAAGGCTCCTCCAACTTTTATTTCTAGAGCTTTTGAATCAAATGGCAGTTTTCCCGTTGTAGTGAAGCTGAGGCTATAAAAATTTTGTTCCGTCCCTGTTTGGTTTGTGCGACAAATTGTTGACAATTGACAAATATAATGAAATGGAAATGCTTCCATTCTCATCATTCAATTCTAGTAATTAAATCTTCTTGCCATTTCCGATAGCTTTTTGCCCCCAGTTTAAAATATCGTTCACTACCGCAGCTAGGCCAGCCAAAGCGGGCAGCGCAGCGTAATCCGTTCGGCGGGAAGAATATTAGCCAATCAGAGAGTTCTCAAGCGTGATGTCACAAAAGACTATTCTTAGTATTTTCGAATTTTGACCATATAACATAATATAACACCATGAAATACTCCCATATATGCAAAATCAGTTAAATTTGTCAAAAATCGGGTGAGATATGGCCAGTAGATATCTTGGCTCAGTTCATAAAGTTATGAAGAAAAATTCTAAAAATTGATTTTTATGACGCCATCACTTGACAACTGTTTTGAGGGGACAGACTGCCTTTAATACAAGCTACATTTGCTGCTAAAGCTGAACTGCTGCTTACACATATGCTTGTCCTGTGCTATTAACTTATGTACCAGCTTGTCTTGGGATGAATCAAAAACCGTATAATACAAAACGGTAATACAAAACGGAAACATGGTAATACAAAACTCTGGCTGCACAATATGTTGCCACCTTCCTTGTGTCTGAGTTGTTGCTTCATTTCATTAAACGTGATTGGAAATTGACACAAACACATTCCAATTCTAAGGAAAATTTTCCTTCAAAACTTTAGTTGCTTTCTTTGCAGTTAAAAATCAGATAAATTGTGTGTTACGCAGGCAGGTATCGGATACTTCGTTGTATAATGTTTGTTTGAAGCCAAACAAAAAGACAAGTGCAGTTTTCAAAATTCATGGCACTTAATATGCAGTTAAATCAGGGGTGTAGTGCTAGGGAGGCTCAACCTCCGGAAACCCCCTTGTTAATGCCGAAAAGTAGCAAATTTCTACTTTTGCTATTGTTTTTCGCAGCGTTTTGTGCAAAGCCCCCCTTGTTATTTTGTTGTTATTGTTACTTCACCCCTGAGTTAGATTAAGGAACTATTAAGGAACTTTTAGTACTACATTTTGTACAAAAGAGGTCCAAAAATAAGGTACATCAATAACAAGGCCTTGAGCTAGGTTCCTTATAAAAAGCGTCTACTTGTTAAATGAAAAAATATTCCAAAACTGTAAATAAAAGTCCCTGCAAGGCAAGAATTTTTCTAATAGCAGTTGATTACTAATGTGTGGTTTTGATCTTTGCGGCTGTTTCCTAACGAAAAACAATAAAGTGATTGAAGTATTTTTCGCTGAGGCCAATGTAACATCGAATTAAAAGTTGGCTGTTAAAGATAAA